AGGGTGAAAATTGCAGCTGCTTCTTTAAGTCAAAGTGACTTACATTGTCCAGGTAAGAGTGGGATGTTTTAGTTTTAAAGATACATTTCAGATAGTAAAACTTCTTATAGTCCGTGATTTTAGAGAACAAAATTTCTCAGTGAGTATAGCAGCAGTAGTCACCCAAAGAAGGTGGTAATTATGACATTTTACACCTGTAGCATGTCCTTGGGAGAAATATTGTTTTCTGTTAACTGTTTAGTCACAATTTTTAAACCCCAAACCTGGCTATATATACTTGAAAACCACAGTAATAATTAAAAATGATTTTTAGAAACTCAAAAAAAAAAAAAAGAGAAACTTTTGTCAAAATTATTCCAGAATTTCTTAGAAGTACAAAGAGTAAAAAGAATATTTTTGGTCTTAACAAAATAAGTCTTAAGACTTTTAAATACATCATATCAGAAACCTCTGTTATCTAAGAAGAGAATTAGTTGGTTGCTTTACAAAAAAGAAAACCGACATTTTATTTTTTAAAAAAGATTTTTTATTTTATTTATAGACAGAGGGGAAGGGAGGGAGAAAGAGAGGAAGAGAAACATCAATGTGTGGTTGCCTCTCAAGTGCCCCCAATTGGGGATGTGGCCTCCAACTCAGGCATGTGCCCTGACTGGGAATCGAACCGGCTACCCTTTAGTTCACAGGCCGGTGCTCAATCCACTGAGCAACACCAGCCAGGGCTAATTTTACTTTTTCATATATCATCTATGTAATAATTTGCAGCAAGGTATTTATATGCCTTTTAAAATAAATAAGTCTATCATTTACTATACCCTTAATAATTTTTTACCACTTATATACCTTTTAAAATTAAACTTAACATACTTTCGTAACAGGATAAAATTCATATAACATAAAATTAACTATTTTAAAGTGTACAATTCAGTGTCATTTAGCACAATCACACACAGGTGTGTCCTAATCCCACCAATGTGTCTTCCTCACTTCAGGAGATTGTGGCCACACCTTTAAGGGCCATTGTAGCTCCCTCTCCTAGAAGGAAATCCTGCCATTTGTGACAACATGAACAAAACTTTGAAGGCAATATGCTAAGTCAAGTCAGGTATATAAAGGCAAATACTGTATAATTTCATAAATGGAATCTAAAAAAGCCAAACTCAGAGACACAAAGAGTGGATTGGTGGTTGCCAGGGGCTGGGAGTGCAGAAAATGGAGAAATGTTGATCAAATGATACAAATTTTCAGTTATAAAATGAGTAAGTTTTAGGATCTAATACATAGCATGATAACTATAATGATCATGTGTTGTATACTTGAAAGTTGCTAAGAGAGTAGATTTTAAATGTTCTCACCACAAAATTTTTTAAAAGGTAACTATGTGAAATAAATAAAAAGGTACTGAATTTTAGCATAGTTAGAAATTTTTAAGATTACAAATTTGCATAAGTTTTTTTAAAGATTCTCATTTCAAAGCCTGAAAGCAAAATTGTTAAAATATTTGACACTTCTCTTTTATAAGCAGTTATAATTGAGGTTTCCTTGTAGGTGCTCACTCTCTCTACCTTTCCCTTCCTCCCTCCTTCCCTTCCTCCCTCCCTCATCCAAGGACATGCTCATTGATTCTAGAGAGAGGGGAAGGGGAGAGGGAGAGAAACATCTACGTGAGAAAGAAACATCAATCAATTGCCTCTTGCACTTGCCCGAACTGGGATGGAACCCACAGCCTAGGCAGGTGCCCTAACTGGGAATCAAACCCACAACCTTTTGGTTTATGGGACAATGCTCCAATCAACTGAGCCACACCAACCAGGGCTGTAGTTTTCTTTTTTTTTTTTAAATGTTGGTTTTAAACACTCTATAAGTTACAAAAATGTTTTTAAAACCTGAAAGATTAAGTAGATATATCTTAAAGGCTGTTCATTAGAAAAGAAAAAAGATCTGGGCCTTTAGTTGATTACACAATCTCAATTTTAAAAACTTTGTTTTATGTATATTCTTATACACAGAAAACAGTATAATGAACTCCTATGTATTCATCGTCAGCTTTAACAATTGTTAAATTTCTGCCAACCTTATTTCATCTACTTCTCGGAACTTTTTTTCTGAAGTATTTTAAAACAAATCCTAGACACTTCATTTCACATATAAATATGCAAATCCATTAACGTGTTCTCATTTATTCTAGGCTGGTCAAACCATACTTACAATATTGTGAGTTTCTTCCCTCAACTTCATTAATGGAGCCTCTGCTGAATGAATGTAGTTTTCACGTTTGCTCTCCATTTTAAAGTAATTGATTTTAATCTTCTAAGAAGAAAGAAGAAACTACTTACCAATTCTTCTCCTGCTCTTTTGTGTCTGAGTGGTAGCTATATGTTCCAAAATAAACTATACGTATCACAATTTCAGTTTCCCATTAAAAGGGCTTAAAAGGAAATTTTTTTCCTCCATATTTTGCAATCAATTTGTTCCTTTATTTCCCCACCCACACCCCTTTGCATCTCCAAAAACCTTTATACTATGTAACAAGGAAGGTTGAAACTTGTCTCTAAAACATAAAGATTAAATATAATAAAAGCCTAATAAACCTGGTTAAAATTAGTTAATTAAATTTGTTCCTTTAATTGAAATCAGATTGACTTCATGAAAGATCTAAATGAAGTGTTTAGGTCAATTTAAGAGCTGAGAACAAAGTAATATTCAATGTAAACTGTAACTGAAAATTAAAAAAAAATAGCTGAGTAATATCATGCTGCTAGTGATAGAGTCTAGTGATGACCAAATACAGAACAATTGAAAAATGTGAATGCAAGAATTATATACATATATTACAGTACCAAATGTTGTACTGTAGGCTTTAAAATTATAAATTACATTAATTTCAAAAGTGTTTTGCATGTGAGTCATTCTTCAGTAACTCAGCCAAACATGCTAGCATTTTCTTTCCTCCACTCATTTCTTGTACTAGCACTTCCTATATTTTCCTGGTGGCTATCCTCTTTCATGAGATTTCATTTTTGTTAGCTACCTGATCACCAATAATTCAAGCATATCAAGTCTCACAGTCCTATTCCTGTATGTTCACCTTATTTTCCTTTAGAACATTCATTTTAATAACTAGTTTTCAATTTTTAAAGCTATTTAAATTCAAAAATTTCAATAAAATCTAAACTGATGGGTGTGAGTGACTTTCTCTTTCCTAAAACAAACCATCCACCCATTATTATTTTTTATTTGCAAGGTGGTTGTACTCTCTGTAAGTAGAACCTTACTGCCAAACAGAATGAATGCCAAAAGGCATGGTGTATGTGTTTAATATAGGCAATAAGGCAGAATTAAAATCCAACCCATATCACACAGAATCAGAATCTGCGTGTTAGAACAGACCTTAAGGACCATGATGTACAATCACCCATCTTCTGTGTGTATGTAACCACCAGGTTTGTTTGTTTTTTGTTTTCAAAAGAAGGCAAAAACCTTTAATAAAACAAAACAACTGCAAAAAGAAATGGTAATTCTAGTTAATTTGTTAAAAAAAAAAAGTGTTCCCTGAGGTAGCCTGTATAGGGATGAATGAGTCTCTGCCTTCCAACAACTGCACCTGTTGGTGTTATAAGTAATCCTAACGGCTTTTGACAAGTACCACGGTGACATTGTGTGTAAATATGCTTTGGGACCACAAAGGAGGGAGTACGCGATTTCACTCCGAAGGTTACACCTTCAGAAGACCAGTGAATGACCTTCAAGAATGACTACACAGGTAGAGAAGAATAGGAGTATTTTAACTTGGAACAGCAAGAGCGTCTCTTACACCTGAGAGTTACCGACAGGAATCTGCAAAAGGCTGTTTGAAAGGGGTCGCAGCAACGGAGGTTTTTTAACAGTGGATTTCAATTTAAACTGCACATTAGAATCACCTAGGAAGCTTAAAATATCCCGCTGCCAGACCGCACATCAGACCAATTAAAGTCGAATCTGTGGGGCAGGTATAGTATTTTTTAAAATTTCCTCCCCCAAATCCAACGTGCAGGTGAGTTTGAGATCACCGTTTTAAAGCAGAAAGTAAAACATGAAACGTGGACTTTGAGAGGGAGAAAGTGCCGGTAGGGCATAAAAAATGAACTGAAAGCCCTTGTACAGCAGGGCGGCTACAGCAAAAAGCAGGGAAAAGAACCGAGTGAGAGCCAGCAGGAGAGGATTTAAAGGCTGTTTTCTGTGGTTGACCTGCCGGGATTTGGGAGTCGGTAATAAAATCAGTATCCATCCAACTCCATTAAAGTGAAGTTATTCTGCCAGCGGCCCTGCTTCTACCTCCAATCATATTTTCTCGCATCTTTTCCCACAGTTAAAAAAAATGACGGAACGTTTTCTATCCCACGAAAGGCGCATGAGCAGACTGTGGGAGGTGCAAAGACCTGAGAAGTCACAAGTACGCAGCCGTTACAATTTCTTCGCGATTCAAGAAGCACAACTCACGAACTTCCAGGAGTCGAGCTCCCCTGCGGCATTCGTACCTCATTTGGGAGCGCGGATAGTTACCTTAAGGCAAATTGGAGCCTTTTAAACCCTGAGGGCAGCGAGGGCAAGGGCGGGGCAACTACTGACGTCTGCGGTGACGACACCGGCTCCTCCCACACAACCGCTTCCGGTGGCGCGCAGCCCCACTTCCGTTTTTCTGGCCCGCGCGCCGGCCCCACCCCAATCCTAGCACCCCTGAGCGTTCGGGCGCCCCCACTGCCGGTCGAAAAAGCTAGATTGCTGTCGGAAGTCCCCCTGCAGGTTCCCCTTCCGTTCTGCCTATCGACTTCCGCTTTTGGCCGTCAATATGGATCCTGCCGCTGCCTGGCGAAGCGGACTCTGATCCGTGGCGGAGGCGCACCTTCTCTGCGGCAGCCGTTCCGCTTCCCCGCCCTCCCCCGCCCCTCGCTCCAGTCCCAGAGGCTGGCGGGCTCCTCACTACATGGGGGCGGGCCTCCGCGTCCAGCGTAGGGCTTCCTGTTCAGAGGCGGTCTGGCGGTAGGCGGCGGGCTCGGCTGGCGCCCACTTCGGCGCGGTGACCGAGCGCCCGGGAGGCTCTAGGGCCGCTGCGCCAAGCCCGACCCTGCGTCGCCATGGCCCCAGTACAGCTGGAGAACCACCAGCTGGTCCCGCCCGGAGGCGGTGGCGGAGGCAGCGGCGGCCCCGCGTCAGCCCCGGCGCCTCCTCCTCCTGGAGCCGCTGTGGCGGCGGCCGCTGCCGCTGCGGCTAGCCCTGGGTACCGGCTGAGTACCCTCATCGAATTTCTGCTGCACCGGGCCTACTCGGAGCTCATGGTGTTGACGGACCTGTAAGTGCCCCGAAACCCATGCCTGCTCCCCAGCTTCCCTCTTCCCGCCCAACCTGCTGAGAGAGGTTTGCACCTCCCTCTCCCCTAGAGGCTGCTGTTTTCTTCTCTCTGCGGGGCTGCTTAGTCTAGAATATCTGAACTCCTAGGGCAAAGAGGAGGTGGAGAAGCAGCTTTGCATTTGGGGTCTTTCTGGAGAAGCAACCGAGGCTTGTTAATTATACAGGTTGTTAGACTTGCCTTGAAAATCTCATCTTTGGGATTTTTGCTCAAGTTGCCAACAGAACTCTTTTGATTTCTTGGCTGGAAGCTTTTTAGTCCAAATCCCAAGATTAGGGTTTAGGAATACATAATATTCGAGCTTGTAAAAAAATCCCAAAGATGGGAAATCTGTTTTACAGCATCTTCATCGTACGTTTGAATGTGGGTTTTAATTGCTTCTAAGTTTGAACCTGAGAGATGTATATAAAATAATTCAAGAATTTGGATTCCAGTTTTTTTCTGGAACATTTGAAATCTTAACGCATTTAGTGTAAGTAAAAGATTTTTTTGTAACTGGCCTGCTGTTACTGTTTTTAGGAGTATGAGGGGAATTTATAAATCACCAAGTTACCCATGAAATGCCATGGGACATGATTAGGGTGTAATCCCTTCAGAATAGGATCAGAATACGCTTTAATGATTTTTAGTGTGTGAAGAAGAGGCACTGTACAATTAGGGGGAATATATACTTTAATCACTGTTTTATGTGTTTTACTCCACGTTCAGAAAAAGTAAGAATTAGTAGTTTTTATCTTTTTTCTCTTTCTAGACTCCAGATCAGTGTTTTCAATCGAAATAATAGTATATAGATATTAGGATGTAAAGTGTCATAGTAATTTGTTACTAGACACTTAAAATATTTGCAGATGACTAAAAGAATTTGAAAAGGTTCTTCTTATTCCTTTAAAACATCATTCTCACCCAATTTTAATATACTGTACTTTATTGAATGGGACAGAAAAAGTCTACCCCTGTCTAATGAGAAATTTAAGTAGCTGTCCTGATGAGGGATTATTGTAGTAATATACCTCTCTGCATCATTTATTGTTCGATTTCATAAAAATCCAAGAGTAGCCATGAGAAAATTTCATGTATGTGAAGGTCATATTTCCTATGTATAACTATGGAAATGTGTTAAAAACTGTTATCAGTGATGGTGTAGTTTAACTTTTTTTCCATAGGGATTTGTAGAAATTCATTGAATTATATTGTAATGTTCTTAACTCTTTTAGGACTTAGTTATGAAGAGAGGAACATTTGTTTTATCACTGTAGAATGAGTATATAGTTTTAATCCTATGAGGAGAGGAAAATTTGTTTTATCACTGTAGAATGAGTGTATAGTTTTAATCCCATACCCTTTATATGATGATGACTCCCATACTTACGTCTCTGATATAGACCTCTCCGCTGAACTCCAGACTCTATATCCAGATGCGTACATTTAAATTCCTAATAGGCATTTAAGTGTACCAATTCCAGAACCAAATTCCTGCTTCCACTCAATTCCCCTGAACCTTTCCTATCTCACTAAATAGTATCTCTATTCTTTCTTCGGTTACTTAGGTCAAAAATATTGGAATAATTCCTGGCACCTCTTTTTTCTAGCCCCACACCCAGTACAAGACCAAGCCTTGTCATCTCTGACTTCAGAATCTGACCACTTTTCAACATTTCCATCATGTGTTACTCCTTCGCCTGTGTTACTGGAGTAGTCTGCTAACTGGCATCTGTACTGCTCCCCTTTCCGTCTACAGTTTTTCCTCCAAAAAATAGCCAGGGTGATCCTTTTAAACCTGCTCACAACCCTCCAGTGGTTCCCCATCTCACTTACAGTAAAAGTTTTTGTAGTCACCTATTGATTGGGTGACCATAAAATTTATGGTCAAAATCAGGACACTTTTTTTTTAAAAAAAATGGACTTATTGGGGTTAAATTGGTTCGCAAAACCATACAGGCTTCAAGTGTACAACTCAATAAAACATCTGCACACTGCATCATGCACCTACCTCCCCAAGCAAAATCTCTTTCTGTCCCGCAATTTCCCCTCTTTGCCCACGTTCACCTAGTCCCCCATTCTCTTTTCCCTTTGGCTATCACCACACTGCTTGTGTCTAGGTATTATGTATATATGCTTTTTGGTTAATTCCTTCACCTTCTTTCATTCAGTTCCCCCTCCCCACTGACAGCTGTCAATCTGTTCCATGTGTCCATGCCTCTGTTTCTGTTCTGTCAGTTCCTTAATTTTGTTCATAAGATTCCACATATAAGTGAGCATATGGTATTTGTCTTTCTCTGACTGGCTTATTTCACTTACCATAATAATCTCCAGGTCCATCCATCCTGTCACAAAAGGGAAGATTTCCTTCTTTTTTATGGCTGTGTAGTCTTCTGTCGTGTAACTGTACCACAGCTTTTTTATCCACTCATCTATTGAAGGACACGGGCTGATTCCAAATCTTGGCTGTTGTAAATAATGCTGGAATGAACATGGAAATGCATATATTCTTTTGAATTAGTGTTATGAGTTTCTTAGGATGTTCCCAGAAGTGGGATTGCTGCTTCAAAAGGCAGTTTTAGTTTTAATTTTTTGAGGCAACTCCACACTGCTTGCCACAGTGGCTGCACCAATCTCCATTCCCACCAACAGTGCAAAAGGGTTCCCTTTTCTCTAAAACCTTTCCAATACTTGTTTGTTGATTCATTGATTATAGCCATTTTCACAGGTGTGAGATATCTCATTGGTTTTAATTTGCATCTCTCTGATGATTAGTGATTTTGAACATTTTTTCATATGTCTGTTGGCCATCTGTATGTCCTTTTTGGAGAAGTGTCTGTTCAGGTCCTTTGCCCATTTTTGTAACTGGGTTGTTTGTCTTCTTGGTGTTGAGTTGTATAAGTTCTTGATATATTTTGGAAATTAACCCCTTATCAGATAGATCATTGGCAAATATGTTTTCTCCTTCAGTGGGTTCTCTTTTCATTTTGTTGATGGTTTATTTTGCTACGCAAAAAAAAAGCTTTTTAGTTTGAGGTAGTCCCATTTTTTTTTTTTCTCTTTGTTTTCCTTGCCTGAGGAAATATATAAATATTTGCTTTAGATCTGAGAAATACATCATTGGTATTTTAATAGGAATTGCTTTAAATCTATAGGTTGCTTTGGATAGTATGGACATTTTAATGATGTTAATTCTTCCAGTTCATGAACACGGTATATGCTTCCACTTATTTGTATCTTCCTCAATTTCTTTCTTCAATATCCTATAACTTTCCAAGTACAGGCCTTTTACTTCATTGGTTAAATTTATTCCTAGGTACCTTATTATTTTTTGTTGTTGGTGCAGTAGTAAATGGAATTGTTTTCTTAATTTCTCTTTCCGATGTATAAAAGTGCCACCGACCGATTTCCAAATATTAATTTTGTATCCTGGTACTTTGCCAAATTCATTTATTAGATCAAGTAGTTTTTCCTGTGGAGTCTTTAGGGTTTTCTGCATACATTGTCATGTCATGTGTGAATAATAACAGTTTTACTTTCTCCTTTCCAATTTGGATGCCTTTTATTTCTCCTTGGAAATCAGGACACTTTTGAGAATGAAAGGTGGTGGAGTTAGTAATTATATTGAAGCAGCAGTCATAAACTGAAACTATCTTGGGCAGACCAGGATGTGTGGTCACCTTAGCTTTAAGGCCCTACATGATCTGTGTCTCCTCTCCCTTGTCTCTTTAGCTTCATTTCCCAGTACTCTCCTCCTTGCTTAATTCTTTTTCAGCCGCTCGACCCTCTTGATGTGTCGTGATAGTGCCAGGCACACTACCCCCTACCCGTTAGAGCCTTTGCTCTTTTCCTAGAACTCTGTGTGGTTTGCTTTCTCATTTCCTTTAGGTCTTTGTTCAGATATAACTTACCAGAAAGACTTTATCTGACTATCCATGAAAAGCCCTCTGCCTCTTCATTCTATCCTTTACTCACTGCTTTGTTTTTCTGTAAGCACTTACTGCCACCAGACGTTATTTGTTGTCTGTCCCCTTCCCACCGGAAGCGCAGTGAGGACAGGGATTTTGATTTGTTTGCTACTTTAAACAGGGCCTAAAACAATGCCTGGCCCGTAGTCAGGGTTTAACTACTTATTTATTTATTTAATACATCAGTGAATTAATTTTTAGAACTGTCATTGTAGATCATAGAAAATTTTATGGGAATATTCACTGTTGCTCTTGATAGGTATATACAGAATAACTCTTTTCTCTTTTGATTTGTGGTAACCAAAATTAGGGACCTGTTTTGGAAGTTTTTAAATTATTTGTTTTTCCTTGTTCCAGGTAGAAACTGTCAGGATAAATGTATTAATAATGTAAAACTAGTGTTCTTATATACTTTATAAGAGTCATATTTCTGCCACATTTGATGCTTGTCTGTGAACTATCGAAAGAAAGAAGGACAGCCTTGGCATTTTAAGTGGTTTGTTTTTGGCCCTAGATGTTTTTTTTCTTTGTTTATCCACTACCTTCTGCCACACTCCCTCCCCCAATATACGTGCTCTCATCTTAGAGTTTACACTCTGCCTTAACTTTTTTAAAAAAAGGTTTTATTTATTCATTTTTAGAGGGGGGAAGGCAGGGAGAAAGAGGGAGAGAAACACTGATCAGTTGCCTCTTACACTCTGCCATCAGGGGACCTAGCCTGCAACCCAGGCATGTGCCCTGACCAGGAATCAAACTGGCAGCCTTTCAGTTCTCAGGCCAGTGTTCCATCCACTGAGCCACACCAGCCAGGGCTGCCTTGACTTTAAGGACTTAGCATCTGTTCTTTTTAAAACCTCTTTAAATCAAAATCAGAAAATGCTAGAATCTCAGTCATGTAAACTTAACCAGCCTTAGATATAAATAAGTTTTATATCTGTGACTTACCATTTCCAAAAATTAGCATTTTGATAGTTTTCCCTCCTTGTACTTTGAGTCTTTGGAAGTGGTCTTAGTTTTTCTGCACCTGTGGCATGGGGGTAAGAGAACAGGATCTAAGAATCTTGGTGTGTATTCTTTGAGAATGGTTAAATGCTAGGTGAGGCTTTAGAGTTGTTCAGGCCATTGAGTCTTGGACAGAGGTTTGGGATAGAGGTTTACAGAATATGGCAGCAATTTAGGAAGCAGATCAGGACCTTTCTAAAAGCATCAGGAGATGCGAGAGCGTTAGATGGCATAATGGGAAGGAAGGAAGGAAAACTCTACTGGAGCTGTTTAAAAGTAATATAAATCATTTACATCTAACCACATGCAACATCATAATTACTGTACAACTCTTGCTGACACTGGCCCTTTTGTGTGCTCAGCTTCTAGTTTTGCCCACCATAATAAAACAGGGAAGGATTACTGCTTGAAAGCAAGGTTCTACTGGATATGGGGAGACTGGCAACTAAGTAGTGCTCTGCATCTGTGACCATTTTGGTCTTAAAAGAATATTTTCTCCGACTCTCTGCTATAGTGTGCTAATTTAAGACTCAGGCATTTTAAATGGCTGAGGTTCATGCAGTACCTTTTGAAGCATTTTGAATGGAGATAATTATGTTCCTTTGTTGGTTTTTCCCTTATAGCCAGCCATATTGCTGGAAACTCATAAAAGTAAAAAAAGAGTTGGTAGCACACAAGCCTGTAATGGCTATTTATCTAATATTTTTTGAAACACTAAGGTCAAAGTAAATATAGTCAAAGACTTATATTTTGAGGAAGGTATGAATGTATTTAGTCAATTTCTTTTTTTTTTCTTTTTAGACTGCCAAGGAAATCTGATGTGGAAAGGTGAGTATGGAAAATCCTTAAATCTGTGTCTCTATTGATATATCTATGAGTGTGTGTGTGTGTGTGTGTGTGTGTGTGTGTGTGAGAGAGAGAGAGAGAGAGAGAGAGAGAGGGAGGGAGGGAGAGAGGAAGGGAGAAGGAGGGAGAGAGGAAGAGAGAGGATGTGGGCATGAGTGGTAGGTCGGAAACCTAAGCCTGGAATGCCTAGGGCGATTTTTTCCACATCGTTTGTTTGTAATTTTGTCATCCTTGATAATTCTTGGTACAAGGCCAGCTCTGGACCTTAGGTTCTAGAAACCTTTATTGAGTCACTGACCAGGTTAAGTCCCTGAGGGGAATAGGAAGATGTACAAGTAAAGATAAAGAGTTTAAAGGAAGAAGCTGAGGAGTTAGACTGTGGAAAGTTGGCTTCTAATTTACCATTTGCTACAATGATGCTATTAGATTTCTTTAGAGAATTAACATTTGCCTAGTGCCATTGCTGTTTTATAATTGAGAGACTTTTGATTCAATTGGAGTTTGCAGCTTAAGATATAACTAAATATAGTATGTTTCCATAGGCCAGATAAGCAAGACAAATTAACATTTCAAAGAAATTATATGATGGAGATTTAAATTATGGCTACAGCATAGGCTATCTAACTATATCTTTGGCACTACTTATGCTCCTTGGTTGATTTTTAAAAATTTTTCTTGAAAGCTGCTAATCTAGAACTCTATATCCAGTGAAATTACTTTTTTTTAATCCTCACCCGAGGATATGTTTATTGATTTTAGAGCTAGGGGAAAGGAGGGAGAGGAGAGAAACATCGATGTGAGAAAGAAACATTGTTTGGCTGCCTCTTGTATGTGCACTGACAGGGACCGAACGCACAACCTAGGTGTATACCCTGACCAGGAATTGAACCTAACTGGGAATTGAACCAGTGACCTTCCAGTTCACAGGATGACGCTCCAGCCAAGTGAGGCTCACTGGCCAGGGCTGATTTTTTTGTTTTTTGTTTTAAATACCAAGTCACTAGAGGATTTTAGCATTTATTAATGACAACGCTCCACCCCTACCCCCAGCTGACCTTTTTGATAGAATTAGACATAGATAAAAAAGGTGGAGGTGGATGAGACAATTGAAGCATGCCTGTGTTATGGTTTGACTGGTCAGTTTTAAAGGAAGAAAATGAAAAAGTCAGGATTTGTGCTGTTGACTCTTGGGTAAGAAGGGAAATTGGGCTCTGGAAAACCTAATCACTTGAGACAGCATGGTGTCAAAAAAAAACCCCATCTTAACAACAGTTTGCAAAGGGGGGTGCCTTCTTTCCAGTAGAGGTGCTCATTTGGGAAACCAAATTAATAACACTCAAATATAATTGTTCTGGAAGAGAAGCAGAGGTCTCTCGTCCTCTGTAAGCCGTTCCTGAGTTAGAGTGACAGTAATGAGGCTCCTAGCACTGAGGTGGTTGCCAGATCATAATTCACATTTAATATTTCTGTTGTGTCCCACTCTTGCCTTGAGGCTCTGCTTATTTTATCTCTTAGGATCCTTCACAGGAACTGGCAAAGAGTCATAACTGTATCTGTCTTCTTGATATTATTGCTGGCTGATTCTTAAGGAAGACTATCAGGTTGTTTGTGGGCTGTGTATGCTCTCAATAGGAGTTAGATTCTGTAGTTTTCAGTCAGGATTATACTTGAGCAAAAGTTTTATTTTGGTGCATTGTATCATGGTATTGGTGTTGGTGAGATGCAGAGATGTGGATTGGCTCTGTAGAGAGCATTGAACAGCAGTACTGGGATTAATAGGTCAGAAGCCACTTGGAGGGAGGTTGATGTCCTCTTCAGTTCCTGTCACTGTTGTGGCCTGTTGAACCATGTTTTTTTCAGTGTCTTAAGGTGAACTATGAAAGGTATGATTATCAATTTTTTAGATGACAGGAAGTTGAGAGGTCTAGCTTACACATTCATTGACAACATAAAAGACTTTATAAGAAGATGATAAAAAATAGTGATGAGTAAGTATTGGGAGAAAAAGCATTGCAGTGAGTATAGAATAAAAATAAATATGGACAGACCTTCTAGTTTTTACTCTTAGTATTCAACTTACTTTCTTTGCTCAGCTAATTTAATATATAAGGTTATCATTTAAATTAGTTTGGTAAAGAGTTACATAGTTAAGTTCTTTTATTATCTAATTTTTTAAATCATACCCTTGCAAGATGTGAATTGTGCCCTTGCTTTTGTAGAAATAATACACTTTCAAGCTCTATTTTAATTCCTTTCTCTTACCAAAAAGGTTACTAATACATAATTCATAATTTCAATTATGAAATTTATAACTCCTTATTTGGTCCCCTGTGTGACCCAGTTAATGTCTATATAGTAACTTTGTATCTGTGAATTTGGTATATTTTAGTAAACAATTTTTATTACCATATAAAATTAATTTTTAGAATGTGATTTATTGCTAAAACGTTCTTGACTTTATTACTATGAGGTAAAAAAATAAAGGATATGCAGATGGTATATAAAATGTGACTGTATATGTATTTTGATAAATACCGTAGGTGGTTCATTTTGTTGTAATGCTTTTAAACAAAGATTGAGTTGTACTTTAGCTCAAATGAAATAAATTGTGAAATACTCTTTAGAATCTGTTGGTTCATTAAAAATTATTTTATTTTATAGGAAAATAGAAATAGTGCAGTTTGCTAGCCGGACACGCCAACTCTTTGTTCGATTATTAGCTTTAGTAAAATGGGCTAATAATGCTGGCAAAGTGGAAAAATGTGCGGTGAGTTGAACTTTTGATTTTATTTTATATAAAATAACTTTGTGGAATGTTAACTTAAAATAGACACAGTTTCTAATTTTAGCTTTAATTTATATCTAGTAATTTGTTTTGAGAGACATTACTTATCTGAGTAATCATATTTCTTGTGATAATGTATATTTTTGTAGAAGCTTAGTATTTGTTTATAGAAAGAAGAGGAGGCAATATCTGGACATCATTACACTAGAAGACATTAATTTGGAGACTTGAACTAAGGGGGAAAATAGTTAACTTACATTTGTTTGGTTCCTTAGAGTTTACAAAGTACTCCCTTAAATTTTGCCTATTGATTCTTGACAACCTTGTGAGTATGACAAAGTCAGTATTTTGTTATTTTACAGATGAGGAAACAGTAAGATTCCTAGAGATTAAATGGCTTCTTCAAGGTCACAGAGCAGATAACAGCATTTATCTATTTGTTTGTTTGTTTATTCATCTACTCATTCTCCAAACATTTATTGAGCACAGGTTGTGGGATGTGTTGGGTGGAGACTTGAATAAGGAGGCACAGCCTCTGCTGTCAAGAAACTCATAGTTTTTTGACTGTTGAATCATTCTTTTGAATTCAAAGGAGTGACATATAGTGAAGCGTACCAAAGAAGCTTTAGCAAAGATGCTAAAATCTGTCCCCCAATCCAAAAAAAGTTTTTAGCTATGTTCAAGAAGTGGTCAGAGGAAAAACATCAGTAGGGATCTTGTGTTAACCTATTGAGCTCATAACTTGAGGGGGGATGGTGTGGTGTTACAGGAGTTGCACAATCATTCTTTCCTGTTTTCTGTCAGTCACTTCTAATGAGAGAAATGGGAGTTCATATTGGAAAGGGTAGAGTAATTGTCATAAAAAGAATAAGTCCTAAAATAATGAGAGCATTTACCCAATTTAATTGAGGTCAGCTCTCCAGGCCCAGCTTTCCAAGGGCAAATAGCCTCCTAGCCACCATTTGTTATATTGGAAAGTGGGGGATGGGGGGTAGATTCTCTAAGTGAGCTTGGCATTGATGCTAAAAATTCTTTTTATTTTTCGTTCAGTTATGTAATGACATAAAAAAAATTTATTTTTATAGGTGAAATCAGAAAAATATATTGTTTAATTGTAATCAAATCATTTAAAAATTCTTTTTAAGTTTTTCAGGCTTCCTCGATAAATTAAAACTAGCAGCTATCCATTATAGAGGTACCATTATAAATTTATTTTTGGCATCTTGAGAAGCTAAATTGCAGATACTTTTGCAGTAATTTTATATTTGCGAATCTATTGGGGTTTGCATATTCCATAAAATTTCACTTCAGAAAGAAATAACCCAGTTGTGTGTCTTTTTTAAATTAAATTAATTTGAGAGAGAGAGAGAGAGAAACATTGATTTGTTGTTTCATTTATTTATGCATTCATTGGTTGATTCTTGTATGGCCCTGACTAGGGATCAAACCCACAACGTTGGTGTATAGGGGTGATGCTCTAACCAACTGAGCTACCTGGCTAGGGATGGGATAATCTCTTCTTAAAAAAGTTCAAACTTTCAATGAAAAGTTAGGTATTACTGAAGTATATCAAATCCAAGTGTTCAATTTTTCAAATTTGGTATTTAAGTTACCTGTTTGACACTACTGAGTATCATACAAAAAGCAAAACTCTTGGTTTTTATATTGATCCATATTGCATTCATCTCTTATTAATTCATAGTACAGTATTCTATTAGTTTTTTAAATTGGCTATTCAAATAAGTCATTCTGATAAAGTCTTATATTGAATTTATATAAAGTTTTAGTGTTTATGTTTTGTAAATGTAGATACCGATGTTTTTATATCGTAGATAAAGTTTATCAGCTGGAGAATTAGAGGATTATTCATGTTTTGACACTTCCGTTCTCAACCTAATGATTATTTAACTAATATCTTTAGAGGTTCTTAATAGATAATGATCTTTAGCCATGCCAGAGAAATTACGCCTGTAGCTGAGTGTGTAAATACACAGATTATAGAACTCTGAGTAATGATAAAACAGTCTGGATTATGTTTTATCTAAGGAAAAGAAAATATCTCTCATATTTTCCTAGAGCTTTTTAAAAAACAGCTTTATTTAGATGTAAGTTTACATACCATACCATCCACCTATTTAAAATACACAATTTAGTGGTTTTTAGCATATTCACAGATACGTACAACCATCACCACAGGCAATTTTAGAACATTTTCATCACCTCAAAAATTAAGCCTTTACCCTTTTAACTGTCATGCCCAAGTACCTGCCCCTAGGCCTACGCAAGCAGTAATCTGCTGTCTATAGATTTGTCTGTTCTCAATATTTCATATAAATGGAATCATGTGGTCTTTGTGACTGGCTTCTTTCACTTAGCATAATGTTTTCAAGGTTCATTCACATTGTAACATGTAGTAGTACTTCATTTGTTTTTATACCTGAAATTGTATGGATTTTGTTTATCCATTCATCAGTTAATGGACATTTAGGTTATTTCCAGTTTTTGGCTGTTATGAATAGTGTTGCTGTAAACATTCGAGTACAAGTTTCTGTGTGGACATATGTTTTTATATCTCTTGGGTATATACCTAGCAGTGAAATTGCTGGGTCATACAGTAACTATGTTTAATCATTTGAGGAACTGCCAAACTGTTTTTCAAAATGGTTGTCCCATTTTACATTCCGACCAGCAATGCATGAGGGTTCTAATTTCTCCATATCAGTATTTGACATTTTGATTCTAGCTGTCCTATTAGGTGTGATGGGCACCTCATTGTGGTTTTTTTGCATTTCTCTCATGACCAATTATGTTGAACATCTTTTCATGTGCTTTTGGTTGTTTTTATATTTTTCTTAGAGAAACGTATGTTTGGTGCTCTTAAATTTTAAAGGAATCGAGGAAACACTTTGTAAAGTATATGATTGTCAAGTACAGCTGAAACTAATATGAAATAGTATTAGCTGTACACTGTAATTGAAAAATAAAATTTAAATTTAAAAATGTAAAGATTATTAGCTATATTAACAGCTGGTATGTGAGTACTTAAAAGAAAATAAAGAGCATGCTGATCATTAGGGATCTATATGCATTCACTAATAAGTTACTCAAAACTAAAGTTTTAATCTTTTATTTATTTGATTTCTAAGTTGAAGGAATATAGCTTAAGCTAGTATATTTTGAGTTGAGCAAGGTGGTTTAGAGTGTTTCATTAAATACCAACATGTTTAAGGCAGATAACTTGAGCTGGATAAACTGTGGCACCCCACTAGGGTTGATGAATGTCTTCCTTGAGGGAGGTCTTTGCTATTCTTTGGCCTTGGCGTTAGTCTGATAAGCATTTTTGTAGTGTCCTGAGTGAAGGGAGATTTGGGATGACCTAAATCTGAGTAAAACCAGTTCACAAGTTGAGAGAAGTGGGATTCAAGGTGGTTTTAAATATGTTCAAATCGGACAGATTCCGGTCCTGCTCTTAGTTAGGACAGGAAAGTGGATCTTGCCTATTAGAGGTTCATGAACAAAAGATCAAGGCCTTTTAGGTGACTCCAAGCTTGCTGTGTGTTAGATGTGGCTTCTAATAAGAAGTTAGTGTTGGTGGCAGTGAAAAAAGTCCATTTTACTAGTTTAGGGGTACAAAAAGTGTTCTTCCCATCTTTCTAAGTTCTTCTGATTAGGCTAAAATAATGAAATTAGCATGAGACAGATTAATAGGCAAAAATATCCAAATTTACATATGTACAGATGGAAGTTCCATAAGAATATGAGACTTGAGGATGCAATGGGCAGTTGAGGCGTATATGCCATTTTGGACTAAGGAAAGGGAGGCAGGGGTCTGGTATTTTAAAGAGAAAGCAGACAATTTACAGATAGCTGAGAAAGAGCAAACACGTGGTAAACAAATTCTTGCCGGACCACCCAGAAACAATGGGGCACAGAGGGGAGTCCCAACAAACAGGCTTTACCTATTTTTCCTGTCTGTCACATTTACTTTATATTATGATGCTAAGGTGATGCTCCCTTCCTTTAAACAGGTTTTTCTATCTGAATTCCTTTAGGCAGGTAAGGAGGAGGATCAAAGGTTCTTTTTGAGTCTTTTTATTTCTTAAAAAGAACCAGCTTAAAATGTCCCTGAAAGTATATTTTGGAGTGGCAAAACTTTGGTCCTCTTTACTAGTCATAGAAAGTAGCACTTATAGTGGGCTTGGCTGGTCTAACAAAGAGTTAGAAGAAACACTTTTTGGTTCCAGCTTCTCTGATAATTAATTTTCTTTGGGCAAGTGTCTTAACCTAAACCTCAGTTTTCTTAACTCTAAGTTGATGGTTTTGTCTGTTTGTCTGGTTTTGTCTATTTCCTGGACTTGTGAAAATCAGATAATAAAATGAGTGTGGAAATGCTGAGAAAATGTAGGGCGTTTTGTGTGCATCCTGTGGTATTAATTCTGGATACCATATTTTAAGTTGGCCACAGGTACAGGAGCATTTCTAGGTAGTAGGATAAGGATGCTGAGTCAGGAGTTTGGAGATGTGAAGACTAATTGAAGTGATGTGGAATGTTTAGCTTGAAGACAGTTGGGTATCCCCTTTTTGAAGGGCATGAGAGACTAAGTATTGTTCCAGAATAGAAGTAGAAGATAAAAGTTTCGAGGAAATATGAGGTCTGTCCAGAAGGGATCCAGTCATGTATTATAAAAAACAGTGACATTTATTGGAGAAAATACAAGATAAAAGAAATATTGTACATAGGACAATGGCGCCTCAGTCCCCTTCAAAGTAGGCACTTTGGGATTTTACATAGTTCTCCCAATCGCCATCAGCTGCCCTCATGTTTTCCTGAATTTCATTGACTGTCTGAAATCTCTTCCCTTTCAAAGGTGATTTTACTCACCTTTGGGAAAAACCAGAAGTCGCAGGGTGCCAAGTTTGGGCTGAAGGGAGGCTGAGTCACCTGGGTGGTTTGATGTTTTGCCAAAAAGCTCTGCATGAGATGTGATGCATGAGTAGGCACGTTGTTGTGATGAAACTACAAGCACCGGTTGGCCATAGCTGCGGCCTTCTGAATTATCCCAATAGTTTCAGTGGAAAAATGTTCAAATTTGTAAAATTTGATGCAGATTCCTTGCTCTACTCATTTTGAATGTGAGGGCCACACAGCACACATGCTCACTCAACGGTGTCTACTGCCCCCAGTGACTAGTTGAGTGAAGTTGTAATTGTTCACACATGTGCATTCCAGTCCACTCTCCTTGGCTGCCAGGTTACATCGATGTTGTACAGACTGTTCTCATTATATTAACGTGGCTGGACTTTTTCCGGACAGACCTTGTAGATTTCAGTTCTGTGAAGAGTTCAGGAGCCCTTATGGAATGCACTAAGTAGGGAAATTGATGGGAAGGATCTCGATATTGGGCATGAAGTTTACCTAGATCTCATAATGGGCAATGTTTATTGAATGTTTCCATGTTCTAGGCACTGTTCCAAAGGTTTCATATGCATTAACTCTTAATTCTCAGAACAACCTATGAGTGGAAATCATTTCCATTTTACAGTTGAAAAACAGGCACAGAGGGATTAAGTAACTTAACCAAAATTATAGGGTTAGTAAGTTGCAGAGTTAAAATTGAGACCAAGGCAGCCTGGGTCCAAGGAATTCACACTTCATTACCAACTATTAAAAATTTTAACTGACAGGTTTTTTTTTGTTTGTTTGTTTTGTTTTAAGAAAGGGTTTATTAGGCCATTGCTAGCAGAAAAAAAAAAAGGAAGATGACTGGTCTCGGGGCATGGAGTCTAAAGTTTAAACCACCAGCAGCTTGGCTAGGTAGAAAAGACAGCCATGTCCATCCTGCTAGGGTTTTGCAAGCATTTTTGTACATCAAGTGTGTGTTTTGGGGGTTGTAAGCCCTTCTGAAAGGATTTACATTAGCTCTAAACAAAGGAGGTGGGAGAAGGTAAAGGGGGAGGGCTAGTTCTGAGACAGGCACAAAGCTCATGTGTAAACAAGAAGCAGAGGCTCCTGGGGTTCACTTGTGCCTGGCTCTTCTCTCTTTTAGATAATCTCTGAAATAGCCACCTGGGAGTTAATTTAATAATTCCAACCTACAGTAAGGAGCGCGAGCAGTCTTTTCTTGGTTTTGCAGTTAATTGATTGACCCCCCCCTTTTTTTTTTTTTTTGTTTCTTCCTTACCCCCTCTGACCTGCTGTAATTTGATTTAGGACATCTCAGAATTTACTCCTTTTCACCAACCAGGAGTCTGTAAGAGTAGTAAAAAAAAAAAAACAACAACAAAACATTTTATTTTACTTTTTAAAAATTAATTTATTTTTTTATTGTTGTTCAGTTACAGTTGTCCCCATTTTCCCCCATTACTTTCCCTTGCCTACCCCCCTAATTATTTTTTCTAACTCATGAGATTATGTATCTGTAATGTTAAGAATGAAGGAACAAATTGGAAAATCGTTTACTTAAATTGATAGAAAATTACTGTGTTTAAAAATATTTCTGCAAATTACTGGGAAATTTTTTGAAGAAATATTTTGCAATATGGGACACCTATATTAATTCCCCTTGAAATTTACTTTAAAATGAATCAATGATATTTGAAGTGGAAAGTGCCTAGTTTTCAAGGAAACATAATTAATACATTTACCCTTTGCTTTAAAGATGATCTCAAGCTTTTTAGATCAACAAGCCATCTTGTTTGTGGACACTGCTGATCGCCTTGCTTCGTTAGCTAGAGATGCTCTGGTTCATGCACGCCTACCTAGTTTTGCCATCCCGTACGCCATTGATGTACTGACTACTGGGTCTTACCCACGACTGCCAACCTGCATTAGGGTAAGTATGTTCTCCCCTACCCACCCTGATCTTAAAAGTTGAAGGCTTTGGCACTGGATCTATTATATTAGTCAGTGGACCAGCAAAAACTTATATTTTTAAAACGTATTTTATGTAGTTTTTTTTTCTCTGTAACTAAAATTGTGTTTTGTTTTTAAATAAATTGGGGTCAGAGTGTGAGTAGGTATCAAAATGGGTAGGTTTTTTTCTTTTGGTGAGGGTAAACATGTGCAGATATAACTTACATCTATTTCAGATATGAAAATACTGCATGTTATTTGCTTTTGGGAACTGTTTTTAAAGGTTTATTGTGTGGTAGTTTTCCTGCCTTGGTACTATTGTATTTTATACTTTTAAGAAGTGGTGGAAGTCATCTAGTGACATTAAGTTGGTTTCATAAATAGAGCATGAAGCTCATGTTGCATGACTGTGTTAGGTGGGTGTCTGTTGGAATCATTTAACACTTTAATACTTGACAGCAAAGGTCACTATTATTGGATGTAGACTGCAGAAATGAGTGTTGATGTTCTCTTGGGTAAAGTAAGAAAATACTGTGTTAAGACAGGCGTAGCTAAAAATTATGCTTTTTTGTACATTATTTTAAAATCAATTAAATTCTTTTGAAGGATAAAATTATTCCTCCAGACCCAATTACCAAAATTGAGAAACAAGCCACACTTCACCAGTTGAACCAGATTCTTAGACATCGTCTTGTAACCACGGACCTTCCTCCTCAGTTAGCAAATCTTACAGTTGGTATGTACCTGAAGGGTTTTGTTTGTTGTTTTTTTTTTTAAACAATTGATTTGTTAGAATATTTTTTTAAGCTTTGAGATTTTAGTCAAAGAAATATCATTATGAAGTTTTGACCTACAATTCTGGTGATGTTTGACTCTGTGACTTGTCAACCCTATCATTTGTCTTTATTACCTGGAAATACAATGCTGGTATTTGAAGCTGGCAAGTGGATGAGATCACCTGGGGCTGGAGGAGAGACAAGTCTCAGAGTTGAGCCTCAAGAAAATATTGTTCATTGACATCAGAAGAGTTGCCTTTGGTTTCTTTCTTTTTATTTTATTTTATTTTAGAGAGGAAGGGAGGGAGAAAGAGAGGGAGAAAAACTTAATGTGAGAAACATCCATTGGTTGCCTGCCGTACGTGCCCTGACTTGGAACCAAACCTGCAACCCAGACATGTGCCCTGACTGGGAGCTGAACTGCTGACCTTTAGCTTTGTGGGATGACACCTACCCAACTGAGCCACACCAGCCAGGGGCTGCCTTTGGTTTCTTGATGACCTGGAACCTGGCTGCTGCTTATGCAGAAACCACTGAACTGTTGGAACACTTATGAAAAAATATTCAATCTATTTAAAATTCCTTATAAGCAAGACCAAAAGTTCTGGGTTAGCAAAAAGCTTTTTTTTTTTTTTCATCCTCACCCAAGGACATGCTTATTGATCTTAGGAGAAGGGGAAAAGAGAGAGAGGGAGAGAAACATTGATGTGAGAGAGAAATAGCAATCAGTTGCCTCTCGCGTGCGCCCCAACTGGGGATGGAACCTATAACCTAGGCGTATGCCCTGACCAGTAATTGAACCTGTGACCTTTTGGCCTAAGGGCTGCCGCTGCAACCAACTGAGCCACAGCAGCCAGGGCAAAAAGCTGCTTATTTTTTTTTTTAGTAAAGTAGACTTCTTTTTCTTCTTCTAAAGCAAATGGCCGGGTGAAGTTTCGAGTTGAAGGAGAATTTGAAGCCACCTTGACTGTAATGGGAGATGATCCTGATGTTCCATGGCGTCTTCTCAAGCTAGAAATTCTAGTAGAGGATAAGGAAACAGGAGGTAAATCACAAATATGGATTTAAATTCTAAGTATTGATTTAAATGTTTGATGTTTTTATATCATTGAAACATTTTTGCAGGCTAATAAATGTGTTTAGCAATTTATTGATCCTGTAATTTGAAGCAGATTTCATGGTAATCGTAACTACTGACTGACCTGAGAGATTTCAGTGTTTAAATATAATGTTTTCTAGTTTTCATGGATAGTTTCAGTTAATTTTAAAAAATTCATTATTAGTTGATGTATTCTTCATTAGTTGGTACTATGACAAGATCTATATGCTTTTCTGATTAACCACTGTCTTTTCTTTTGCTAATGGAAGATGGACGAGCCTTGGTTCATAGCATGCAAATTGACTTTATCCATCAGCTGGTGCAGTCAAGGCTATTTGCTGATGAGAAACCTCTTCAGGACATGTACAACTGCCTACGTATCCTTCTGCCTCTAGTCTTAAACTGTAATAGCCTAAACTCTCCCCTTCCCCTTCTTTTGGTAGATATGGGGCTGGGAACTAGTCAGTGTGAAGAATAGTGATAGATCTATAATAAACGAAGTTTTAAATTTTACTGCTGACTTTGCAGGTAAAAACAAAAAATGATGAATTAGAAATAGTACTATTTGCAGAAAAAAAATAGTACTATTTGGTCTACCCATAGTCTCTAATCTATGATGAATTAAGGGGCAACTTGGACCTTATGGTCTCTTTATATTAGATCAAAATTAAATATACCTTTTTCTAAAGTTATGCCACAAATTATGTCACTTTTTAGGATAAGCCATTGGAGAAATATAATTCCAGAAATTTCTTTCATAACCAGCTTTTTTGGGAATGCAGCTTTGGTTAAATGAAGTTTGCTTAAACTAGATTGGCTGTTGTAGTAGATATAATATTTGCTTAACGAGATCCATCAGATTCTTTCTGCTTATCACTTCAGTTAGAAGTGCTACATTCCCAAACTCTAATGTTAATCCGAGAGCGGTGGGGAGACCTTGTGCAGGTGGAAAGGTATCATCCTGGAAAGTGCCTCTCCCTCTCAGTTTGGAAGTAAGTAAAGTTGATTCTGGTGGATTCATGCTATGACTATAAGTACTCTTTATTTTTCTTTTTCTCTCATGCATCTGATTTACTATATACTGATAGCTGTGTGCCTCTGACAACATGATTTTGTATAGTAAGGTCTCGTGGTAGCATACAAACTTCACAGGACACCCATAATTGACACCTTTCTTAGAACGTGGCATGTTTTAAATATGTAGACATCTATCTGGTGTCCTAAGACTTATTCTCAAAAAGTTAGATTACTCTAGGCTACTACCAGATTGCTAAAAAACTTAAGCTGTTGAATATTGTTTTTTAAAAACCATGCTTGCTTATCATCCCAGTTTTACATTTTGAATTGTGCCTTTTAATATCTTTTGTGGGGAGGGTTTTGGGAAAAATTAGTATCGAGCTGTTCATAGTCCTTGATTCCCTGTTTGAACTTTGCTTGAGTCCCATTTTCTATAAAGTAATAAGATATGAATAGATACCACTTAGAATACAGGTTGTTTTGTTTTGGATTTCTTTTTTTTGGTTGTGTGCATGTGTTTTATTTTTAAATTCTGTGGGTTTTCTTTTTAATGCAGTAAATCAAATACTGTGTTTGATTACAGACTAGCTCTTTTCCCAGTATTAATGTATTCCCTCTGCAAACAGTGAGGGTCTGTCATGTTCTAGACTCTGGCTAAGGCACACAATTGATTGCCTCTATTTCAATCCAAAAGTTAACAGACTTTGTTAAAAAAAATTTATATATTTCTTTTTTCTCTTTAGTCAACAGGTTCTTGGGAGAAAAACAGGGACGGCATCTGTTCACAAAGTTACAATTAAAATCGATGAGAATGATGTCTCTAAACCTTTACAAATTTTTCATGATCCTCCTTTGCCAGCTTCTGATTCCAAATTAGTAGAAAGAGCCATGAAGGTAGATGATGTCAATATATTTTAATATTGGTTTAATTAAATGAATATAACTTAACATTTATACTTAAACTGGTAGTACAAATTCTTTAAAATACCTAATTCTTCTTAAAACCCTTTGTGACACTTGTTTTAAATGATTGTTATGCTTCTATATTTATTTGTTACAAAACTAATATTATAAAGATATTTTTCTTTATAATTCTTTCATATTTTAAAGATATTTTTTCATATTTTATAATTTCATTCATATCATTTTATTTTTAAGGTTTGTCACTTAATCTTTATAATAACTGGTATATATAGTATCTTGATTTATACTCGCCAAAATGTTATCTAGTCTTTAAGCTACCAGTGCCATGTTTATTTTTTTTTAACTTAGTTTGCACTCAGTCAATGTGATTCTAAAAGGAAGCACAACAATCTACTCAGGCTTTTAAAGTAAAAACGTTTAAATTGCACATATGATTCTGTTGTTCTTATCTGTGCAGATTGATCACTTATCAATAGAAAAACTCCTGATTGACAGCGTCCATGCACGAGCTCATCAGAAGCTCCAGGAACTGAAGGCCATTCTTAGAGGCTTCAATGCCAATGAAAACTGTAGGTTCTTTTAAAGAGGCATTTCTACCTTTTGTTAAACTTGTATTGACTTATTATCTGAAGGTTCTGTCTGAATTTGACTTGTTTACTGATATACTGGTTTTGTTACGGAGGCTGGACATTCTTGCATTTTAACTTGTGATCTACCAAGCTTGTCCTAACTTTCCCCTTATTTTCTTTTTATTTAACTTGGCCTTATTTTTGAAATGTATGCATACTGACCCTCCTTAAAACTCTTTTTTTTTTTCTATTGAAATGGAAGCTATTTTAACATCTTAATATGAATCTTATTTCTTTTAGTTTTTCTTATGAAGTTAAGGCACCTTTGCAGATGTTTATAATATAGTTATAAAATGTGCGTTTTTGAAGCAGAATTTATGCCATGTCTTTTAAAACTTTTTTTGAATTGTTAATACATTAATTAACAGGGTTTGAAAAAAGAAATACAGATTTACACACATAGTGAAAATCTTTTATATACCTAGTAGATTCAGAGCTTTGGGGACAGTCAGTCATTTAGAAAGTAAGCACTTTCATTTGAGGAATATAGTTTCATGATATTATAATGCACATATTTACTAATGTCCCTACCCCAGTTATTTTTGGCTGTGATTACCTCGTTCCCACAGTGAACACCCTTTAAGCGAGATGATGTAAGTGAAGCACTATATAAATATGAAGTCTTAATAGTGCCAGTAAGCAAAGATACTGCCTTCCATCATCACAGAGCACACCTCAATCTATTATACTTTAAAAAAGCAGCTTCTTAAGTATGGACTAGTCACATTGGATTAAAACTGCTTTGATGAAGTAGATACAGACACTGTCTAAAGACAGATAGTCAGGAAAATAAATTTATATTCAGACTACAGTATTTCCAAGGATGGTAAAAGAATATAGGTGAAAAAGAGTGTCTAAAACAAGCTAAAGACTAAGTGGAAGGGCACCTTAACTTAAAAATGCTAACGTGGGTCATACGGAAATAAAGAGTATGTCATATGTTTGGTGAATGTAGTGGCTAAATCTGCTTTGAGGGAACATGTCCAGTAGCTTCATCAAGGTTTAACATTAGATTTCTCAGGTCTTAATAATTTAAATTTAATTATAAGATGTAGTGGAAGTTGCCCCTCCATTTTAATCCTTCAAGCAAAGATATTAAATACAGACCTAAAATTATGATTGGAAAGTATAATTAAAATTCTCATTGGAGTTAGAAAGCCCACATGACCTACCCCCCTTTTGTTTTTTAATCACTTTATTGAGGTAAACTTTACATACAATTCATTCAGTGTTTTTTAATATACTCAAAAGAGTTGTGGAACCATCACCACAATCTAATTTTAGAACATTTTAACCATCCCCAAAAGAAACCTAGTACCCATTAGCAGTCACTCTCCCATTCATTCCTCGCATCAGTCCCTTGGCAACCACTAATCTTTTTCTGTTTATAGAATGGCCATCTGGGACATTTCAGAGTAATTATATTATATACAGCAGGTCCTCAAATAACATATTTTTCAATGTCGTTTCTTTATAATGTTGATAAGACTCCATAGGAACTTAACTCTTGTTTATATCAATTAGCCTATGGTAAAGTCAGTTTCATTATAGGTCATTTTGCTTAAAGTCTCAGAACCTATTAATGACATTAAGTGAGGACTTACTGTAACGTATGATCTTCTGTATATTTTGGTTAGCAGAATGTTTTTGAGGTTTGTCCATGTTATAGCATGTTTCAGTACTTCATTTTTATTGTCAGATAATTTATTTTATGGATATACCACATTTTGTTTATCCATTCATCATTGATGGGATGTTTTCACTTTTTTTGCCTATGATAAATAATGCTGCTATGAATATTTATGTACAAGTTTCTGTGTGGACCTGTGTTTTAATTTGTCTTGGATATATATGTATTCACAAATGGAATGTCTGGATCATATGGTAACTCTATGTTTTACCTTTTGATATGTTTAACACCTCTTTTTAATTCCACTAGCAGCATATGAGGGTTCCAGTTTCTCTATATTCTCACCAACACTTGTTATCGTCTGTTTTTTTGTTTCTAGCCATCTTGGTGGGTGTGAAGTGATATCTCACTGGTTTTGATTTGCATTTCCCTAATGATTATTGAACATCTTTTCATTTATCTTTTTTGGAGAAATGTCTATCCAGATCCTTCTCTCACATTATAATTAGATTAATTCTTTTTTCTTTTTAAAGATTTTTTAATGGTTTTTCTTAATATTTATTATTTATTTTTAGAGAGAGGAGAAGAGAGGGAGAGAAACATTAGTTCCCTCTCATACGTGCCCCTACCCAGGGGCCAAACCCACAACCTAGGTGGGTACCCTGACTGGGAGTCAAACCGGTGACCTTTTGCTTTTGCCAGACCATGCCCAACCAAGTGAGCCCTACTGGTTAGGGCTAGATTAGTTATCTTTTTATTATTGAGTTAATAACATTTCTTCATGTAAGTCCCTTTTCATATATCATGATTTGCAAGAATTTTCTTTCATTCTGAGAGTTGTCTTTTCACTTTCTTTATGGTATCATTTGTAATACAAGTTTTTAATTTTGACGATGTCCAATTTGTCTATTTTTTCTTTTGTTGCTTGTACTTTTAGTGTCATACCTAAAGAATCCATTACTTAACCCAAGGCCTGTGTTTTTTTCATAATAGAGAAAAATAAGTAATTTTCTTATTTTTCTGTAACTTACATCTTTTCTTCTAAGAGTTTTATAGTTTTAGCTCTTACGTTCAGATTCCCTTTAGTTAATGTTTATGTTTGGTGTGAGATAGGGCTCCAATCACATTGTTTTGTATGGGGATACGCAGTTGTTCCAGTAACTTTGGCTAAAAAGACAATTTTTTTCCTATTTAATTGTCTGGGCACCCTGGTTGAAATGCCCCTTTTTGTTCTTAACAAAAACTTTTAAATTATTTTTGCAATCTTAAATTTTCTAATTTCTAATTTTTCAAAATAGGGAAATTCTAAAATTTCATTTGTTGGGAATGCAGAAAAGAGGGTTTTGTGATGTTGTAAAAGACTCTGATGTACTTTGGTGTCATCTGTAATCAAGACTTAGTAAAAAAAAAAAAAAAAACCAAACAACTCTGTGATTGCCCAGGGGATATTTAAATAGACTCTAAGCGTGTGTTTACGTAGGAAGTTTTGTGTGCTGTTCATGTAAGTTGTGAAGATTTTTCTTTAGCAGCATTTTGTAGAACTGTCACTACTTAAGTAGCCAGAAGATCTGAGTTCAACTGTGTGCTCAAGTGAACAAGTCATACTCTTTGGGCCCCAGTCTCCTCATCTGTAATGAGAGGATGTCCAGGCTCTTCCTAGATCTCTAACTAATAGAAGTGTGCTATTCTAGTGGTTTTCAAGCCCTAGGTGTCTGCAAAGTGTTAGAGAAAGGTGATTTGGAAACTACGTTTGTCGGGGGATGTGGTTGCTGGCATGTGGCATTAGGCTTCTCAGTCTTGGTTTAATCAGAACAATTCTGGAAATGAGGACTGCTGTAGGAAAAGGGTCTGCTGACCCACCATTTCAGGACACATGCTTTAACTTGTTTTTAAAATTTATGTTCACGCATTTAGATTCTTCATGGAGTCCCACTTGATCCTGCTTGTAATGGGAAAGCATGCTTTAGTCAGATCCTTTACTGGGACCAGGGACTGTTCTTGGAAAACCTTAATACAGTCACCCTTTATCCCCTGGCTTTTCTTCCAGCTCCTCACTGGAATGAACTGAGGACACGAGTAGCCCCCAAAATGGAGCATTTCAAGGGATGGCTAGGAGAATGCACAGTCAGCAGGTTTTATATAGCCCAGGTGGCAGTATGTGGTTTCTTAAGGGTGAAGAAAAGGCTCTGGGGAAAGGCAGAGAAAGGCACTAAAGGTGACTTGTCATGTGGCCCCACTGGCAGCATGGCCTGACTGTTGAAACCTGGGGTGCTCTCCTTGGGCTGTGCTCTGTCCGCACTGAAATTGGGGTACCAAGGTCAGTTCAGAAGCTGTGAACTACACATAGCCATTCCTAATTGTGCCTAGTTGCTTGTCTTCAGTCTTCACACTTTATATTACTGTCTATTGGTGCATTCCTCATGTTGTCTTCAGTAAATAGATAGGGAGAGAAAAAAGAGGAGATGTGTGTGTGTGTGTGTGTGTGTGTGTATGTGTGTGTGTGTGTGTGTGTATACACATATGTGTGTGTGTGTGTGTGTGTGTGTGTGTGTGTGTGTGTGTGTGTTCCCGCTGCAGGAAAAAGTAGTGTATAGTCCTGTCATTTTGCATAGCTTTTAATTTCTCCCTTCTATATTTTATTTACAAGTTTCTCCATTTTTGGATACCATAACACCTGTTGCTTTTAAATGCTTAGGGCCTTACATGTTTTATTTTATGGACATTGGTGGTGATAAAATAGATTCAGATAATATACATCAAAGCATTTTCTATCCTTTGGACTATGTTACATGTTCTACTTTGATGCCCTACCTTTTCAAGAATGCTAAATTTTTATAATTAGATTGAAATTATAATTGTTATCCTAATTGTCAGAACTAGTTTTACTTCATTGCTACACTTTAAAAATGTTTTTGCTTTAAGGAATACATTTCTGTCCCGTTAGGAATTATAACAGTACAGATCAGTTTTAAAAATCAGCAACCCTGCTTCAAATCTGTAAGTACTTTTTATTATATAAACATAGTCAATTCAACAAAACATGAACTAATTTGTCACACTGCTCTGAATTATAAAGTATTGTAAAAGCAATTCCTGTTTGTGCCTTTTTGTTCTGTTTTTTTGTTGTTGTTCTGTTTCGTTTGTTTTTAGGTGACAGCTCTGCTGGATCTGCATGTTAAACATTTGTATACAAATACGTGTCAGATACACTTTCAAGCAGTTTGTTTTCATCTGACTAAATATGCCTCCTTAAATTTTTTTTTTTTGCTTTATGAATTTTATCATTTGTATATATAGTACCAGTGGTAACTTATTTTAATTTTTGCAAATTCATAATAAGAGGTTTTGGTATGTCTTTGAGTCATAAAGGAGTACAGATAATGTACATAGTTAAGCACTTTACTTTTTAAATCTTTACAAGCTTATTATTTCTTCCTCCTAAGGACCCATGGCATAGACAGCAAGACATTACTGTCTTTGTTTAATCAGGTAGCACAGAGAAGTCACACCTGGTGAAAGGCTGGGACTCCATTACCACTCTTCCCACTTCCTGCCTTTTGTGCTGTAGCTTTAGAGAAATGTGGTAACCAAAGGAGCATATTCCTTTTACAACTCTTCAACATGATCAGCACATGGTGTGCTTTCAGTGTTCTGCTCCTTTACTTACTTTGTTATGCCAACTTGTAGGATTAAGGGAAAAATTAATTGGGCCTGGTAAAAATATTGCAAAATTCTGGAATGAGAATATTGGCAATTTGTATATAATAGTTGCCCATGTTCTTAATTTTCTGTAACTTGAAAATGAGGTACATAAATAATAGAAAAAAATTCCTGTATAGTCAATAGTGTTTAATAGTTCTCAATTTTTTTTTTTTAAACACATGGGTCCTAATTGCTAGAAAACCTTTCTTTATGAAGAATGGCATTGAGAATATTTAGGCCATAGATGAAACTTATTTGATTTACCAAACAACTGATTTTCTTCCCATTATATTAAAAAAATCCTTAAAAATTAACTTAATAGTAATTACTGAGTGGAAATAAAACTAGAACTTGGCTTACTAATGAGGTTAAATTTTCACTAGCCATATTAACCTTTCTTAAGGCATCTTGAAATTTTGCTGTAGTATTTGAGACAGGCATGTTTGTTTCCAGTCACCTTGAAGATTAGATTCTTTTGAGCTACTAATTGACGTAATAGTACTATTTCAACTTTGCAAAAATCCTGTTTTCTTCTGTCAGGATTGTTCAGTAGCTGGTTTGTTTCTAGTCCCTGAGAAATACTTTTTTTTTTAGAAATACTCAGAAATATAATTTTTAATTTTTAACTGTTCAGCTTCCATAGAGACTGCACTTCCAGCTCTTGTTGTTCCTATCTTGGAGCCCTGTGATAATTCGGAGTGTCTACACATTTATGTAGATTTGCATTCTGGAATGTTCCAACTGATGCTTTATGGACTTGGTAAGTTAATAAATGATACAGTTGTTCAGTGTAAGGAAAAACATTTTTTTAAAGATTTTATTTATTTATTTTTAGAGAGGGAAAGGGAGGGAGAGAAACATCAGTATGTGGTTGCCTCTCTCATGCCCCATACTGGGGACCTGGCCTGCAACCCAGGCACATGCCCTGAGTGGGGATTGAACTGGCGACCCTTTGGTTCACAGGCCAGCGCTCAGTCCACTGAGCCACACCAGCCAGGGCAGAAAAATATTTTTAACAAAAGCAAAATTAAAATTTTCTGCCATTAGATATTGAGAAGAGTGGCATAAGCAAGTATAGAGTATGATAATGGAAGGAATAATTCACTGATATCTATTCCTTGGAGCCTGTTTTAAGTCTAGTTTGGATTCTTTTGTACCAGAAGATAAACTTCCCAATATGAGGTACATTCATGTTGTTTCTTTTATGTAAAACTAATAATGTTGATGGCTGATTTTTAGATTAACTGTTTTACCACTTATAGTTGGGTGACATGGAGATGGTGAGAAGGAATTCTCATGTCATTCATAGCTGAAGAATGTATTTAATGACTGTGTAAATATCTAAGATAACTTGGGGTACAGAATTCTGGAGGAAAAGATTTTTTTCTGGCTTAAATACAGTAGAAATTAAAGTTTGATTTCTTACATGTTCTGTTAACCGAGTTGGTGTTCTGAAATGATGAAATACTAGGAACTTAGGGTTTTTGTATTGCTAATAGAACATTGTTCTTGAATATATTAGCACATTTGCCATTTGAAATTTATGTTAAGCTAGATAGATTGATGAAAGTAAAAGGTTTTCTGGTTATATGGTTATAAAGAGACTTTCTATGAATTTCTCATGGAAAACTGGCCACATTACTTTGAATCACATCACATTTATGATGGCTAAATGATAAGTGACATATTTATGAATTACTTTTTAACTGTGGTTCTAAACCAACGAGGCAGTTGTTGTTTGTTCCTCAAAACTTTTTGTTTAAATGTTTTCTTGATTGTTAACACAGTCCATACTCAAAAAAGCCAGACATGTAAAAGTGAGAAAAGCAGCAAAAAAATAGTTACCCTTGGCAATCTGTTATTTTAGGATATGTATGCTTGTCTTAGTCACCTCAGGCTTTCATAACATAGAACCAGAGTGAGTGGCTTAAACAACAGAAATTTATTCTTTCAGTTCTGGAGGTTGGAAGTTTGAAAACAGATTGCCAGCATGGTCCTGTTATAGTCAGGACCCTCTTCCTGGCTTGTAGATGTCAGCCTTCTCATTGTGTGGTCACATGGCAGGAAGGGAGAGAGAGCAAACTCTCTGGCCTTTCTCATAAGGGCACTAATCCCATCATGAAGCCCCCAACCTCATGACCTTATCTAAACCTAATCATCTCCCTAAGGCCCTACTCAATACCATCACATTAGGAATTAGGGCTTCGACATATGCATAATGCAATTCAGTACATAGCAGTGCTATTTTTTTTTCTATATTTTTTTCTTTAGTTCAGTACTTGCTTATGCCAGAGACCATTTGTATTTAATAAATAAATATTATAATGGAGTTTTATAGTTTTTATAATTTTTAAGTTTCTAATTCTGGTAATACTATGAGTTTTAAATAACATATAAGTTAAAAATACTAATTGACTAGACTAAGAGTTTTGCAAATTAAAATATAGGCAAAGAATTAATTCATGTATTTGTTACTTCTTCCTGCAAGTGTACATTTGCTATTAATTAGTTGTTTTAACTATAACTCTCCCTAAATGTTAAAGAGGGAAAACAAATTAGGTTAATTTATGCCTAATAATACATTCAGTTTAGTTTTTTCTGACTCAAAAATAACACTATTTTCTGCCTAAAACAATAATTTCATTTAAGTTTTGGGCTACCTAGATATTTTGTGTCTTCTGTCAGCAATTAATGAAGTGCTTTATTTTATAGACCAGTCCACTTTGGATGACATGGAGAAGTCTGTGAATGATGATATGAAACGAATCATTCCTTGGATTCAGCAACTTAAGTAAGCTTATTTATATAGCTCAAGACTAAAAATGGAAACTTATTTTGATAAGATATATTTTCTCTTGATCACTTTTAATGTTTATGACTTGAAACTTGAACACCTTTTGGTACTTAAATCTAAATTCTCTTGGAATAGGTCCAGGATGGGAGTGCTTCGTATTAAATTCCCCTCTAGAGCAAATACAGGTATGAAGGGCATGACACTCAACTTTCGTTCCTTGCCACATTTTCTCTCGTACAAGTACTCTCTAAGTACTCTACACAATGAATTTTATCGTATCTAGTGTTCTCTGCAGTAGCATCTTACTTGTTCTTATTCAGGGCAATCTTCAAGGTATGAATCTACCAGCTGACACTTTGAAAATTATCATTTCTGCTTCTCTAATAGTGTCATTCACTTTGTCTCAAAATCCTTTGAATGCTTCATATTGCAAAACTAAATAAAATCTAAAATTGAACTAGAGATAATTCTCTGAGGTTTCATTACCACTCTAGTACACAAAGGTACCTTATAGCAATTCTAACAAACTCTTAAAATTAACAAAACAAAATTCCAACAGATAAAAATAAATTTTAGAGATCAAAACTAAAACTTGCAAATGGAGAAGGGGTGGGGTCTCTTAAGTCATTTTTTTCATTAACAGGACATGATTTTAAATGCCAATAGATAGGTAATATTACATGAGCCTTTAGAACAGCCATTTAGTTTATCTGTATGTGAAAAATGATAGTCATTACTCTAGGTAACAATTTCTAAAATTTTTGTGGTTTAACATCATTTGTTGTGCATTTTGGCTCAACAAGCAATGATTAATTCACATCTTGCATAACTTGAGGTTGTTTATCTGGCAGTTTCAGCTAGCAGAAATATATCCTAAAACCAGAAAGCTAAGCCCCAAAACCCTTAAGCTCACATTTATTTATAAGAAAGATCCCCTGGTTGCCAGTTATTACAGTGCTTCTCAAATGATCTTTGATGAATAACCAGTTTACCACTAACTTATCATGGGATATTAATTTTTTTGAAATAACTTGAAGTATAATTTACCGATCATAAAATTTACCTGTTTTAAGTGTACAATTCCATGACTTGTAGTAAATTTACCCAGTTTTGAAACCATAACCACTGTCTAGTTTTAGAACATTTTTATCACCTCAAAAAGGTGCTGATTTATTCTTAATACCTATTCCCAGCCTCAGCCCCAGGCATGAATCTACTTTCCATTCCTGTAGATTTTCCCTTTCTGTACATTTCATATAAATGAAATCATAAATTATGTGATCATTTGTGACTGGCTTCTTTCACTTGGCATAATGTTTTGGAATTCATTTTGGAGCATGTATGTATCAGTACCTCATTCCTTTTTTTTTTTTTTTTTTTTTTTAGGATTTTAAAAAATTTATTTATTTATAGAGAGAGAGGAAGGGAGGAGAGAGGGAGAGAAACATCGATGTGTGGTTGCATCTCACGCACCCCCTACTGGGGACCAGGCCCGCAACCCAGGCATGTACCCTAACTGGGAATCGAACTGGTGACCCTTTGGTTCACAGGCCGGTGCTTAGTCCACTGAGCCACGCCAGCCAGGGCAGTACTTCATTCCTTTTTATGGCTGAATAATACTTCAGTGTATAGGTAGACTACATTTTGTTTATCCATTCATCAGTTGATGGACATTTAGGTTTGTTTCCTCTTTTTGGCTGTTATGAATAATGCTGCTGTGAACATTCACGTACAGATCTGTGTGTGGACTTACATTTTCACTCTACTAGGAATAGGATTACTGGGTCATACAGTAAATTTATGTTTAACTTTTTAAAGAAACTGCCAAATTAGTTTCCTAAGTAGTTGTGCCACTTTACAGTCCCATCAGCAGTGTTTGAGCATTTTCATTTCTACACATTCTTGCCAACACTTGTTACTGTCGTTGACTATAGCCATGCTAGTGAGTGATAAGGTATCTCACTGTGGTTTTAATTTACATTTCCCTAATGACTAATGATTTCTAGCATCTGTTCATGTGATTACTTTCTTAATAATATGCAATGAAAACATTTCAGAAAAAAGAAATGAAGAAATGTATAAAATATAAGCCCCAATTTTTTTATTATTAGAGTTAACAGATATAAAATTACATTTCAGTGAATATAATCAGAACAAACAGTATAAGGAAACAAGATAATTTGAAATCTATGCATGTTTTTCGTAGAAAGTACATGTATTGACAATTAATATAGAAAATTTACTTTTTAAAATATACTTTATTGATTTTGCTGTTACAATTGTCCCAATTTTTGCCCCTTTGCCACACTCCGCCTGGTACCCCCATTCCCTCCAGCAATTCCCTCCCTTAGTTCTTGTCCATGGGTCATGCATAGAAGTTCTTTGGCCACTCCATTTCCTATGCTGTTCTTAACATCCCCCTGTCTGTTTTGTACCTACCAATTTGTATTTCTTAATCCCTGCACCTTTCCCCCCATTCTCCTTCTTTCCCCTCCCAGCTGATAACCCTCCAGATGATCTCTGTATCCATGAATCTGTGTTCTGCTTGTTTGCTTAGTTTATTTTTCAGATTCAGTTGTTGATAATTGTGCATTTGTTGCCATTTTAATGTTCATAGTTTTGATTTTCCTTTTTTTATATAGTTCCCTTTAACATTTCATATAATAATGGCTTGGTGATGATGAACTCCTTTAGTTTTACCTTGGCTTGGAAGCACTTTATCTGCCCTTCAATTCTAAATGATAGCTTTGCTGGATAGAGTAATCTTGGATGTAGGTCCTTGTTTTTCATTACTTTGAATACTTCTTGCCAGTCCCTTGTAGACTGCAAGTATCTTTTGAGAAATCAACTGACAGTCTTATGGGAATTTCTTTGTAGGTAACTTTCTGCTTTTCTCTTGTTGCTTTAAGATTCTCTTTTTATCTTTAACATTTGGCATTTTCATTATGATGTGTCTTGGTGTGGTCCCCTTTGGGTCCAACTTGTTTGGGACTCTCTGTGCTTCCTGGACTTGTATGTCTATTTCCTTTGCCAAATTAAGAAAGTTTTCTTTCATTATTATTTTTCAAATAAGTTTTCCATTTTTAGCTCTTCCTTTTCTCCTTCTGGCACCCCTATGATCTGGATGTTGATATGTTTGGAGATGTCCCAGAGGCTCCTTATTCTGTTCTCATTTTTTAAAAATCCTTTTTTCTTGCTGTTGTGATTGAATGCCTTTTTCTTCCTTATATTCCAAATTGTTGATTTGAATCTTGGCTTCATCCCCTCCATTTGTTGGTTCCCTGCAGATTTTTCTTTATTTCATTTAATGCAACCTTCATTTCTGCCTGGGTTATTTTTATGCTGTTGCCATACTCAATGAGTTCTTTGAGCATCCTAATAACCACTGTTTTAAACTCTGTATCTGATAGGTTGGTTATCTCTGTTTCATTTAGTTCTTTTTCTGGGGCTTTGTTCTGTTCTTTCATTGAGGCTATGTTTCTTTGTCTTCTCTATTTGGCAGCCTCACTGTATTTGTTTCTGTGTATTAGGTAGACTGCCTTGACTTCCTGTCTTAGTAGCATGGCCTATTGTAGAAAAGACATCTGTCTGGATGAATGTGGCTTCTTTAGATCCTTGGTTGTTGGACTCCCATACGGCTCGATTTTCTGACAGATCTGGGTCATGTTTGTTTTGTAGTTTAGTTGTAAGTTTTGCTGTAGTTGTGCATGGAGGCAAAGTGTGTTTACCTATGCCTCCATCTTAGCCATAAGTCTCTTAATCTCTATGGAATCTAAGCAAGGAGTTCTTTCCGGAGGTCCATAGACTCTGAAGCTATCTTCTAACTGAAGGTTTTCACTAATTTCTAACTGAAATTTAGCATTTTCCTGCCTGCAGCCAGCCGGGTAGTCTGGGCGGTGGCCCTTCACATGCGCCGTGCCACAGACAGAAAATTTAATGCTCAAATTTTTTGTTCCACAAAATCATGACAAAACAAAGAATTAAAAAGTAAAATAGCAATTTCACATATGCTTTAAAAAGAAATCTTGTTCTTATAATTTATATATATTTGTAATTTATATTTACATTGTATTTATGATATCTGTTTAAAATTTATTTATTGATTTGAGAAAGAGAGAGAGAGAGAGAGAGAGAGAGAGAGAGGAAGAGAGGAAGAGGGGACGGAGAGGGAGCAAGAAACATCCATTTGTTGTTCCACTTATTGTATGTGTCCTAAGTGGGGGTCGAACCCACAACCTTGGTGTATCGGGATGATGCTCTAAACAACTGAGCTTCCTGGCCAGGGCTATTTATGATATCTTGTATTTAGAATTTTTAATGTGACAAGTGAGCTTATTTCTTGTGTTGTCAATTTATCTAATCTAGGTTGGATTGATGATAATACTAATTATAGCAGATCATGTATATCTTAACTGTTTATAGGTTATTCTTTATATTGTTCTTTTAATAACATACATAGTAGAGATTCCAGTCCTGCAAAGGTATGTTGATGGGACTGGAATTAGAGATTTGAAAGCAATTTTAGTAAGTTCAGGATATTCGTTTTTAACTTTTACCTGCGATGAAGCAACTATTGGTATATTTTCAAAATTTGTCTTTGTTACTTTGTGAGTAGCCAGTTCTAGCAATTAATTCTGTGAAATTATAGTTAAGTTTTTAAGTTTTTCAGTGAAAAAAATGATTTCTAGATTTTATACTTTTATGTCATATATTATAACATAGTTTTACTGCACAACTAGTACAGTTTGTACCGTATGCACCTCACCACACAAATGCAGCAGCAACTGAACTGGACTATACCCTGTTCAGCAAGGCAAGCCTATTGATATGAGCTTGAATGTGTGGCATTATTATGTAGCTATGAAAAGTTTCTAAATTCATATTTTTATTTTCTGTAGTTACATCATTGTGGATCAGTGAGAGTTTATGAACTCTCTCTTACACATATCCCTTTTTACACATATTATGTGGTGTCCTAGCCTCAAGTATAGATAAATAAAATGAGTGGTATAAAAAAACATCAAAGTGAAATCTGGTGGCATAACAGAGAGAGGAGGGAAAGAAGGTAATTAATACTTACTGGCACCTGATAGGTATACCCATTACATACACAATACAAAGACTGGGACTATATATCTCCAATAATACCAGAAAAATGAGGTACTTATTTATTGTTTGTTCTATTTGTTTTATAAACACTTCAGGCATTTTATAAAGGATGTTGAGATTAGTTTGTGCTGTCTTATAAACCATAGAAAATCTGTCATCTCCTATAATAAACTAATATAGTGTCTCTTTCTTAATACTAGTTAATTCCGCCTTATAACTAATCAAAATCATTCACACTGCAGTTTAACTCCTTAAACTAGAACTAACAAACCAATGCAAAACTGGAAAAATGATTCACCATTATGTTCATGTGTCCTTATACTCATTCAATTAAACTTCAAATTAATTATTTTTTTAGTGGTCTTCAATAATCTATAAATCAGTAGCATACAGTTAATCAGAAAATTCTATGATTTTATGATGTGGTTTGTCTTTTTTAAATTAAGGTTTTGGCTTGGACAACAGCGTTGCAAACAATCTATAAAACATCTGCCTACAATAAGCACTGAAACATTGCAGCTGTCCAATTACGCAACTCATCCTATTGGAAAACTTTCTAAGAATAAGCTGTTCATTAAACTTACTCGTCTTCCACAGTACTATATTGTAAGTATGCCAAGGTGTGATTTTGGATGATCGAGTTCAGTAATTCTGTCAGAATCTTGAATGATTTGTTGTTTAATTTAATTTGCAAATGTATTTTATTGGATAGCTGAGTTTTATATAGTGATTCTCGACCCAGGAGAGGAGAGAACAGTGGTAGGGATGGGAGAGGGAGGAAAATTGTGTCTCTTTAGAAATTATTTAATGATCAGACAGGGTTGGGGAATAAAAGATACGCTCCCGTTCCTCACCCTAGGATCTCTCCTGTAGTGAGGCCTAGTTTCTGCTTGGAATGAGGCATCATCTTTGTATAAGAAGAAAAAAATTGAAAACTAGGTTTGGCGATGTTTTGGTGTCAGATAAATTTGTTTGCTTTTAATCAAATGTTAACTTGCATAATGCAGTCTTTTAAATATGGGATGGCTGAAGGAGCTTTATTTTCTCATCATTAATTGATTGAAGGCATATATAGCCACTTTAATGATTGCATGTACCTTTAGTGCATACTAAGATCCTTTTTTACTCCTTTTTCACTCCTTTTTCACTCTTTCTGGGTATTTTCCAGTTAGTTTCTTTGAGATCTTTGAATTAGTTAAAATTTGCAAAAATTTGAAATATGAACTGACCCTAAATACATGTCCCTGCTTATAGAAATTTCTCTGTACACCAGGTAGATACTTGTGGCTAAGAATCTAAAGTATTTGAAAAACAGAGTTCAGGATTGTTGGTTGAAAGTAAATGGGAGTTAATTTTTTTTTAAAGCTTTTGAGTTGTACTTTAAAAAGGTACCTTTAAAAAGTGCCCTGTGTAATCTGACATATATTAAGTTAGTGTTACTTATGTAAACTGATAAATCTCACTGGTGTGAATTTCACCTTTTTTCTGAGTTTTAAAACACCAGCTATGGAACTAGATTTGGCACATGACAAAGGATTATTGTTTCAGTTCTCTGCCAGCTGCTTGGTCAATGTTTGAATGGATACGCGGAATATACACACAATAGTCAAACCTGTGAACACACATGTTATGTTTTATGCTCAGCCATATACAAGGGGGGGGGTACAAAAAAAACCCATAATTATCTTCTGGAGGACAGGCCACTTGTACTATAGACTTCCCCCGCTAGGTGAGTGTTCTAGGAACCCATCTGTATCAGTGTAGCAGCTGGCATTGTTATGAGAGGCTACATTTGGCTTCAGTGAATTTTTTTTGAAGACTCTCTCATCAATTTTGCCCATTTCATGATGAGTGATTTACAAGGGCACCTGCTCACACTGCACTGAGTCTTCAGCAGGTTTTAACCAAAAGCAGCATGACCCCCGTGCCCTACCCTCCCTATTTATCCAATCTTGCCCCACCCCCAGCGACTTTTTTGTTTCCCCTGATGTTTTGCTGATGTGGAAGAGGTGAAACAAAAACACGGGCACCCTTTAAAAGGCATCACAATTGACAAGTTCAAAAAGTGTTTCGAGCAGTGGAAAAAGGTCTGGATAGGTGTATTGCATCAAATGCTTTTTGAGAGTGCTTTGAAGGTGACTGAAGTTTAAACGTGTGAGAAAAAATACACAATTTTTTATAAATCTGTTTTTTTGGGGGGGTCCCTCCTTGTACAAAATAAAATAGTTGTAACTTAGTATTTTCTGACCTTATTCAGTATCAACAAAAATCCAGGCTTTAGTTTCAACGGCCAGTGATTTTATTATAAAGCAATAGTTTGTATCATGAAACTACATGAGACCAAAATTATTAAATATATGTTACTCTTCAGCCTCCGTATTGCTCACTCAGGGATGATATATTCACAAAAGTGGAAAAACTACTACCATGTACATTAAGAAGAATAGAGGAAAGCCTTTGTTCCTTTTAAATGTCTTTATACCATTTTTCTTTTCTCAGATTTATTAAGATATAATTTACATGTAGTAAAAATTCACTTTTTTGTGTCTTGAGTTTTAATAAATGCTTAGCTTTGTATCCTCCATCTCAACATGATACAGGACAGAGCCATCATCCCCTCCCCCAAAATTCCCTCATGCCCCGCCCCCAGCGACTTTTGTTTCCCTCTGTAATCAGACCCCCTCCCTGCACTCTGTTAGTGACCACTGACATATTTCCTGTCTCTCTAGTTTTGTTTTTCAGTTTAGTTTCTTCACTCAGCATGATGCCTTTGACCTTCACCATATTGTTGTATGTATAATAGTTTGTTCCTTTTATAGCTGAATAGCATTCCCTGGTATAGATGTGCCACAGTTTGTTTAACTAGTCTCCAGTTGAAAGACATCTGAGTTGTTTCCAGTTTGGGGCAATGATCAGTAAAAGTGCTCTAAGCATTTGCATATAGGTCTTTTTTGTGAACTTAAATTTTTATTTCTTTTGGATAACTAGGATTGGGATTGTTAGGTCATCAAGTAAGTATATGATTAGCTTTATAAGAAAATGCCAAACTTTTCCAACATGGCAGGACCATTTTGCATTTCTGCCAGCAGCACACTCTTGTCAGCACTTGGTATTATAATTTTTTTTAATTAGCGTTCTGATATGTAATCGTGTCTTATTGTAGTCTTAATTTCTGCTGCCATCATAACTGATGATATTGAATATCTTTTCATGTGCTTATTTGCCATACATATATCTTCTTTGGTGAATTGTCCATTTTACTTTTAATTCTTCCATTTTCTCAGGTGTATCAGTGTGATGCTTAGGTTATTAGCCAAACAATTTTCTGAAGAGAGTATATAGGAAGGAGTGTGGGAAGGGAGAAGAGAGACAGAAAGTATGTTGGTCAAGAGTCTTGCCAGTGGCTTTTATTTCTCTTACTAAGTATCTAGGGGACTTCTCATAAATTTCAGGTAGACCTTGAAAATAGTAAGCTGGCACAGTGGGTAAGAGCAAGGTTTCTGGAGCCCAAACTCTGGGATCAAAGCATGAGTCCATCACTTCTTAGCTCTGAGACCCTGGGCAAGTAGCCTAACTTTTTTGTGCCCTAGTTTCATCATCAGAAAAATGAAGTTAACTCTACTTCACAGAGTTATTTAGGAGAGTTAAATATGTTAACACCTGTCAAGTAGTTGGAGACAAGTACATTGTGCATAGTAAGCTTCCTATCGCTATTAAATCTTGTTCTTATCCTCACAGTGACTACGTTTTTCAGTTGAAAAATCAGGGTTTGTTTTTATATGCTTCCAAGTAAAAGAGAGAGTTGTCATTTTTCTCTGCCATAATAGTGGACTGCTTAGGATGATTTAATGGTTAAGGGAGACAGCAGGGCAATTTAAAATAGATAACATTTTAGAAAAGTCTAGCAGACCCACTGGACTTCAGCATAAATTTTTTTCCGTTTATAAGCTAAGGTATGAATATTAAGAATACCTAATACAAATAGTCTCAACCTCCCATTTCCTGTAGTTTACGGTTGCTTTTACTATTGTTCTCCTTTACTCTGATCTACTTTTTAGAAAATAAATTGTATGTTTACTAGGAGTGCCTTTTTTGACATCATGGTTGATTTATCCTTGTTTAAAGAAAAAAGACATCAATATTAGATTTATAATTTTGACCCCTACTTGATAGAAGGAGGAAAACATTTGACACCTATTATATCTCTGAGTCTCATTTCTGATTTGTGCCTTTTTAGGTTGTAGAGATGTTGGAGGTTCCCAATAAACCCACACAGCTGTCATACAAGTACTACTTCATGTCTGTGAGTGTTGCAGAACGTGAAGACAGCCCTGTCATGGCACTTGTGCTACAGCAGTTCAAGGACAACATCCAGGAACTGATGTTACGTACAAAAACCGGGAAACAGCCTAGAACCAGTACTAAGCGCAAGGTATGATCACTTGTGGAAATGAGCACGGAATTTGTGTGTGTGATGTTTGTTGTATTCTTAAGCTGTTTTTAATATGGAAAAGAATTAGATACAGTTTTTAAGATACTGGGCAGCCATAATGTTTAAGTAAAAATTGCCTACATTTTTCTTGAAAATGCTTCTCTTTTAATTAATAATTAATTATACACCATTTTCCACAAGAGAGCTTGTTAAATACACAATATGTATTACTAAATTTCTCTTTAGACCAGTATTTGCTTAATAAATATTTGTTGAATAAGATTTTTTGTTAACTTTGAGCTTTGTTATAATAGTTTAACTGCCTTAACTAAATATATCACATGTACTTTTTTGTTGTGTTCTTTACTTAAATTCTAGTTGTCTGATGATTCATGTCCAGTAGAACCTAAGAAAACCAAACGATCAGGAGAAATATGTGCCTTCAATAAAATTCTAGCTCATTTTGTTGCTGTGTGTGATACAAATATGCCATTTGTAGGACTTCGATTGGAGGTAATTTTTGGAACAATTTTGGGTACTCTAAATGAAACAGTAGTTTTAAAATGCTTTGCTAAACTACATGGATTCCATTAGGACAATCTGAATGATTGCCATTTGTTCATTTTGGGAGGGGTGAGGTTGAATTCATAGTGTCTCATGGTATACATGTAAAATGACTTAAAATATTTCATCTCCCTGATTCAGAATTGGGGCCTTCTGCTGTTTATGGAAATGGAAAGTAAATTCTTTCCAGTTAAAATAAAAAAGACAATTTTTAAAAATTAATATCTTACTTGTTAGACATGGTTAGTTGATAAAGGGTAGCTTATTTTTGAGTTGGTGAAGCCATACATACTGCTTACACACTAATAAAATTGGGTTCTGCGAAGGTCAGAAAGAATATTAAACTGAATTTACTGTGGACACATGGAAGAAGCAATAGACTTACAAAGAATTAGTGTTTTTCAAGAGTATATAGTTGTGATAATCCAGCATGATCTCCAAACATGAAAGCAAAGGGGGAGGTAACAGACAGAACCTGTATTTTTCAAAAAGGGCTTTAGACAAGACTTGTTAACCCTTAAAAGTGATACACTAAAACCTTAATTATTTCACTCTAGCTTAAAATTTTACTTTTTGTAAGACTCCTTCCTTCTGTAAATTATTGTGAATGAAGCAATCTGAAAATCTGGAAGTGGGTTATTTTAGTTGAGTTAATGATGATAGTCTCTGGAAGACTTTTAGAAAACACTTTGATGTTTTAGAGCATGAATCAGCAAACCTTTTATGTGAAGGGCCAGATAAATATTTTAGGCATGAGAATCATATGGTCTTATACCACAGCCACTCAAATCTGTTGTGTAGTGTGAACCAGCCATAGTCGATATTCAAACAAATGAGCATGGATGTGTTCAAATAACACTTTTATTTACAAGAACAGCAATGGGCTGGATTTGGCCATGAGCTGACCCCTGCTTCATAGGGCTTTGGGATCTGAAGGTGTGGGATCAAGTGTGACATTGCGAAGAGCATCAGTAGCCCAGAGAAATCCAAGCACCTAAAATAAATACTCCTGTCCTCAAATGTTCCAGCTCCTAGAGCTCTGAGTTTGATGATTGTCCTCTTGTCTGGGTACTGGCCATAGCTTCTAAACTGTGCAGACCATGTCTGTGCTTCCTATCTGCTTGACTGTGTTCTTGGGCTTTTTCATTGGGCCATGTGGATTGACTGTATGAATACCATTCAGTACTACTTTTGCAGTAGGAAGAGAGGCTACATGGTGCCCAGGGGCAGTGTGATGCAATTATTTCTTCTCTCTCTGCCTGGTTTCTCTTCCCCTACCCACAGGCTAGAAATTGTGGAAACTTGTGTTTGTAGTGCCCACATAGACTAATACCTATAGACATAAGCCCTCTCTGTCCCCCTTCTCTGCACTCCTACACCTGTTGCACACATAAGATATGTGAAAACATTCTATAATACTCTTTTGAACTTAATCAAACTCTTAAAAACTTACCTTTTTCTTCTCTCAATGAAAAAGATGTGTTAAACACAAAAGCAAGCACATTTTCTGCCTTAAGTAGTTGATACCAAGATGTGGATAACTAAGTCTAATCTTACCAGGGATGTTTATTTCTCTGATCCATAGAATAGAGGCAACATTTTTGAGCCCTCCTATGCTTCGCTTCCTTTTGAATCTGAACCCCTACTGCCTGTTTGGTCAGGAGTTCTTTTTCTAAACTTCTGCCCTTCCAAAGCCAAAAGAGCAAGGTTCAGTCAAATACTTAGAGCTGACTTAAATCATTTCTGGAACAAAGTAGATATAAATAGTCTGCCAAAGAAGACCTGGGAATCACTGCCAAAGGCAAGCATTTCTTTGGTAGATCAGATAACTTTCTGGCATATGTAAATAACCTGTAGTTTCGCTGACAGGGTCTCAGGCACTATCCCTGCATTCATCTTTTTAGCTCACTTTCTGAATCCTCCAGTTGGGAAAGATAACCTCATTTGGGTAAATGGATAAATTGGAAATCTTTTCTTTTGGGGTTTCACACAGGAAATAGTTTATTAAAAATTAAAAATGTATTCCAGAAAAGTTCTGAACTAAAAAATATTTGTGATTAGAAGTGAGATATGACTATCGTTCAGTGTTTCAAACAAACATAATTGAATTACACAAGAAAACCAATATTATTTTAAGGTTGCATCATTTGGAACCACCGGAATTGATTATCAATTACTTTTGGCTTGCTACAAAATTAGATCAGTCTCCTGAATTCACCTGTGGAGGTGTTTTTTAATAGAAGCTCTGGACCATCTTGGAGTTTCACTAGACTTAATATAGTTCCCAGAAAATCAAATGGTGTGGACAGTACTCATGCTTAGTATGTTGTAACTTTGGAGAAGAGTGACTCTAGAACAGATGCCACAAGAATAAGCGGTAGTACTTAGAAAAAGTAGTTTCCTTTGTAAAATTAGTAGTCTCATATAACTGCTTTTCTCTTCCAAGTTGTCTAATCTGGAGATTCCACATCAAGGAGTGCAAATGGAAGGTGATGGTTTCAGCCATGCAATTCGCTTATTGAAGTAAGTCCTTGTAATGTGTGTCAGTTGGTACCACACATTGCAGCCACACTGCCAGAGCTACTCCTCTCCATTCATGACACAGGATAAAGCAGAGTTCAGAACCTGCGGGTGTCACAGATTGCTGCACAGAATTACTAAAGTCTGGGGCAGGATTATCTCTCTCTTGCACGCTCTCTCTTTTTTTTTTTAACTAGATTCACTTTGTTGGTTTCTTTTTATTGTTATTCTATTACAGCTGTCCCAGTTTTTCCCCCTTTGCCCTCCTCTGCCCAGCCCACCCCCCACTCCCACCATTGTCCATGTTCATGGGCCATTCATACGTGTTCTTTGACTAGTCCCTTCCCCTTCTCTACCTTTATCCCCCTTCCCCCACCCCTCTGGTTGCTGTCAGTCTGTTCCATGTTTCCATGCCTCTGGTTCTGTTCTGCTCGTTTGTTTATTTTGTTCATTAGACTCTTCTTATAGGTGAGATTATACGGTGTTTGTCTTTCACTGACTGGCTTATTTCCCTTAGCATAATATTCTCCAGTTCTGTCTATGCTGTTGCAAAAGGTAGGAGTTCTTTTTTTCTTCCTGCTGCATAGTATTTAGAGAGAGGGGAGGGGAAGGAGATAAAACATCGATGTGAGAGAAAAGCATTGATCTGTTGCCTCTCGTATGCTCCCCTACTGGGAACTGAACCCACTACCCAGGCATGTGCCCTGACTGGGAATCACACTGACAACCTTTAGCTTTGCAGGACGACACCCAACCAACTGAGCTACAGTGGTCAGGGCAGGGGCAGGATTCTCTTTCGCCTGCTGAGTGGCGATCCAGGACCACTTGGTATTTTAGGTTGTCTTTCCTCTGCGTTTCTTCATTCAATAGACATTTCCTCAGTGTGACCATGTGTCAAGGTTGATTTCTGATGTAGCCCTTCAGAATGCTCTGGGTTCGCATAGCAGGGGGATCTGGGCTAATTTGGAAGTCAGGAAAGGTACCTCGGGTGAAGTACCAATTGTACTCTGACTGCAGGAGAGGTGAGACTTAGAGGAAAGGGAGCAAGGGTAAGAGTGGTCCAAACCAGAAGGGATCGCTGCTTTTGTTAAGACTTGGAGGCAAAAGAGCTCAGCCTCCTGGAACTGAAAGGAGTTCAGCATGGCAGGAATTGGAAGAGATAAATGTGGAGTGGTAAAGAGGAAGGGGTCAGGTCCTGTGGAGCTTTGTAAGTGTTCTTAAGGTATTTAGACTTTATCCTAATGGCAGTAAGAAGCTATTACATGTTTTTAAACAGAAACTGACATCGTTAGATAGGTGTTTTCGAAAGCTCACCCCAGTAGCAACATGGAGAATAAATTGGAGAGAAACAAGACTGAAGTATGAAACCAGTTGTTGAAAGGCTTCACACGAGAGTTTTTGATAGCTTTGGTTAAGGAAGGTTCCTCAGGGACTTAGGAGATGAAATATTTAAGGGTTGGTTGGTGATTAGATTGATGTTGCAGGTGAGAAAGAGGAGATGGTGACAAAGATGACTTAGATTTATCTTGGCCAAATGAGAGATGATTGTTGTGTTTTCTGAGATTAGGGACACTGACAATGTGGGTGTGAAGGCACTTTCCTAAGTTTGAGGTGCCTGGACATCCATTTGCGTAGGTAGGGATGTATTTCAAACTCAGATGACAGGTCTGGACAAGACAGGTAGATGAGTCATCACCAAGGTGATAATAATTGAGCTGGGATGGTAAATTAGATCACCAGGGAAGAGTATACAGAGGGAGATGGGCAGAGGGCTTTGTTCTAAACATACAGGACAAGGGGCCAAAGGATGCTTGGAAAGCTAATGCAGGGTGTGTGCTTCATAAGGTGACCAGGATGGACTTGAAAAGTAGTATGTCATTTGAGAGATCAACCTTTTTTGGTGCAGAAAACATTTTGGGGGGGGGGCATTTGTATTGTTTCTTAGATGTTGCTTAATAATATAAATCATATAAGCAATTCTTATTGATTGAATTCCTCTGTCTACCAAGACATGGCAGCTTTGCAGTTTGAGCCAGCAGGGCTTTAATTTTTGTTACTTAGAAATCATTTTGTTTCTGTAGAAGATGGGAAGCACTAGCAAATGGCATACACTCCCCCGATGTGTCATGGTGCTTACTCTAGATAAAGGGTTGAAGAACTGGAATAGCTTCCTTTCCTGGCTATCTTAATGCCATCTCTACGAAATGTTCTTTTCAGGAGCGGTAGAGCTAGTCTTACAGTGGAAATCAATAGGAAAATACAGTACTTTTAACTTAATTGCCTTTGGCTTTGAATTACTTGTGCTTAAAATACAGGGTGTTTTTTTCTTTTCACTCTTCTTGGCAACTGCAGATAAGAGAATGATGTTAACATTTGTGTTCTATTCTCTTAGTTACTTACGTTTTTCATATTTTTTTAATCCTCACCCAAGAATATGTTTATGGATTTTTGTTTTCCATATTTTGCAAGAATTTTACAATATCTTATGCTGAGCTTTCTTTATGAAAGACGTTACAGTCTCTCTTCTTCTTGATCTCAAGATAACTCATAATACTCCTACTTTAGGAAGAAGCATGTTATATTTTTGAGCTTCATTTTACAGTAGTTTTAAAGAAAGTTTTTATATACTGGGGTAATGTTTTCTATATTTAAAACATAAAAGGAAAATATATAGAAATGAATAAACTAAAGGTACCTGTTTGTCCAGTACGTGCTGTCCATTATGGGGGTAGGATATAGAAGTGAAGAAAGAAAAAGAAATGCTAGATGTCTAAACATGATTTACTAAGTTATAATCCTGCATAGATTTATTAATAATTAGTAATTGCTCTAATGCATTTAATCTTTGAAAACTCTTATTTACAAAGCTTTTAGTCCTAGATATGTTTATATTAAATGGGAGTATGAGATGATACTTCAAAGCTTTAAAAGTAGCACATTTTTCTTCTCTTTGCTAAAAATATGTTCTGTTTTTGTTTACTGTATCTCCTTGAAAATCTGTTGACCTGGCCTTCTTGGTGTGCCTCTGAAAGTATCTTGGCAAAACACCTTAGGTCACTGTGGTTCGTGAACCTATTGCTTTGTGCAGACTCAAAAGAGCCTTGAGCCTACAGCACAAAACGATGCAAGTCTCAAGAACAGCTTGCTTATGGAGCCTAGTTTTGAGCTCTTGAGTAAATCTCCTACCTTTTCCTGAACTAACATAGTAATAATGGGCAATGGTGCTGGTCCTCCAGCCACATCCACAAGGTTTTTTTCATTTCCTCGACTGTGTTTCTTTGCCTCTTATAACTTATGCAAGTAATACATAGGTGCAGCTGTTTTTTGAAAGTTCTGTGACTCAGCTTATGTCAATTGTGTGACTCAGTCCTTCTGCATATGTGAGTATGAAGTTTATAAAACCCTCTTCCCTTTCCTTATTGGCATAATTGTACTGCTTTTACTAGCACTTTCGGTGATCATCCTGCTTTTGTACCACAGTCATAATGTGGTTACTGATATTTGTAAAACTCCTCAGAACGAAACTGACACACAGTACATAATGTCCAAAAAGGAGCAGTGCTGACATACATCTGCTGTAGAAGACCAAAGCCTAGTTCCTAAATTTGATCAGTACTCAGAATTATAGGAGAAAAATCAGTCAGAAGTAGCTGTTTAGATTGAAAAACTTTTATGAGTTGGTAGAAATTTTTGGTTAAGGTTAATCCATTGTCCTGGAAAATATAGTATTGTGTTGGCCAAAAGTTCATCTAATTTTGACTCTAGTTGTCTTTAACTTAATTCAAAACAATTTTGTTCAATAGTATTGTTACAGCTGTCATATCAGCGCGCATTAAAAAAAAAACTTAACCAAAATTGGTGAATTTTTGAGCAGCCATTTTAATACTGAAGATGGAAGAAAACATGCAACATTTTTGGCATATTATGCTTTATTATTTCAAGAAAGGTAAAAATTCAATTGAAACGCAAAAATAGATCTGTGCAGTATATGGAGAAGGTGCTGTGACATTCAACATGTGAAAAGTGGTATACAAAGTTTCTTGGTACTGTTGACATTTCAGCCAAATAATTCTTTGCTGTGGGGGCTGTCTTATGCATTGGAAGATGTTTAGCAGCACCCCTGGCCTCTGCCCACTCGAAGGCAATAGTAGGAGATAGCCAATGCAACATACAAGGTCTGTCCAGAAAGTATCCAGCCATGTGTTATGAAAAACAGACACATTTATTGAAGAAGACACAAGAAATATTGTACATAGGACAATGACGCCTCAGTCCCTTTCAAAGTAGGCACCTTGGGACCTCACACAGTTCTCCTAATCGCCATCAGCTGCCCGATCATGTTTTCCTGAATCTCATTGATATTCTGAAATCTCTTCTCTTTCAAAGGTGATTTTACTCTTGGGAAAAGCCAGAAGTTGCAGGGTACCAAATGTGGGCTGTAGGGGAGCTGAGTCATCTGGGTGATTTGATGTTTTGTCAAAAACTTCTGCACTAGACTTGATGCATGAGCAGGTGCCTTGTCATGATGAAGCTGCCAATTGTCAGTTGCCCATAGCTGTGGCCTTCTGCATCATTCACATAGTTCCCATGGAGGAATGTTCAAGTGTCACACAAAATTTGATGCAGATTCATTGCTATACTCGCTCAGTCATTTTTCATGCATTGGCCACACAGTACACATGCTCACTCATAGCATCTATTGCCTCCACTGATGAGTACAGTGAAGCCATCATTGTTCACACATGCGCATTCTAGTCCACTCTCCTTGGCTGCCAGGTTACATCAATGTACAAACTGGTGTCACTACATTAATGATAGCTGGACTTTTTCTGGACAAACCTCATATTCAAAATATCCAAATCAATAAAGTTATTGGTGAAAATGAAAAATGTGTCTTTTATTTTATGGAAAAAACTAAATGGACTTTTTTGGCCAACCCAATACTATTTTGAGTTTGTAACAATTTTGTCTAGTTTTCTTTTGGGGAACCTGTTTTGTTTGTTTTTCTTTCCCTCACATAATCATGTGTGGAAGATTAATAACTGTAATTTACTTTTATTCTCTCTGTTACATTTATAACCTTAAAAGCAAGTAAATATTTTACAAGTTTCTTGAAGTAGAGCCAATTATATTTGTGTCACAGATTAAGAAAAGTGACATGGACTGTTTTTTTAAGATTGTGTGTCCCTGAGAGCATAAATTGGAAGGAGTCTTGCTCAAACGTGTGCTGGCTTCTGTGCGTTTGTTTTCTAACCATTTGGGTTTCATGAAACACCTATTTTATGTGAAAGGAGGATAATAATACTGCATTTATATTTTCAAAGTCAAAATTTAAAAATCTATCTGAATTGGTTGCTTTATAACTCTTATGGGTTAGGGTTATGCTTTGAAGGGTAAAGGCAGGTAAGTCCTCAGTATACCTTTAACGCTTAAAAGCATATATGCAATGTATGTGATTCTTACAATAATACTCCAAATAGAACATTGGATAAAATCTTTCTGGTAGTGATCAGAGGTATGTAGTGATTAACTTTTGAAAAACTTGAAATCTGTACATTTAAGAGGAGCTGTGGAAAATTTTTAATGGGGAAATTTTCAGTACTATGTTAATTTGTTTTTATGCAACCTGTATAGATTCATTTCTCCCAACCAAGTTTGTTTTTTACCATGTGTAAACTCTGTCTCTTTTTTGCTTTCTCAAGTTGTTTATTCTAGGTCAGTGGTTCTCAACCCCAGCATAGTTTTGCCCTCTAGGGGATATTTGGCAATGTTTGGAGATGTTTTTGGTTATCATTAACTGAGAAGAGGGGGTGGAGGTGCTCCTGACCACTGGTAGGTAGAGACCAGGGCTGCACTGGACAGCCCTTTACAACAGAGTTACCCAGCCCAAAATGTTAATATTGTTCTAGGTGTAACATGCTGAATAAGAGACCTGAATCAATATTCCGTGTTTCCAATTATATTAGTTGTTTTTTGCCTTAGATATTGATAATCATACTGAGTCTGAGAATTAATTCACCATCCCTATAAGTTAAAGGATAATTTATAGTTAAATAATATATTATCTCATTATTTCATCCATTACTGAAAAAACAGCTAAACTGTGTTATCTCTTAATGTTTTATGACAAATAAGATAGTCATAAAGCTGCAAGAGGAAAATGGATAGATAGATGTTTTAAGACACCAAAACTAATACACATGGTATATGTAAGTGATAATCACAATGTGTTACGTCTCCAGAGAAGGAGAAGAAGCAGGGATAATGAACCTGGAATTTTGTCATGGTAGTCAGTGATCAAGGCTTGGTTTCCTGCAAGGGGAGAATTAACATATGTGTATACCTGCTCTATCAGCCACCATAAGCACTTTATATATTTTTTGTCATATTTTAAAATCATTAACCTATGAGCTAATTATTTACCTCCATTTTGTAGTTAGGAAACTGAAATTCAGAGGGTTTAAATGTAGCTGAGTCCAAAATAAAATGCAGGTCCTTGCCCTGGCTGGTGTGGCTTAGATGGTTGGGTGTCATCCCACAAACTGAAACTTTGCTGGTTTGATTCCTGGTCAGGGCATATGCCTGGGTCGCAGGCCAGGTCCCCAGTTGGGAGCATGTGAGAGGCAGCTGATCGACATTTCTCTTGCACGTCCATGTTTCTTTCCTTCTTTCTCCCTCTCTTCCCTCTCTCTTAAAATAACTAAGATCTTAAAAAAATAAAAATTAAAAAAAGCAGGTCCCTGACTCCAATGCTCCTGTTCTTTCTGCTGCATCATCACCCTGTCTTCAAAGAGTGATTTTACAAGTATTTTGTCCCCCTTAGTTTTCTAAATAGATTTTGTGGAAAGCCAGTATCCTTGATTTTCATTCTAAATAATTGTAGTCTTTTTTAATAACAAGATTAAGGATGAAAACAAACATCACTTTGTTAAAGTGAAGAGTCCTCACCTATGTTGAAGTGAATGGAGATGGGTTAAACACTGAATTGCTGTGAATTGCTTCCTTTTACAGAAAGTGCCTAGTTTGAACTGGAGCTATAATGTAGATAACTTTCCTGTCATTGTGGAGATTGTGCTTTTGTCTTTCTTGATGTGAGGTACACTTCATATGCTCTCTTTTATCACCAGAATCCCTCCCTGTAAGGGTGTAAATGAGGAAACCCAGAAGGCTCTGGATCGCTCTCTCCTCGATTGCACTTTCCGATTACAAGGTAGAAATAACCGCACGTGGGTGGCAGAGTTAGTGTTTGCAAATTGTCCACTTAATGGCACTTCTACCAGGGAACAAGGTGAGATGCTTTACACACTTCGTCTTTGCATATTTCTGAATTTCTTTTCATATTGATTGTGATTAATCTTCTCTTTTAATCCGGCAGGACCTTCCCGGCATGTTTATCTAACATATGAAAACCTATTGTCTGAACCTGTTGGTGGTAGGAAAGTGGTTGAAATGTTCCTTAATGACTGGAATAGCATTGCACGATTATATGAGTGTGTGTTGGAATTTGCACGTTCTCTACCAGGTACATGTGATAATCTTCCTTTTTTGTGGGGGGGAGCATTCCCCCATTTTTTAACTGAAGAGGTAAAACATGCACATTGTAAAAAAACAAAAATTCAGAAGTATATCTAATGACAAATAAGCTTCCCTTTCAACTTAGCCTTTAGTTTCCTTCCCCCAGAGACAACCACGGTTAAGTTTCTTACGTATTCAGGAATTTTTACACATAGGTAGACCATGTATAATAATAGTTAGTACTTAGCAGGGAGTTTACTATGTGCCATACAATGTAATAAACAGTTTGCTTGTATTAACTCATTTACTCCTCATGATCACACTACGAGGTGGGTAAATTATTATTCTTCATTTTACAAATGAAGAAAACAAGTCACAAAGTTAAAAAACTTGTTGAAGTTCACATAATAGCTAGTAAATAGCAGAGCTGGAATTGAAAGCTCTAACCATTATGCTACAATGCTTCAATATATCTCCACCCCTGCACAGTCCCCCTTTGTAGAAGTGGAAATGGAAGCCTACAGTCTGTTTATACTGTTGCTTTCCTTTCTTTCTTTTTTTTTTTTTAATAAATTACATATTCAGAGACCTTTTGATCTAGGCATATAATATTGCCAAAATACCCTCTTTTTCAAAAATATATTTTTAAAATTTTGCATGTGTATTCTTAATCTCCTTTTTGTTTTCTTTGTATTTAGACATACCTGCTCATCTAAATATTTTCTCAGAAGTTCGTGTTTATAATTACCGAAAACTTATCTTGTGTTACGGAACTACCAAGGGAAGCTCAGTAAGTATATGAATTAATTAAAATGGAAGTTCCTCTCATAAATCTTGTAAAAATCAAGAATTCAAAAATTAGAAAAACTGCCTTGAGGGCTCAAGTAAAAATTAGGGATAAAGTGGTAAAATTTAAATACTTTGTTGATATAAATATAGTATACTATAATGTTTAACCCTTTGAAATTGGAAACAAAAATTAATACCCTCATTGATGGGTATATAATCTTGGGTTTTAGACAAGGTAATGTACTTTTGGTATTTACATTTTTTTCTTAACTGATTTCAGATCTGCTTAGCAATGTGATTACTGTAATGAAGTTTATGTATCAGTGGTTTTGAACATTATGGTATGTCAGTGCTTTTGGTCACATGATAATTAACATTGTTCGATCCTATCTTTATTTTTAAGGTATTCTCCATAATCCATAGTCTCCTTTTTTTTCCCTACCTCATATGTAAAGCCCTAGAAATTTAGTATGAAAATTCAGCCAGCTAGTTTTCTTTCTAGCCTCTCCACATCAGGTAATATCAGAAATTATTTGACTGTTTAAAAATCTATTAATGAAAACATCTGTGTTTAGTGTGGCTTCCTTTCCCTTTACACAGGTGTGTACCTAGAGAGTGACTCTTCATTAGTTCAAGAGAAAAGTGAAAATTAGGAACACCAGTGATACTTTTAAAATAAAGTTTAATCAAAATATTTTCTTTCGGGCTTTCTCTTTCTGTTTTGTTTAGAAGTGGGCTATCTAACACACATGCTCAGTGAATGTACTGGTCCATAGTAACAGCAAAACTGGAATTTAAAGTGTCCAGTCTTATGTGTTACTTTCAAAAAAGATCTAGTTTAGATCTTTTCTTATACTTGAATCTGTTACTTTCTCAGTTTCTGAAACATGTATTCTCTTGGATTTAGATTAGTATCCAATGGAATTCCATACATCAGAAATTTCACATTTCTTTGGGAACTGTTGGTCCAAACTCAGGTTGCAGCAACTGTCACAATACCATTCTCCATCAGCTTCAAGAAATGTTCAACAAAACACCAAATGTGGTTCAGTTATTACAGGTAATTAAGTTTATATTCTCTTTAAAAATAAGATTAAGTCAGTGTTAGTGATGAGGGTGGGTGCCTTTGTCTTTTGTATCTTTCACTTTTCTTGGAGAATTTTTATTCAAAGTGAACACAATGATCTAGTTTGCATTCTCTTCAAGGGAAAGTTTTATGGCATGTGTCAGAAGGACATTGTCTCATTTTTTAAAGTTATACAATGAAAATTCTGAGGTTTTAGCATTGTACAGAAACCAGCTGCTCTCACTGTGTTTGTTTTTTGTAGGTACTGTTTGATACTCAGGCTCCATTAAATGCTATCAACAAACTCCCCACTGTGCCGATGTTGGGCTTGACCCAGAGAACCAACACTGCCTACCAGTGCTTCTCCATTTTGCCACAGTCATCCACCCACATCAGACTGGCCTTCAGGAACATGTATTGCATTGATATATACTGCCGGAGTCGAGGTGTTGTGGCAATACGGGATGGTGCCTATAGTCTTTTTGATAATAGCAAGTTAGTTGAAGGATTTTATCCTGCACCAGGACTAAAGGTAAGAGACTTTAGTGTCATAGCATGAATAAACATAAATATGATCTCAAACAATTCCTATGAGGGGGAAATAATAGGGAAAAGCAACAAATTTCTGTTTAAATTTAATAGCCATGTTAACGCATTATCTCTCTGAAGGAGCTAGAAGTTCTAATAAAGTGTTGTACGTATGTTTATGAGGTGATAAAATGTTTTTTCCCTTATTTCCTTTCTCTGCTTGTGAGCAAGATAGAAGATACTGAAGAGTCCTATTTACTATTTGCAACTTTGAGGAACTCGAAAAGTAGTTTCTATCATTGATTATGGAGTAGGTTTGATTCATCAGTGGAACTACAATGCTTTTTTAAATGTGGGGTCCTGGGCCCCAGTCCCTTGATTCTGGAGTCAAATAGTTCCAAATGGTTTGTTTTGAAAATTAGTGCCCGACAGCCTTCCTCGCCCATTTTCCTGCTGTGCTTTCAACTCTTACGTAGCTGATTCTCTTGGTCTTCACATCTTATCTCTAAATAGATGCTTACATTGCAATTTGTTAAGGTATTATCTGATTCTTACAATGAAAGATGAGGATTTAATGCTTTTTTATATGCCCCTTCTACATTCTAGGCTGCTGCTCCCAGTATACAAATTCTTTCCTCCTATCCTTACAATATGGTTAGATAGCAATTTTGATTGGATACTTTTTTATTCACATTATTATAGATATGTAAACACTATTCTTCCAAGCTTCCCTCAGTATGTTAATCTGCCAGATGCCTTACTAGTTACATCTTGAAGAAATGTCTTCCACAGTCCTCTGACCTCTAAACTGGAATGGTAGTGCTCCAGATTTTTTGCACAATTTTGACTTAGGAATCTACAGAAGGATCACAAAGGGAGAAGTTTCTTCACTTCTCTTTTGTGTTGTGTGCCCTGTGACTTGGACCCCATGTCTTTTTCTTGGTTTACTCCATTGTTTTGGTGAAATACTTCCTAGTGGTTTCTGGGAGAAAGTACATGGGAGATTAATTTGAGACTTTGTATGTGTGAAAGTGTCTTTAGTTTGCCCTGTCTAATTGAGAGAGCGGCTAGGTATGGAATTCTAGGTTGCAGGCATTTTGAAGGCATTGTTCCATTGTCTTTTAGCTTCTGTTGTGACCTATGAGAAGTTTAATCCTGTCCAAATTCTTGAATTTTATGTGACTAAGTAGGCTCTTAAAATCTGGAAACTTACATCCTTTTGTTCTGGGGAAATTTCTTGCATTGTTTCTTGATTCTTCTTTGTTTTCTCAGTTAGTTCTTTCTGGTACCCCTACTATTCTGATGCTGGATATCCTTAACTCATCCTTTAATTTTCTAATCTTTTCTCTTTTTAAAAAAAATTTGTTTCTGGGAAATATCCTCATTTTTTCCTCCTATCCTATTGTTCATTTCTGCCAAGATTTTTTTTTTGCCATCTTTAAAAAATTTTCCAAGAGCTCTTTTTTGTTTCCAAATGTTCATTTTATGACATTCTGTTCCCTGTGGCTAACTTCTCTTAACTTCTTTCCTCAAAATCTTCATTTCATCTATCTTGCTTTTTTTGTTTTGATGTCTTACATATTAGCATCTTTCTTCAAATATTAAGTGATTCTTAACCCTGCTTTTATTTAAAGTGAGGCTTCTTGACTGGGGTCTTCACTGTAGGATGATCTCCTTGGGCCATTTCTTTAGGTAATTCCCAGTGTTAGGTATTTTGGTTGGGCTGGTTTGAGTACCAAGAGAAGAGTTTCTAAGCCTCTGCAAAGATGGTGTGCACCTGGCATCCAATTTTTGGCAAGTCAGGTAAGAGAAGAAAACTAGTATTTTCAGCAGTCACTATGTAAACTTTACTTTTCATTTTTAATATGGTACCCTTTCTCTTAATTATTCTAGAGTTCCCCAAGTCAAAGATCCTCTGCCAGGGTGATAGAGTTCAGTGGGAGTGACAGGAGCTCCTGGAGGGTTTCAATCTCTCTCCCTTTTACTTTTTTTAAAGATTTTATTTTATTTTTTAGACAGATGGGAAGGGAAGGAGAAAGAGAGGGAGAGAAACATCACTGTCTGGTTGCCTCTTGCACACCCCAACTGGGGACCTGGCTCGCAACCCAGGCATGTGCCCTACACTGGGAATCGAACTCATGACTTTATGGTTCGCAGGGTGGCGCTCAATCCACTGAGCCACACCAGCCAGGACTATTTTTTGTTTTTAATTGAGATATAATTGACATATAACATTAGTTTCGGGTACACAGCATCATGATTCAATATCGTATATACTGTTAAATGCTTACAAGTCCACATACCATCTGTCACCATACAAAATTACAAAAATTTTTTTCTTGTGATGAAAATTCCCAGGATCTACCCTCTTAGCAACTTTCAAATATTCAACACAATATCATTGACTGTAGTCACCGTGCTGTATATTACTACATCTGCATGACTAATTCATTTTATAGCTGGATATTTGTACCTCTTGATCTCCTTCACTCATTGCACTCACCCCCTAACCCCTGTCCACTTTGACTATCATCAGTCTGTTCTATGTATCTGTGAGTTTTGTTTTGTTATTTAGATTCTACATGTAAGTGAGGTCATATGGTATTTGTCTTTCTGTGTCTGACTTACTTTATTTAGCATAATATCCTCAAGGTCCATCCATGTTGTCATAGATGGAAAGATTTTATTCTTTTTTTTTATGGTTGACCAGTATTCCATTGTGTATATATACTACATCTTTTTTTTTTTTTTTAGTTTTAGTTTTAGTTTTTAAAGATTATTTATTTTTAAACAGGGGAACGAAGGGAGAAAGAGAGGGAGAGAAACATCAATATGTGGTTGCCTCTCACATGTGCCCTACTGGGGACCTGGCTTGCAACCCAGGCATGTGTCCTGACTGGGAATTGAACCGGTGACCCTTTGGTTTGCAGACCGGCGCTCAATCCACTGAACCACACCAGCCAGGGCTATATACACTACACCTTTATCCAGTCATCGATCAGTGGACACAGGTTATTTCCATATCTTGGCTATTGTAAATAATGCTGGAGTGAACATAAGAGCACATACAGATTTTCAAATTAGTATTTTTGTTTTCTTTGGATAAATATCCAGACATGGTATTGCTGGGTCATATGGTAGTTTTGTTTGTTTGTTTGTGTTATTTATTTTTTGAGGAACCTCCATACTGTCTTCCCAAGTGGCTATACCAGTTTACATTCCCGTGAACAGTGCATGACAGTTCCCTTTTTTCCACATCCTCACCAACTCTTGTTATTTCTTACCCTTTTGATAAGATACCACCATTCTCATAGGTGTGAGGTGATGTCTCATTGTAATTTTGATTTGCATTTCTCTGATGATTAGTGATGTTGAGCATCTTTTCATGTACCTTGTTGGCCATTTGTATTATCTCTTGGTTGTGGTGTCTCTTAAACAGACTTAATCCAGTGCTTCTGTTTTTTGTTCCACCTTCATTCCTATTTCCAGAGGTATCTGGTGCTGCCAGTTCCTAAGTGTCTTAGGGATCTAGATGGAAACAGCTTTGTTTCTTGGCTTTCCCTGCTGCTTGCTTAGGATACAGCTTCCTCACATTGGGTAGTTCATTTACCACTCAACCATCTGCTCTCCTGCCTCCACAATTTATTGCTGTATTTTTCCTTTCCTGTTCTTTATATCTTTGTGACTTACTGCTTTAAAACAATTTTTATGAGTGCTTCAGGTGGGGTAGTGGGAGAAGATGAAATGTATGTTGTGAATTCATCATCTTTAATTAGAAATCAGACCATATACTTTTTTTTTCTTTTTTCTTTCTTTCTTTATTTAAATTTATAAATCATGTTTATACTATTACAGTTGTCTCAGTTTTTACTCCTTTACCCCCCTTCACCCATCCCACCCCCACCCCCCACTCCCACAGTCAATTCCCACTCTGTTATCCATGTCCATGGATCATTCATACATGTTCTTTATCTAGTCCCTTCCCCTTCTTTCCACCATTGTCCTCTTTCCCCATCCCCTCTGGTCACTTTCAGTCTGTTCCATATTTCCGTGCCTGTGCTTTATTTTGTTCGTTAGTTTATTTTGTTGAATAGAGTCCACTTATAGGTGAGATCATATGGTATTTGTCTTTCATAAACTGGCTTATTTCACTTAGCTTAATATTCTCCAGTTCCATCCATGTTGTCACAAAAGGTAGCAGTTCCATCTGTCTCTCTTTTTCTTTCTTAAATGCAGATTGATTTTATTTACTTTAATTTTTTAAATGTCAAAGTTAATTATAAACTATTAAAAAAATTTAAAACCATTATAAAGTCTAGCAATTAAACCAGCATGACACCAGCACAGAAATAATCAAGTAGATCATTGAAATATAATGAGCATTCTAGAGACAAACATATATCTGTCTAAGAATATATGATTAAGTTGATATTTCAAATCAATGGGTAAAATAAGGCTTATTCCACAAATAAGGTGCATGGGCCACTATTACTTGAGATAAAACAAATAGCCCTATTTCTCACATTATACAAGAAATATTCAGGTGAGTTAAAAATCAATATGTAGAATCTAAGGAGTTTTAGAAGACAATAGAACTAATATTTTTCATGACCTGAAGTAAAATATTCAAACCCAGAAACTACAAAGTAAATACTGATAATACGACTATATTAAACATTTAACTATATAGTAATATACATATAAAAAAAGTTAAAGGACAAAGGATAGAATAGAAGAATATTTGCAACACATATAAAACATGGTTAATAGGGGTTTCTTTTGGGGGGGGGAGGAGTTCTATAAACCTTTAATCAATAAATAGATAAAACTACCAAAAAGTGATTTAAAGTTTTTTTTTTTTTAAATAGAAATAGGCAAGAAATATACTAAAACAGGTTCAGTTTCAACAAATAGTAAAGGAACAACTAAAATAACATCATTGTCACAATCAGATTAATGAGTATTAAAAATATTAGTAAAATCAAGTATTGGCAACTCTGAAAGGAACTGGGTATTCATAGAAACTTTTTCTTCATCTTAAAGCAGTCCTGTTAGCATATTTTGCAGTGCTGGTTTGGTGGAGGTGTATTCTTTTAGCCTTTTGTCTGGGAAACTCCTTATTTCGCCTTCCATTTTAATTGAGAGCCCTGCTGGGTAGAGCAGTCTTGGTTGCAGGCCTTTACTTTTCAATACTTGGAATATTTCTTGCCATTCCCTTCTGGCTTGCAGTGTTTCTGTTGAGAAGTCAGCTGCTAGCCGTCTTGGGGCTCCCTTATATGTTACTACCTCTTTCTCTCTTGCTTGCTTTAGGATTCTCTGTTTGTTTTTGATATTTGCCATTTTAATGATGATGTGTCTTGGAGTGGGCCTCATTGGGTTCCTCTTGAATGGGACCCTCTGTGCTTCCTGGCCTTGTGTGACTTTTTCTCTTCTCCAGTTAGGGAAGTCTTCCATCATGACTTTTTCAAATAGTTTCCTCTATCCCGTCCTCATCCTCTTCCCCTTCTGGTATCCCTACTATACGGATATTATTACGTTTCAGGTTGTCCTGCATTTCCCTAAATGCCTCTTCATTCTTTTTGAGCCTTTTTTCATTTTCTGGCTCTTTCTTGGAGCTTTTTTCTGCCTTGTCCTCCAGCTCGCTGATTCGGTCCTCAGCTTTATCGAGCCTGCTTTGGATTCCTTCTACTGTGTTCTTTAGTTCAGAAGTTGTATTCTTCATTTCCTCTGGGCTCTTGTTGATAGTTTCTATGTCCTTTAATCATGCTGATATAGTTGGCAGTAAGTTCCTCATAGTTTCCCTGTATTTTTTTGTAATTTTCTGTGAGCTCACTGAGCTCATTGAGGTTCCTTAAAACTGTTGTTTGGAACTCAATATCTGTTAGTTTACTTGCCTCTATTTCATTTAGTTCTATTGCTGGGGATTCCTCCTTTCCCTTGGATGGGAGCATGTTTCTTTGTCTTCCTATTATTTATGAGACTCTTCTCTTTTGCTTCTGCTTCTTAAGTTGATCTGTCTTGATTTCCTGACTTTGTGGTGTGAACTTCTATGGTTGGAGACCACTGTTTTTACTTTTTGGGTCTGCCTGTGATGATGTCATATGTTGACCCTGTCTGACCTTCAGCAGTCTGTTTGAGACTTTCAGGAATCTACTGTTTGTGGCTGTCTCCTTCAGCTGTTCATCTAGTCGCTCTACACTCAACAGGCCGCCTTAGACAGCTCAGGGTTGGGTGGAGTCCCTCCTGGGAGCAGGGTTATTGGGTCCTCTGACACTGGTGCGAATGGGGGAGGAGTTCGCACTGGGATCCTGCCGGCTACTCTCTCCATTCTTTCCCAAAGCCTCTGTCCCCACTCTCTCCTCAAGTGTCAGGAGACCTCTCTGCGCCCCCTTTAGGCAGGGATCTTCTGTCTGTGGCTACCACTCTGCACTCAGCAGGCAGCTTAGACAGCACGGGGCAGGAATCCCACCTGGGGTCGGGGCTATTGGGTCCTTGGTCGCTGGTGTCGCTCAGGGGGCGTGGCCTCTGCCTGAGCAAGATGGCTGCTGCCGCATGGGGCATGAGTCAGCACTGAGATCCCACTGGCTACTCTCCCAGTTCTCTCCCCAAAGCCTCCTTCCGCAGTTTCTCCTCAGGCATCTCTAGCCCACTCTGCCCCCACCTTTGCCGGAGACCAGAGTATGTGGCTGCAGATAAAAATTTATGCGTCGGCCCTTTAAAAGGCTCTTTGAGTCTCCAGCCACCACCCATCTCTGGCAGAGAGCAACCCTGCCACTTTTCGCAGCTGGCTGTTTTCCATGCACTTTTTGGGCTCTGGTGCTGTGGGCTAGAGATCCCCAATTTTGCTTTAGACCCCGCTCTTCTCAGGGGGATCCAACTGGCCCTTTCAATATCCTTCTGGTGCTGCCACCCGTGGGCACCCCGCCCACCTTCTGTGGTCTCTACCGCATTCCTTACCAGTTAGATTGCACTAAAGCCGATTCTTCTGTCTCCAAGGTTACAAGGCTCCTCTCTCGGTCTTGTTCAGTTGTTGGTTCCAGGTGATTTCTCCACAATTTAGTTGTAATTCCAGGTTGGTCCTGGGTGGGAGGAGGTCAGTGTGACTTCCACTCACTCCTCCACCATCTTGATTCCCAGACCATATACTTTTAAAAGCTTTCAAGTGATTCTGATAAGCTTACGATCTATATTTTTGAAGATTGAGGAATAAATATTAAAAGAAAGAAAACCTGTCCCTGACTGATGTGACTCAGTGGATTGAGCATGGGCCTGTGAACTGAAAGGTCATGGGTTTGATTCCTAGTCAGGGCACATGTCTGGGTTGTGGGCCAGGTCCCCAGTTGGAAGTTTGCAAGAGGCAACCGATCTATGTATCGCTGTATCTCTCGCATATTATGTTTCTCTCCTTCTCATTCTTCTTCCCTTCCCTTGTCTCTAAAAGTAAATAAATAAAATATTTAAAGAAAAAAAGATATTTTAACAAAAATCCATGCTTGACACAAATTGTGAAACCTTGCTTAGTTTTTTATGACATATAAAACAGACTGTCCCATTCTTGATGGTTCAAGATTAAGTTATATTAGATAAAAAAGGGAAAAGATGGCTTAGTTCTAGCTTAAAAAGTGAGAATGCTCACTAAATAGGAAATTTTTCAACATACAACTTTTGATTTTTCCTCCCCATTTTTGGTTCAGAAATTAATAAGAGAATGCTTTGACCTATTGTTAAAAAGTGCCAGGGTGTAATTCTTTATTCAACTTTTTGCTTGCACAGTACTTCTTAGTTGATACGACTTTTAAAACCTAGATGTGTTGATTTTGTTTCTCTCAATAATCCCCCCTTCAAAATTATCAGTATCTCTCAGGTTGTCCTAGTAATAATGATCATGTGTTAAACTTACATTTCAGAGATAGACATAATATGTTTATTTCTGTTAAAATACTGTAAATAATTAAAAATACCATATTAAAATTAGGTAAAATAATCTAAATTTTGCCTGTTTATATCCATAGACATTCCTGAATATGTTTGTTGACAGCAATCAGGATGCTCGAAGAAGGTCTGTAAATGAGGATGATAATCCCCCTTCTCCCATAGGAGGAGATATGATGGATTCTCTAATCTCACAACTCCAGCCACCACCCCAGCAACAGGTAATAATATGTAGCTTAAATTCCAAACGGCATCACATTTGTTTTAACCTAACAGGTTCTATAGGTTTCTGGGCTTCTTTCTTAAAAGGCATGGAGGTCCTTGGTGGACCCAAGATGCTCACAAAATCTGTGTGAAAAAATAATAATAGAGGGTGACAAGGAGGAGGCTTCTAGTGGTAGGAAGTGAATAGTACCCGAAATGGCATTAACTTCAGACTCATGCTCTTAAAATGATGTCAGGTGATTTACCCATGTAATCACAAAACAGGATGTACAAATGACTAGTAAGCACAGAAAAGGTGTTCAGCATCATTCAGGATCACAGAACAAATTAAAAGCAGAATGAAATGATACTCCATAGCACAAAAGTGGGTTTAAGAAAAAAATTGATGATCCTTGCCAACAGTTGCTATTAGGAGCAACTGAAACTCTCATTTATTACTAAAGGATATATGAAATGGTACAACTACCTTGCACTGGGGTTTAGCAGTATTCCAGAGGGCTAGAGCTGAATGTTATGCATATCTGTGATTTAACGATTCTACTCTTAGGTATACATGTGTCAGAAATGCATCAATACAAGAACGGTCATAGCAACATTATTTATTCAAAAAATTGTAAACAACCCAAATACTTAGCAACAAGAATGAGTGAATAAATTGGGGTATATTTACACAATGGAATACTTTACAGAAATGAGAAAGCAAACTATTGCTACATGCAACAACATGATGAATTTTGCTGACATAAAGTTGAACAAAAGAAGCCAGACACCATATGTGTAATAAGTACATTCAGTATTTATATGAAGTGCAAAACGAGGCAAAAACCAAACTTGACTGATGGAAGTCAGAATAGTCTTACCTTTATTGAGGTGGTAAAGGCAAGGTGTATAAGGGAGACCTCTGGGGTTCTGGTAATGTTCTTTAGTATCTTGATCTATGTGGCAGTTACATTTGCAAAAATTCATCTGACTGTATATTTAAGATTTGTATACTTTACTATATGTGATTTGTACCTCAATTAAAAAAGAAGTGTAGGAAGGATTACCTTGTCCTAGGGTTTTCATTACTGTAGATGAAGTAAAGGTAAGTAGAGGTCAGGTTGAACTACCATATTTCATTGACTCCAAAACGCCATGAAATGAAAGATGCACAATTTTTTATATACTGCCAGAAATACACTGCCAATTAAACTATGACAGATAAAATGAGCAAGAAACATCTTGAGATATACAAGCAGTGGTATTGCAAGGTAAGGAATGAGGATATTGCTGTTGTTAAAACATTTGAAAGTCATGGAGTTTTTAAAAACCTGTGTTACTGATGTATATTTTTCACATTTTCATCAAGTGTGTAAATGTTAATTAACACTGGAGCTAATTATTGGGGGAAGTCATTACACTCTTACTATATACAGTTGGCCATTTTACATTTAAATTTCTCTTTTCAGCCATTTCCAAAGCAACCAGGATCATCAGGCGCTTATCCTCTTACTTCACCTCCTACATCTTATCATAGCACAGTTAGTCAGTCTCCATCTATGATGCACACGCAGTCCCCAGGTAAGGTGTTACTTACTCTCTTGTTGTGTTCACCTTTAAATCTAAAATACACACACACAGAAGTACTGCATATGAAGCCTTAGACTTCAGAGAGAACTCCCTTTCTAGTCTGTGGCTAGATATTTGCCATTCATTCATTATGGCATCATTGTGAAATCTGTGTTCATGATTCTAGAGAACTTTAAAAGGTTTGAATTAAATGGAGGTGTTGTCACTCAGAGCTTGACTCATGGCACAACTCCAAGAAGTGCTACTTCCATGATCCATGTCAGAAGTCGACAACTAAAGCCTGTGGGCCAAGTCCTGCCCACCACCTGTTTTTGTAAATGGTTTTATTGGAACATGCCACACCCATTTATATAGTGTCTATGGCTGCTTTCCCACCACAGTGACTGACCCCTTATAGAAAGTTTGCTGAGCCCTGTTATATGTGAACAGTGCCTGCCCCACTCAGAGTTGGGCAGTGCACAGCCTGCTTGTCCAAACAAAATGGCTCTGTTGACAACCCCATGAAGTGCGCTATAAAATTACTTGAGGATGCCAAAATTTTACTTTTAACTGAACAATTCATTGGTGTTGCTTAAGTACTTGCTCTGTGCCAAATGCTACATAGTGCTGAGGATTCATCCGTGAGCCAGATACCAGCCCTGCTCTCAAGCTTATCATCTAGCAAGGAGGACAAGTGTCAGATTTCTTGGGTAGATGATCTCCTATCTGCTCATCAGAGATGGTTGGACCACAGATTAAGACTTAGAAGTTGTTGTCATGTCACTGAAGGTCGTTGAAGCCCAAGTGAGTGGGTGAGCTCAGCTCCTGAGGAACACTGGCAGTCAATAGTGGAGGAGCCTGAGAAGGAGCAGCCAGGGAACAAGGAGGAAAACAGGAGACACAGGGGCATAAAACCCAAGGGGAGTGTTTTTTAGAATAGATTTGAGGCTGGCTTTGCATATAAGGTAAGAGAAATAATTATTTTGAAATAACAATAGTAACAGGTATAAATAGTGCTTACTTTGTGCCAAGCCGCATTCTAAGTACTTCAGCCATTTAATCCCCACAGCAAACCTATGGCATAGGTCCTGTTGTTACTCCTGTTTTATAAAGGAAAACTGAGGCATGGAAAAGTTGTTACTTGTCCAGGTCACACAGCTAAATAAGCAAAATAACACTTAAAGGTTAATCAAATTGATCAACCTTATATTGAATGTAAGGCATTGCAATAGGTATTATAGAACATGAAAATGTGAAATTTTTTACATAGAGGTAGAGAATTTGAAACTTGATGATATTGAGGATTGTTATGGTAATGTAGGAAGTATTTTAATGTTGCATTTATTCATAGTTTTGGTAGCCATAGTTCCCCTTTCATAATTCTAAGTTAAAACTAGTCCTGTGGCTAAATACTGTCTTTAAGCTTATGTCTCCCAGTTTTGTTTTGTTTTGTTTTTAATTTCCTAGCTAGGCCTCTCCCCTGAAGTCCTGCATTTTCCAGCTGTCTATTCAACATTTCCATTTAGCTGTCTTAGTTGACATCTAAAACTCACCATGGCTGAAACTAAATTCCTAACCAACCCAGCAGTATCTTTCCCACCCCAAATTGCTCCTCCCACAAGCACCCCATCTCAGTAAATGTCATTCCCTTCCTTCTTGCTACCTAAGCCAAAACTGTTAGAGTCATGTTGGACTCTTTCTCTCACACCCACATTCAGTCAGTTACCAAATACTGCCAGCTGTACCTTTAGAATTTATCTAGAATCTAACCACTTTCACCATCTCAGCCTGTGCCCTTGCCCAAGTCACTAACCCATCTCTCACCTGGATGATTGCACTTACCTCTAACTGGTTTCCTTGTCCCTGTCCCTGCCCTGTAGTCTATTCTTCACACAGCAGGTAGAGTGATCCTTCTGGAACAGAAATTAGTTCATGACTCCTCTGTGGCACACTCTTCATGGCTTCCCATTTCGTTCAGGTTAAACCCTAAGTCCTTTGAGTGGCCCACAAGTCCTCATGTGATTAGGACCACCCTCTGCCTCTCTGACCTCATATCTTCCCATTTCCCCCTTGCTCACGCTGTTCCAGCCACACTGGCGTCTTTCATGTTATTTATAACTGCTGCCACCTTTGGGGCCTTTCCACTAGCTCTTCTGTTTGCCTGGAATATCTTATCCCCTGGATATCCTCATGCCTTTTTCTTCACTTTCTTTGTTTCTTAGCTCACAAAGTCTTCTCTGATTGCTTTATATAAAGAACAGCACCCACCTCAACCACTGCACAATATTGCCCCTTTACCTTGCCCTGTTTTTTTCCGTAGCACTTATTACTACCTGACACATATTTGTTAGTCTTTCTCATTCTACTAGAATAAAAGTTCCACAAGGACAGGAATTTTTGTCTCGTTATCTGCTATATCCCCAGTGTGTGCCATACATAATGCTTGGCATGAAGTTGACGTTCATGCCTTAGTTATTCAACGAGTGAATGAGTGAATAAAAAGTACACTGGATATTTTTAAAAACTAGCCAATATAAGAGCGAGAATTTGGGCCCCATTGAATTGACCTGTCTTTTTCAATAAAAAAAATTATTCTACTTTTCCTTTGTGCTACTTATGGGAGCTTTACTACGTGTTTCTTTAGTTTGTAGAGTCTTAACTTGGGGTCCTTGAACAGGACATGATATGTGTCCTGCAAGATCATCTGTAATTATTTTCGTTTATTAGGAAATCTGCATGCTGCAAGCTCCCCCAGTGGGGCTTTGAGAGCCCCATCACCAGCGTCATTTGTTCCAACTCCTCCCCCATCCTCGCATGGACTCTCAATAGGACCAGGGGCCAGTTTTGCTAGTCCACATGGTGAGTCCGTACATGGAAGTTGCTGTAGCGTAAGAGTTTGGCGTGAAAGTAGTTTTTGTTAAGTAAATTATTTTCTTATTGCAAAGTTAGCACTTGTTTATTGGGAAAATAGCAAAATAAAATAAATATTTCCTAATCACACCATGCAGAGATCTACCAGTTTTGTCTGCTTTGAACTTTCTTTCCCTTTCCCTCTCACTCTTTCTTCCTGTCATACATCCCCTGCTTGCTTATCTGCTCAAATCTCTTGCTTTTGCTTGCTCTCTACCCATCTTCTTGTCTTCTGCCTCAAACATCCCCCCACCCTCCAAAAAATATTGGGATCCTACCCTATGTATTAATTTGAGACTTCAATTTTTTCACTCTTTAACTCAAAAGTTTTATTTTAGGTTGGTTCAAATAGGTAAAGAATAGAAGTATCCAGTGAAGTGTTTCCTTTCTGTTCCACCAGATATCTAGTTCCTCCTCCCAGAGACATTTAGTTAATGTCATTAATTTTTTATTGTTCTTACATAGATGTTTTATGCATAAATAAGCAAATACATGTAAATGTTATTTCCCTCTCTTTTATACACATTGCAGACAGCATACTGCACATGGTGTTCAGTTCCTTACTTTTATCCCTTAAATATATCGTGAATACCATGCCAAATCAGAACATAATGAGCTTGCTCAGATTTTACCACTGTATAGTATCTGATTTTTTTTTTTTACTCTTTACTATTAATATTTGTGGAAACATGTTTGACACTAAAAACTCTATATCATCATCCTAAATGTATTCATAGTATTCCCTTATTTGGGCATACCATAATTTAACTGCTCTCCTATTGTAATATGGTTAGAATGTTTCCATTTTTTCACAACTAAAAATGATGTCATCTCCGCTCGCATGATTATTTCCTTAGGTAAGTTCCTAGAAGTGGAATTGCTGTCCCGAAGGGTTTGAGAAATTCTAAAGCTCTTGAAACATATTACAGATGGCTCATCTGAAAGCCTGTCCCAATTTCCTCTAGTATCATAGAAGAATGTCTTTTTCTGCATCATGGCCAACATGGGGTATCATGATTATTTTTAAAATCTTGGTCATTTTGATAGGTAAAAAATGGTATCTTACTGTTTAATGTATGTTGCTTTATTAGTGAAGTTCATTAGTCTCTGGTGTTTCTTATTTTATGTGTGCCAGTTTATATCCTTTTCCTGTGTTCTTGTGTTTTTTTCTTATTAATTTGTAAGACTTCTAAGTAAGGATCATTTACTCCCTGATATATGATAATTTTTTCAGTTTGTCATTTGGTTACAAAGGGGTGTATATGTAAAGGTATCTGCAGGGTGAAATTTAAATACCAAATTGTTCAGAAAGTTGCTGCTTTCAAAACCTGATACTTTGGTTCATTTCTTAGTCAATGTAGCCTTTACTAAATAAAGAAAATGGAAAATTTTTCCCTTTTCAGCCTCCTCTGAGTAGAATGAAAACATAATTTTTCAGGATTCATTTAAAAATATAAGATTTCTTTCCTTAACATAGCTTTTGAGGTTTTTTTGCTTAATATTTTCAAACATATAGTTGATTATTACATGGTACAAGTTGGTATGTATTACACATCTTGAACCTCATGTGAAGGTAAATTTTATCCTTTCTCAGTCTTTTTTTAATGTAAATTTTATACCATGTTAAAAAGTACATAAACTACACAAAATATTCAGATGTGCCATGTTAAGGAGCATCATGCTTCAGTGAAATATCATACTGAAAGAAAAAATGAAAGTATCACCCTGTAGGGTATACGCATTTAAATGCTGTCAAATACTTTTCCGTTATTAAAATACAGGTTTTGAAAACCCTTTATTTACTTGTTTATAGGAACCCTGGACCCCAGTTCTCCATATACTATGGTGTCACCAAGTGGACGAGCGGGGAACTGGCCAGGGTCTCCTCAAGTGCCTGGCCCCTCACCAGCAACACGGTTGCCTGGAATGTCGCCAGCCAACCCATCACTACATTCTCCAGTTCCAGATGCTTCTCATTCCCCCCGAGCTGGAACAAGTGAGCATTATCAACATTTCTATGTTTGCTTTTAGTATAACCAACAAATAACCTATTTTATTCCATCCTGACATTTGAAGATCATGACCTACTGGTTGAATGGGGATACTTAATAATTTTAACTTTTACCCATTTAGTAAATTGGTGATAATAGAAGTTAATTGTCAAAGTCAAGGCAAAAATGTAAGAAAGAACCGCCTCTTCCAGAAGTTTTCTTTTCTTTTTTCAAGATTATTTATTTTAGAGAAAGGGAAGGAGAAAGAGAGGGAGAGAAACATCAATGTGTGGTTGCCTCTTATGCGCTCTCTACTGGGGGGGCCTGGCCTGCAACCCAGGCATGTGCCCTGACTGAGGAATTGAACCAGCAACCCTTTGGTTTGTAGGCCGATGCTCAGGCCACTGAGCCACACTGGGCACAGCTCTCCCAGAAGCTATCTGAGACCTCTGTTATAACTGCTACCTTAGTTGCAAATGCTAGACTTGAAAAGATACCTAAAGTTATCTGACAAGGTTATGTAAATTAACAAAGAAGAATTATACAAATATGTTAGTTAGCTTTCATTGTGTGACTTTTAGTGGCTTTTAAAGCAACAGTCATATGTCCACTCACCACTCTGCAGGTTGGCAGTTTGGGCTGAGGCCAGCTAGGTGATTCTTCCAGGCTCTGCTGGGCTCACTCATGTATCTGTGGTCAGCTCCTGGGTTGGCTGGGGCCTAGCTCATCTAAGGTGACCCCAGCTGGCATGGCTTCTCTCTGCTCCAATTGGTCTCATACTTGATCATGGGGTTGTTCACCTGGTGGGTGGACAGAGAGCTCCAAGAGAGTGAGTGAAAGCCTAGTCTTGCAACTGGCATTGCATGACTTCCACTGCATTCTCTTGGCCATGGCAAGTCACAAAGCCAACTCAGAATCCAGGTAGAGAAATAGATAGACCTCACTCCTTCTTGAAGGGGTTGTTTCAAAGTTTCATTGCAAAGGAAGCTAATATATGATTGTTACACCACCAGGAGTAACTAAAACAGTACAGATTGCTATAGAATACCTAAGATTTGTACTAAAAACAAATCAGGGGACAATGAGATGATATGTATTTATAAATGAAACGACATGTTTTCCTTCCCAAAAGGTTCCCAAACGATGCCAACAAACATGCCCCCACCTCGTAAACTACCTCAGCGCTCCTGGGCAGCCTCCATACCCACCATTCTCTCTCACAGTGCCTTGAACATTTTACTGCTGCCCTCTCCAACGCCAGGTCTCGTGCCTGGCTTGGCAGGTAGTTACCTTTGTTCTCCACTTGAAAGATTCCTTGGATCGGTCATCATGAGAAGACATCTTCAAAGAATTATTCAACAAGAAACGGTATGGGTACCTAGTAAACTAACTGATAAGTGGTGATTGTCAAAGGCAGATGCTAAGTTGCCCCTCAAAATAGGATGTGAACTAAAGTGATGTTTCCTCACCTCCTTTAATCAGCTTAATTAGAATTACGCTTTGTACCCAGCCCTAGCATTAAAAATAGACTCCACTATTTTCTTTTCCATTCTTATGTTAACATATTCCTTGATTTTTATAATTTTCCATGCTGTGGCTAATGTGAACCTGGAGATAGGTCCACTCAATACCATAGGACACAGTTGCCCAGGATCTGGCTTTGTAGAGAATAACCTATGAGTAGCTGCTTATCCTCTAGAATGCTTTTGCAGGCACGCTGACTTCAAATCTGAGTCTGTGTTGAAATAAAATTATGATCACAAGGATGAAAGCTGCTTTTTAAATACACAAACAGTTGAATTGCTTTAAAACCCTGATAGAAAAGGACTTTTAACTTATCCTGTGGTGATACCCTTAGGAGATAGTTCAGGGTTGAGAGCACCCACTCTAGAGTCTAGCTGCCTGGATTTGTGGCCAGACCATGCCACCTGCTAGGATGAGCTTGGCCATTTCCTCACCCTTCTGACAATAGTAGATAATGGTATCTACGTACCTCATAACAGTTGTGAGAATTTGAGATATTTCATATAAAGCTTGTAGCATAATGCCTTGGCATTCAGTACCTATTAGTTACTTAAAATTATTATTGTTGTTGAGGTACCTGTGTGTTAATAAGGTGGTAGTCAGAATGGTGAATTTTGAAAATATCCACACCATGGATTGCACCAAGCTGTTTGACAATTTTTATATTCAGATTCGGAAAAAAAAGGTTTTAACATAAGTTAAATAAGTTAGCATTTAAAATGGTAATCTGATCTAGGCTTAACTCTGTCACTTAAAAGCCATATAAGTGTTCAGCTCGTTAAAATTCATTTTTCTCATCTGCATAATCAACATATAGGCTAGAGCAGAGGTCAGTAAACTTTGGGCCTGGAAGCAAGTCTTGCCCACCACCTGTTCTTGTAAATAAAGTTTTATTGGAACACAGCCACACCCACTCAATACATGTTGTCTATGCCTTCTTCCAGCGACAGTGGCATCATTGAGTGGTTGCAACAGAAACCGTATAGTCTAAAACATTTACCAACCCCTGGACTAGCAGAAAGAAGTTCCCAATTCAGATCTTTTTTTTTTCCCCCTAATGTACCAGTTTTTAAAAACTTGTTATTGTGGAAAATTTTAAGTATATACACAAGTAGAATTGGATAATGAACCTTTCTGTTCTCTTCGCCCACCTTCAGCAGTAACGCATACCAATATTGTTTCATTTATAATTCCTCCCAGATTGTTTGACAGCAAATTCCAGACATCATTTCGTCTGTAAATACAATCTCTTTATTATCAAATATGATTGGTGTCCAGATTTCCCAATTTATTACCAGTTTTACAGTTTGAATCAGAACCCAAACAAGTTTTTAAGTCTCTTTCAAACTATAGATTCCCCCTCCATTTCTCTTTACATAATTTATTTGTTAAAGAAATCATATCATTTGTCCTAAGAGTTTCTCACAGTCTGGATTTTGCTGATTACATCCCTTTAGAATCATTTAACATGTTCTTTTCACCCCTAAAGATCTATAATATGAATCAATCCTGTGGATCTAACTTATTTTATTCAGGCTCAAGTTGGTGGTTACTTTCCAAGAATATTTCATAGGCGGTGTTAAGTTCTTCCATCAAGAGACATGTGATGCCTCTGTTTGTTGTGTTGTTAGCAGTTTTAGTGCTCAGTGCGTAGATACTTTGTTTTGGAACAGGTATCAACTGAGCTTTTCCTTTTGAAACAGTTTTCTAGGTGACATTTCATTTTTTCTTTGTCTTACATATTGTTTTACATGCTAATTTGATGCATCCTTCTTGTTTTGCAGCTACAACTGATAAATTCCAATGAACCTGGGGTGATCATGTTTAAGACAGATGCGCTGAAATGCAGAGTAGCCCTTAGTCCTAAAACCAACCAAACACTTCAGCTAAAAGTAACACCTGAGAATGCGGGACAGTGGAAACCTGATGAACTTCAAGTGTTAGAGAAATTCTTTGAGACTAGAGTATGTGTTTATTAATACATAATTTTAATGTAATCAATGAGACATAGAGTCAAAGTAGAATGAGGAATAACCTGCTTTATTTATCCCTGTAGGTTGCTGGACCACCATTTAAAGCCAATACATTAATAGCCTTCACCAAACTATTAGGAGCTCCTACACACATCCTTAGGGACTGTGTGCATATTATGAAACTAGAGCTGGTAAGTTACAGAGAAACACAAACTTTTATAGCCAGGTCTGTTTGAGGATGTTGCAGTTGGCAGAAACAATGTTAATTGATTTTTATGTGTTTAGGTACTTTTATTTTTCTCTTAAATTCCTCACTTAAATTTTATGTTTTGGATAGACAACATAATCCTCTTGTATCTTTTGAATTTAGAATAAGAAGATACAGTGGGAAATTTTGCATTCATCCCTGTCCAGCCATCTAGTCTCCCTCCCCACAGGCAACCTGAGTTACCAGTGGCTCACCTCTTATAAAAGCAAATGTATTTAATACACTCTCCCTACTCCCAGATAATGAAATAACTCTCCCATGGTTTCTTCTAATATTGTATGGATTAATTTTTTAAGTTAAATGACATATTTCAATCTTGGATCCATTTTAAATATGTCTTGGTGTCATATGTGTGAGGCATGGATCCAACTTTTTCAGATGCCCCTAATTGCCCTAACCATTTATCAAAAAATCTTTCTTCTCTAGGAGATTTTAAATTTCTCTTCTTTCCTATGAGATTATATAATTATATACATGGAATCCAGGTGGCAGCTGATTATATTTTTCCAGTTTTACAGTGGGTCCTTTCATTCTAATGTTTCTAGTATTGCTTTGGGTAATTCCAAATACCTCACTTCTTGTTTCAGTTGGTATTTTAATATTGGGACAGCATGGCTTCTGCTCTGATAGGCTGGCTATAGGAAACATAATTTATGTCAGAAAGATTTGAGTTTTTAAAGGAGTAAATATGTGGCTAAAAAAGCATCAGTGGATATAGTTCAAAATTATTAACACAGTTCGACTAGTTTGTTTTAGGGAAGGAATTGGAACCGAGACTGGGGAGTCTAAATTGGCGCCAGTTAGTTAAAAAGGGCCTTGGAATGTCAGGTTGATCCTTGGAGGAGGTAGGGGACAACTTTTATCATGGCATGTCACTGAACATTTGTGAGCTAGATCAGAACCACTTTCTAGAACAGTGGCCCCCAACTTTTTTGGCACCAGAGACTGATTTCACAGAAGACAGTTTTTCCACGGACCAGGGCCGGTGAGGTGAGGGGAGACAGGAGGCCAAGCTCAGATGGGAATTTGAGCAAAGCTTGGCTCACTGGCCTGCTGCTCACCTATTGCGCAGCCCAGTTCCTAACAGGCCACGAGCCAGTACCTGTCCACGGCCCAGGGGGTTGGGGACCCCTGGTCCAGAACATTGGCAGTGGTGTAAGGGTGGACTTGGAGAGGCAGCCACTGGAAGGACCATTAAGGGGTCATGGGAGAAGTAGCAAAACCCTGAGCTCATTGGTGTCAGAGAACATAGAAGGGAACAGATGTCAGAGAGACTGAGGATGCAGAAGTCATAAGAATTAATGAAGTGAGAGGAGAGAGGAGGGGAAACATCTCATAAATCCATAGTTGACTTTTTAGTTAGTAACTTTACATACATATTTCCTTTGAAAACATGGAGGTTACCAACTTTGTTTGTTGGTAATTTGGTATAAAATAAAATTCTAACTTTTCAGACCCCTAATGCTCATATAACTGTTCTTGATTTTTTTTCCCCCCAAAACAGTTTCCTGACCAGGCAACACAGCTAAAATGGAACGTTCAGTTTTGCCTGACGATCCCTCCCAGCGCACCACCGATTGCACCTCCTGGGACTCCTGCTGTGGTGCTGAAATCCAAAATACTATTTTTTGTAAGTACCACCTAGCATGTGTGTATGTGCAAAGCTTCTGAAGAAAAAGCCAGGTGAGGATACTCTAGCAACTTTTGGATAATTGCAGAAATTATTCATTGCTGCCAAATATAGGTCCAGATTCCCTGTCAGTTTAGACTTCATATAATCCTGGTTCCTTTAGTATTAGCAGAAAGTTATTGAACTGTATAATCATATGAAAGTTGCATGTTAATCATAATCAGTTGTTTGTCACTTAGTTTTCTTTTGCTTGATGTATCTTAATCTGACAGTAAATGATAGTACCTTTGATAACTTTAGTCAAATGTTTTATTTTCTTAACCCTTTTTATTCTCTTTGTGTGTGTTGTGTATCTACAGCTTCAACTAACTCAGAAAACATCGGTCCCTCCCCAAGAACCTGTTAGTATTATAGTTCCAATCATTTATGACATGGCTTCAGGTACAACCCAGCAGGCAGACATTCCCAGACAGCAGAACTCTTCTGTTGCTGCTCCTATGATGGTCAGCAACATTCTGAAGAGGTTTGCAGAGATGAATCCACCACGACAAGGTACATGACCAGTAGATGATATTTAATTGCCTATGTGTTGTAAGAGTTCTTTTGAGAGATTCCCCCTCTCCCCGCTGCTCTCTCTTTACCCACCTCACCCCCAGTCCTAGTAATAGAGTTCTGGTTGCTGTGGCCCTTTTAATGTCTGCCTGTCGCTTTCTTCCTTTCTCACTGATTCTTTGTTTTTGTCCATGTCTCTGCTGCCTGGACTTTATTTTTGTTAGTGATTTACTATTGGGACTGACCCAGTTGCTAATGCCAGAAGCTTGTATTTATAGCACACATTGCCACAAAGCCCTAGGTTAGAATGATAGAATTTTCCATGGCTGTGAATTCCTGCCCTACCATTGATACCTGCCACTCTGTACATCACCAAGTTGAAATGCATGTTGGTTTCTCATATTTCATGGTTCAATCATGAATAGAACAATATCATTCAAAGTTCTGTATCTTCAAAATGTTTTGTGAAGAATAAAAGCTGATACAAATGGCATCACTGCTTTTTGGGCTTCTTATATAAGTTCAGGCGGGTGCAAGTGAACCTTTTCACCAAGTGCACAATGAAGCTCTCAAACTGAGCATTTTCGAGGAAACCAGAATGTTTCTGGCAAGACAAACAAGGTCTGTTCAATACTGTCGTAGCCTACGCTTAACACATAACTCATGGCAGTGCAAAATTCTTGGTTACAAAACAAAGCTCAGCAAAGAGAACTTTTATTCCATTTTGCTTATTTCTAATACTAAATTAAATTTAAATTTTGTTCATTTCTAATATTACAAAAGTCTGCTATCTTTCTGTTTAGAATAGTATGATAACAGAATTATATTTGTAAATGAGGGAAAGTTGTTCTCTGAAACATTTTTATGTACCACAGTGTCAAAATTTTACTAGAAACAGGAATCATGGGAGAAATTATATTTTTAGCTGTTTCCCCATATTTGTTTGCATAGGCAAGTTCTCAGTCGAGTACAGTTTATAAGGAATGCACTGGGCAGTAGAGAAGGGTATGCTTCTTTTGTTGTAATACTTCCACTTCTTAAAGTTTTCTGCTTTCATCCTTTGACTTATCTCTTCTTTTAGCTAAAAATAGATCCTTAAGAATCCAAGTTTAAAGCTATCAGAATTTTCAACATAGTAGTTCAGTAGAAATAATAAACACCATTCTTTCACAAGCAAGTGATTATCATTATTATGTCTTGTGGAATTTAAAATTAAAAGGAAAGACTGTTTTGATCCTATTGGGATCAAGCATTTTTCTACCTGTCAATAATGAAAATGTGTTTTTAAAACAAAAAGAAAGATAAGACTTCTTTTAAGAAATTGTTGGGATATTTTGGAAGTTTTTGTTTGTTTGTTTGTTTTTTATATTTCTACCTTAGATAGGCTTAACCTTTGGATTTCATTTTCTTTCTGTACCTTAATTTTCTAGTGGTTGATGAGAAGAGTGCAGTAACTTGTACAGGGGCACTGCACATTCTCCCCTCTGCCCAAAGGCCATTATTCAATTAAGTTCTCTGACTTTCAGCCACTGTAGTGTTAGGCTGTGCTCTAGGAAAGGGACCCAGCTTTTGGTTTATAATATTTACAGCTGGTTTTGGTTTATTATATTAAAATATGTTAATATGTTAAGAAGGAAGAGACAGGGTATTTGGGGTTTTTTAGAGCAAAGGGGAAATTGAGAGGATGAATCATTAGCTTCCCTGCTCCCCCAAACAAATCTTGTTTTGGGATTGTTGGTGTGGCCATAATTCAGTCTTCCTCCCCTCCTCCCAAAACCACCACTTCCTCCCCTGAAGTGCTTTTAAGAAAAATACACCTTTAAGAAGTACTAATTGATTTTTAATGTTGAACTCCAGAAGTTGATCGTTTCCTTCAAATTTGGGAGAAAACACCAATAGATGTCATAGAACTGCACTATCCAATATAACTGTCACTGGCGTCATGTGGATATTTAAATTTAGTTAAAATTAAATAAAATTTAAAATTCAGTTCTTCAGTCACCCTAGCTACCTAGCTTGGTAGCCACAGTGCACAGATAGAATATTTTCATCATCACAGGAAGTTCTATTGGGCAGTGCTGTCATAGAGATTTTATCTGACTTTTAATGCAAAAGTAGAAGGACACCATTGGTGTTGTAACTAATGCATAAATACAGACTATGTAGATCTTTTCATTAGGTTCAAAATGCATAAACCAGTTGTCAGTAAGTACCCTTGAAGCCCAACTCAAAGGTTTATCCAGTGCCCCTAATCCAGCATTTCTGTAGAAAAACTCTAGGCATATCTTCTTAAATTCAAACTTAACTGGGGCTTGCCCCAAATTTCCTCATGAAGAAAAAACAAAACCCAAACCAAATCATCATCTGATACTTAACACCAAAGTTTAATCCCCTGTAACCTGTACAGTTAAAATTTACTCTTTTATTTTGATCTTTAAAGTTCTTGCTAATTTTAGATTTAATTACCCTTACCCCACCGGTGTGTTGACATCATCTTTCCTGTATTGCGAATAGCTAATGACCATTTTTCTCTGTTGCAGGTGAATGCACAATATTTGCAGCTGTTCGTGATTTAATGGCTAATCTTACACTGCCCCCTGGTGGGCGTCCATAGACACTATTGTTTTTAAACCAGGAAGGCTGACAAATGAAAGTCTGAATTCAGCCTTCAGTTTTAAAAAGGAAAAGGACTTTTTGACTTTAAGAGCTAAATATTCTAAACTCGCAAAAATTTTCAGGGTGCACTTCTTTCATCAAACAGACCATCAATCTTTTGTATAGTGAACTTGTATAGTGTGTTTAAATGGGACACGTTTCAAACTAGGTAATACATCAGTGTCCGCTTGCCAATCATAGAGTGAATATTCTGTTTTATACTATAAAGTTACGGAAATGCCAAACTTGTTTATTTAATTGTTTTCTTATGTTTTGGGTGTAATAGTCCTTTTTTGGTTTTTGTTTTGTTTTTTTAAGGCAGGCCTGTCATTTTGAATACTGTAAAACTGTGATAAACTTTATATTGAAGCTGTATTTTACTATGACCGCTTTGAATCCTTACATGAAAATGTTCTGGGAGTTGTTATAAAAAACATCCCAAAGAAGCAATATTTAATAAAACTAGGTTTAAAAAAAAACAGTGACACTCAATTGTGTGTATATCAGCTCTATAGACTTCTCAGGGCCTCTCTTCTTCTTTAACCTGGTGGGGCCAGTAATTAATATGTGTCTGAAATTTGACCAAAAACATCTGCTTCTTTGTTTCAAGTTTTATTTTCTTCAAACATTCCTAAATTAACCTGTGGTAAACATTTAGCACCTTGGTTGTCTTTCAGTTTAGGATTTTGGTAAAAGAGAAAGAACCCAGTCTTTGAGAAGAGACAGTGATTACTTTATATTAGTCAAGGATCCCAAATACTTCAACATTCTGATCTGTTGAGGATGTGGTAACTTTTCTGTTAGGCAAATTTAGTTTACAGGATACTTCTGCATACAGCATTAATTAGGAAACAGATTTGAATGCTCTGTCCTTGCATGAAATTTCTGTGATGTTTCCTTATCTTGCTTAACTTCCCCACCAAAGCTGGGGTTAGTCTAAACAATCCCAGTTTAATTCATTATCAATAAAATGATAAAATATGTTTTGCTTGGAAGAAACCTGGTCCAGTCCCCTCACTTTGAAGAATCTAACATCCAGGGTCTGCCCGTGGTCAAATGGAGTTTCTGATACTGACACATCTCAGCATAGTTTCCTTTTGGAGTACTGTGCTGTCTCCCAATCAGTCAGGGACTTTGATAAGCTTGAAGGAATGTGACTGGAAGCAAAGGTCTTCTGGTGACTTGACGCTATTTGGGAAAGTTTTTTAAATGACACTACCATGCTGAGTTATCTGATCACTGTAATATTCTCCATTAAATTTCAGATGCTTTGTCTAATTCCATTTTAGATGATTTAATTGAGTTTCTGTAACTATTCAAATTCTAGTTTCAAGCATCTCACTGCAGCTATATCATATCTGTTCTCAACTTTGCTTTATTCTCTATTCATTCCTGGTCAGAGTTGAGGCCTTCTTTGCCTTTCTTCTGTGTCTTATTACTGCCTTCATCTCCTGCTTCTCGCCCAACTCTGCCACTATTCAGAAACAAGTGACTAAACTTCTATCCTTCCTTTAACTTACCTTTTATCCTTCTGTTTCCAGTTCTCCTTACAGTGGTAATCACATTGGTTTGTCAACCTAAGATGTCTTTATCAGGGGTCAGTCCTTTTCTATTTAGAGCTGAATCCTTTCTTTCATGTAGAAATCTACATGTAAAAATACAACAAATGCATTTTTATCTCCAGGATAATATTGCCTCAAATAATTTTATTAAAACAGTTAACTTTTCAGGTATTTTTCCCTTTTAAGTATGGTTGGTTTTCGAATGCTAATTGCATTTTTAAGCATGATGCATTCAGTGGACAATTTTCCTAACTATAACTCATTTCTGAATGCATTGTGCAAATCAAAAGTAAGATAGGATTCAGTGAACAAAATTGCTTTTGACGCTTATTTAAGAGTACACCTTTGAATTTTGATAATTATGCTTGGAATTGGTATGTACTTTATTAAAGCTTGAATACGCTAGCATTTGAATTTTAGACTTCATCACAAACTATGTCTTTTGCTTCTTTTGTTACCCAGTTTCAATCAAAGGGACTGGATGCCCATAGAGATTTTTTTCTTTTATGGGGTTTGGGTCTTTAAGATGTTTTCAATGTGATTTTAGTAATAAAATTTACAGAAGTTTCAGAGAACTACCAACTCTCTAGTTAATTTTCATGAAGATGTTTGGGTAGTAGTATGGTTTAGTAATAATTTAACCTGAAAGAAGAAATTGGTTCTGATTTGCCACCTTTTTTCTATCTATTAAAATGCTGTTTCAGAATATATAGAAGTACTTTCAGAATTAGGAAAAAAGTGAAAACTTCAACAAAATACGTCAGATTATTAATAATGGGCTGAACCTTATATTTGAAAATTAACTCTGAGGGTGTTAAGTGCAGGTATAAACTAAAACATACATGATTTTGAATTTGAATACCACTAATAATTAACACAGTAACCTGTTCAGCCACAGGATACTAATAGTTTGTTGGTCATTCTTTGGACTATAGGTAATTTGATAACTTTGAGAAGCATAATTTTACTACTCTAAATTCAGATCCAATTTCGACATAAAAAGTTTCTTTCATGATTCCCCTCCCCCCAAAGAAATACCTACTACATTTTCCTTTAATATTTATTTATTACCCAAGTGTTCTTGATGTAAAATCAATATACCAAAAGTTTTAAGAGAACTTACAGTTAGGGAACTTAAGGGACAGAAAGGGCAGATGTTAATGTATATTTCATTGTTTCTTGTGGAATTTTGTTGCATTTGGTTTGATGGGAATGGACAGTGTGTCCATTAAGGGAATGGTTTGAAATTTATTTAGTATAGGTTTAATACTGAGATTGTTAAGGAAAAAGTTAGCAGAGGCCAACCAGCATTTTACTGCACAACTCCAGTACACCATGATCTGCTCACAATTTTCTAGAAATTGCCTCCACTTCCTAGTGGCTGTGATTTGCTAAAATACCTTGCCCAGATATCTGATTGATGAAAGAGTACATTTAGGTCAATATAAAATAATAGCTAATATTTACTGAGAGTTTACTATTTCCAGGCACTATTCCAAGAATTTCTGTGTATATATAATCCTCACAACAGCCCAAATGGGGTAGATATTAATAGCTTCCTTTTACAGATGAGTGAACTGAGTCCTAGAGAAATGAAATAACTTGCTGAGATCAAATTTAAGACTGCTTAAGATCAAACAGCTAAGAAGAGGCCATTTGAGTCCAGATCTAGTTTTGAACACTGCCACTTTGATGTGAAATAGGAAGTCAGGGGCAAACTTCAGTGTTTAGACTCAACCTCAGAGCCTTTCGTGACTACACACAATTTTAATGTGTTTTCAAAGCTCAATAAGCTGACCAAACCTAACTAAAACAGATGACCTCTTGTCGTTTGAAGTTGATTTATTGCATTCTGACCCTCATGGCACAATTATTTGGAACCACAGACTCCCTGATAGGAGGAGTACTAATTATCATTATAATTAAGAGTACAAAACAATCATCTAAATTTAATGCTTCAGGACCAAAGAAGAAGCCCTTATCTGGCAGTGCCGCCTTCCAGAATCCAGGTGATGTGTTGCCTACTTTGCCTCTCCTAGGTGGCCCAATGGCGGATGCTTTGGAGCTTTGTGTCACCTTGGCACACCGCAAATGCATAATAGGATACATGGTCACATGTCACTAATGCCCTGATTTGCTACAGCGTAGCTGTGGGTTTAGGAACCAGTTAAGTAAACTTCTTGGAATCGTATGACGCAAGGAACATGTAATTCAAGAAGTGTGCTTTAAGCACCTACATCCCTACGAAAAAAACAGGACCACGGACAATCAGGGGAGAGGAGAATCCGGGGCTGGTGAGTGGGGGGGTGGTCTCAGTTTGGAGTAACAGAAAAAGGCGTAAGAGTTTCATTCAGGTCGAGGCTTTCTGGGCAAGCACCAAACTATTTTTACGTATGGGTCACCTAAGACTAGGGTGGGGCCGATGTGCCCCAGAAGCCAGAATGGCGTTCAGCACTTGGGGACAGGGTAAAGGCGGGGCCAAGCTGAATCCGGCACCGCCCAGGATTCTGCGCCTGCGCACTGCTGCCCGCTCCGCCCCTCGCCCCGTGGCCTCCAGGGTAGGAGCGGAAGCATGGTGTTGTCTGAGCTGGCAGTTCGCCTCAACTGCGTGGAGTATAAGAACTGGGTGAAGGCGGGCCACTGCCTGCTGATGCTGCGTGGCTGCCTGCAGGGCTTCGTCGGCCGGGAGATACTAGCCTTCCATCGCAGCCTGCTTGCCTCCGCCCCCGGCCTGGGCCCCAGCGCCACCTGCCGTAGCGGCTCGCGTTGCAGCCCACACGCCCGCCAGGTGAGCGCCTGGCCGAGGGCCTTGATCAGCGCCTCCTGACCCTGTCCCCGTCCCCGTCCCTGTCCCCGTACCCGTCCAGAGTGCAGCGTCCCGTGCCCTCCCTGGTGGTGGGTGGGTCAACCACAAGACACGGGGCTCAGGTGCCCAAATGCCCCTTCCTCCTGGGCCCCCCCTCACCTCCGCCCCCTGTAGTTTTATCCTCAGTGTCAGGTGTGCACAGAGTGGAAACGGGAGATTTTGAAACATCACACGAACAGAAATGGAGACATCTACTGGGGAAACTGCCGGCCGGGACGCTGGCCTGTGGACGCTTGGGAGGTGGCCAAGGTAAGCACCTCAGGCTGTAGGGTTGGAGGGAGGTTACACCAGGTAGGAGTCAACTGGAGCCTGGGACCTCATAAACAGATTCAGAGAAATTGGATGTTTAAGGTCCGGTGTCTAGGCGGTTCAGGGCTGTTATATTGGACCAAACCCAGCTTAGTGAAGTAGAAGCTTCTGTCTACTTCCTGAAGGCATTTTGAGTTTTGCTACCCCTGTTTGCAAAGCTATAGGAAAGGTTTCAACAAGAGATGCTGGGGCAAGCGGGAGCATCATGAGCACAGGCACAGAGGGAGAAACATGAAATGCATTTTTGAGGGTAAGCTCCCTTAGTAGCTGCATTTGGTTCTAGGACACCATGAGTATGACAAAATGCGGTAAGGAAAGAAAAGGCTAAATTGTGAAGGACTTTAAGTGTCCGTGTAAGGAATAAAACTTTGGAGATGGGGCGGGCAGCCAGATAGAAGGATACCATAAGGCCTGTTTTTAGATTTCTGCAACATGACTAGTTGGGCCAGTTTGGGGGGGGGGCGATTTTTTTTTACCTTTTTGATGTTTGTCAGAAGCCAGCTAGGGGGAGGGGAGGGGCAGTCAAAGTGGCCTCCTAACACAAAATAGCTTTTGGAGTCAGCTTCCATGCCAGTGAGCAGCAGGCACAGGCTTGGTACCTGGGAAGCGGAAATCAGAGTCCCAGCTCAGCTGCTGTGGTGTGACATTGGTCAGCCTCTGTTCTCTAACCTCAAAAATGAAATTGGACTATCAGGGACCCCCAGATTTTTGGCTGTCATGGACCAGTATACCCACCACAGCTGCACCCTTTTCTCCATTTTTTAAAGATGCTATAGAATTACCAACTTCTTTTACCTAGAAAACAATACAACTTAAAACTCTACCTTTTACTGTGACTGTCCCTCACCTGTTTGGTCTCCATTGCCGCTTTCCCACTCAGAATCCTCTTGAAGCACAGGCCACCTGTTTTGTTGCTGTCGCCTACAGACCTTCTCCATTCCAACCCTGTGTTAATATTCTCTTCCGACCCCTTTCTCCTTTTTTCTCCTTTCTCTGAACTTGCCTGGACCAACTCCAGCCCTCATGACATCATCACCTGCTTCTACTCAGGGGAAGAAGCACACAAGGCAGCTGACTGGTTTTATTGTTAGTTTTTCTTTCTTCTTTTTTTTTTAAATGAGCAATTTATTTTCTTAGCCCATTCCCCCACCCCCTTCCCTTTAGGAACCATCAGCTTGTTTTCGATTTGTGTGGGCGCATTTCTATTTTGTTTTGTTTATTCATTTGTTTTCCTAGATGCCACATATACGTGAAATCATATGGCATTTATATTTTTCTATCTGACTTATTTCACTTAGCATAGTACCCTCTACATCTATCCATGTTGTCACAAATGGCAAGAAGAAAACAGAAACACTAATTCAAAAAGGTATATGCCCTCCTATACTCATTCTAGCATTACTAGTAATAGCTAAGATACAGAAGCAGCCTAGGTATCCTGGCTGATGAATGGATAAAGAATACATATGAGTGTGTATGCATACACACACATACACAATGGAATATTATTCAACAATTAAAAAAATGAAATCTTGTCACTTTCAGTTGTGGCTCATGAGCCCCAGTCATATGACCACATCTCTCTATAGACTTGTGTTCCCAAAGACAATTGTTGCTGCCTTTCCTTTGTCAAGCCACCACTTGTGTTCCTCCGCCCTCAATTCCAGCTGTTAACCTTGCTCATGCTTGTTGGAGTTGTTGAATACCCCCAGATACATGCTTTTTCATCTTTACAAGACCTACCAACCTGCCTCCCTACCTCTATGTCCATCATCTTCTTTCCGCTACAGAAGAAGTGTGTCTCTTATCACTCCTCGCTGTGTGACATTATTTTCCCCTGTGGTTTCTCCTATCTCCCTGGTTCCTCCTTGGCCTCTTTCTGAGTGTTGGCTTTTCTCAGGCCTCTCCTGTCCCATTCTTCTCCTCTGGTGATACTGCCCAGGTCCATAGAATTAAATATTAAATACTACCTTTATGCAGATATGTATTACTAGCCCTGCTTCCTCTTCTGAGCTCCAGGTGCCCATCTCTCACTGCCTACTTGACCCCTCCACTTCATTACCTCCTGGATGCTTTGTATTGACTTCCCAAGCAGGATTCTTCATCTCTGCCCTCCAAACCTATGCCCATGCCCCACCACCAACTACCTACAGTCATTTTTGCTTCATCTCTTTCTGAACTTCACTTCCCTCTTTGTACCTGCCAAATGGTTATGGAGTCCTCCTCCTGTCCATCTCCACGTCACAACTCTCAGCCTCTCCTTCCTGGTCTCTGGCTGCAGCCTCCCACCTAGCCAGTCACCTCTGGTCAGTTCTTCACCCAGCACGTTGTGTGGTTTTCAAGTGGGAATTAGATCCTTTTATTCCCTTGCCTAAAACCCTTGGATGGCTTCCTGATGTCCTTAGAATAAATTCCAAACTCCTGTGCAGAGCCAGTAAGGCCCAGCGTGATCTGGCCCCCATTTATTTCTCCAACCTCATCTCCTTTTACTCAGTGCAGAGACAGCAGACAATAGTGAGAGGTAATAGGTGTGTTTCCCAGAGCTGCATTTGACACATGGAACACAATGGTATGTGGCACAATTTTAAGAAATAGCTTTCAGAGGCAAGGAGGCAGCAGAGCCTCCTTGTCTGCTTCTATTTCTAAAGAAAGGGAAAAATTACTAGAATAAAACTTTAATGTGGAAGAGACAGGTTTATATTGGTGAAAAAATGCCAGACAGAACATACTTTGTAATGAAAAAAAAAAGTATGCCTGGTTTTGAGACAACTAAGGCCCCTCTTACTTTGTGTTTTCCTCTGAGCAACAGCTGGAGTAAGCAGAGTTCCTTCTTTTCTTCCTTTTTGTTGAATTAGTTTGCCTGTGATACAGGCGCTAACTTCTTTGTTAGCATTTGTAGCATTCGTAAGAGGCTTCCTTCAGAGGCCTGGCATGTCAGTGGCTCTTAAGACATAGAAAGACAGCTATGATCCCAGCTACCGTGCCTTTTGATAGGAGCCATGCAGGAGACACAGAAGTTTTCTTAATTACATGAGGTTCAGGTGTAGGATTCCATCACCATCAGGAACAGGACCCTGACTCTCCGTGGGACTTTTTGGCACCCCTGCCCCGCCAAGCCTTGTTTGGAATGCCATTCCAAGCAGCACTGTATGGTGGTCGGTTGCCTACTGAAATGTGTTTGTTTTCAAGGGAACTCTTTATTTAGAGTTCTCATTGCACGTAATGTTTCATATACCATCTTTTCTAGTCCCTTGGCAGGAATGTACTCTTGAGCTTATTAGCTTGGTAAAGTTGTTGCCTTCAGATGTAAATTTGGAAATATCTCAGGAAAGAAATATACCCAAGCCTTGCTACAACATCATTTTGGGGATTTGTGCCAGAAAATGCTATGAAAGGCAAGATTGTGCTAAAACGAGGCCCTTCTGGTATAATCTAGTGCCTCAAACCCTGGATTCCATCTGTAACTCTGTGGAGGTCCTACTCACCCTGCACCATCAACATGATAATTGCCAACATTTATGGCATGCACCAGACACCAAACAAGTGCTTTGCTTGCATTAATTTATTTAATTCTTGCAACATACTTCGAGGTAGATGAGAATGGTTATCCCTATTTACTGATGAGGGATCTAAGGGTAAGTAGCTTGCCCAGGGTCACACAGCTTGCAAGTGACAGAGCTGGGATTTGAACCCAGCCCTGTTGCACACACTCCAAAGCCCAGGTTCTTAACTTTATACTACCATACTGAACTTTCTCAAGTCATTTTAGTGTCCACTTTGGAGGAACTATTATTTTTAAATTTTAAATCTTTAACAACTCAGCCACTGACATTTCAGTAAGGGAAAGAAATAAGGTGCTTTCTACTCATGCTTCTTGCTTATATGCCATGAGGAAAGGACAGAAAACCAGTTATGTCAAATGTTTAAATGTCATCCTAGCTGGTGTGGCTCGGTTGGGTGTCATTCTGTGGACCAAAAGGTTGCTGGTCCAATTCCCAGTCAGAACACATGCCTGGGTTGCGGGTTCAGTCCCCAGTCGGGGCGCCTGTGAGAGGCATCCAGTCGACATGTGTTTCTCTTTCATATTGATGTTTCTCTCCCTCTCTACCTCCCTCCCTTCCCCTCTCTAAAAATCCTGTCTCCCTTTTCTCTCTAAAAGCAATGAGAAAATGTCCTCAGGGGAGGACAAAAAAAAAAGTTTTAAGTGTCTCTAAGAGCAGAGAGACAGATAGAGCAAATCTTTAGTTACTGCCGAGGGTTAACTGCTTCCTGACTTGGATTTGGACTCATGAGGCTCTAACTTGAAGCTTCAGGAAGAGAATTTTGGTCAACATTTGGGAAACAGATAAGTTTCCCAACTCATTGGCCCCAGTAGCTCATAGGGTTGGAGGAGAATCAGGTGCCCGTTGTGCCTCCCCTCCTGCAGGCCTTCATGCCCCGAGGACTGGCAGACAAAACAGGACCTGAGGAATGTGATGCAGTTGCTCTTTTAAGTCTCATCAACTCCTGCGATCACTTCGTGGTCAATCGAAAGAAAGTCACAGAGGTAAGAGCTGTCAGATTTCAAACCATACAGTGGGAGTCAGTCCTGTAGGTACTGTGAACACCAGCCGAAGAACACACCTTGTGATGCTAAAGCAATGTGTAGATGTAGCACACGGTCTCCCCAAAACAGTGATGTGCAAAGAAACTTAGACTTTGCTTCAAAGTTGGCATCGCTTAGTGGGGCTCACATCCCATGTACCTTCTGTGATGTCTAAGAACCCCAGTACAAATACAGTCAGCCCTTCGGTTCTTCCTAATTAAAGCTTCCTGACAACGTGTTAATACCTTTCACTGCTAAACTAGGTGAACCTCAAATTTCTCTTCTCTGCTCTGCAATAAACAGAAGCAGTTATTTTCGTTGTTAAAAAGTATATATACAGAGCCCTGGCTGGTGTGGGTCAGTGGATTCAGCGCCAGCATGCGAACCAAAGGGTCACTGGTTCGATTCCCAGTCAGGGCACATGCCCGGATTGCAGGCCAGGTCCTCAGTAAGGGGCATGTCAGAGGCAACCTCACATTGGTGCTTCTCTCCCTCTCTTTCTCCCTCCTTTCCCCTTTGTCTAAAAGTAAATAAGTAAAATCTTTAAAAATATATATATATATGTATATATACACACACACGCACATACATATACACACAGAGCAATATATCATTCTGTTCATTGTATGCCAGCATTTGAATCCCGTCCTTATAAATTTCATTGACCAAGTTACATATAACTGGAGAAAATAGAAACACTAGTGAATAAATAAGGTCAGAATAGATTGTTATGTCAGATTTCCTCTGGAGATTTAGACTTTCACTGTTTCACCAGAGAACAGCTCTGGCACATTTATTACTCTGAGGGTCATTGAAAAGAGTATATTTGAATGGATTATGTATAATATGTAGAGAAAATGCATGTATATTTTGCAAGGTTGCCAGTGGCTGAAAGGACTGAGAATCCTCTGTGACAGCAGCAGAGACAAAAATTACCACAGTACAGAGTCCTGTGATATCTCTTAACAAAGATGTGGAAGACTTTACATGAATTAATTAATATATGATTAGACAGCACCATTTGTCCTAAAATACAGGCAAAAGTTGGTCATCTTTTCATCTTGGTTTCTGCAACAAGAAACTCCCTTGGCCCAGCTTCTTGGATCTCCAACAATATTTAAAGGATTTTTGCATTTTCTGTGGGTTTATGTGGAACTGGTAGCCAATACTGCTCTTTGGCAGGTGGTTTTCAGTTCAGAGATATAGGGGATTGTAAGAGATACCCAGCCAGTCACAAGATTTCAAGAGCTAAGGATAGTTGTAGGTTTGTTTGTATTTCTTACCCTGATGAATTTATTAAAATGGCAGGGGGTTGAACATTTTTGTAACTAACAGAAAACCTTCCGGCAACTTTTCTTTGGAACTATGAAATCTTAGTTTACTCCACTGTTTGACTTTGAAACCTTTTATCTTTTTTTGTCTTTCTGTAGGTAATTAAGTGTCGTAATGAAATCATGCACTCTTCGGAGATGAAAGTATCTTCTACATGGCTTCGAGATTTCCAGATCAAGATCCAAAATTTTCTGGAGGAATTCCAGAATATCCCAGAGATTGTGGAGGTGTACTCCAGAATAGAACAGGTAAAAATTAGATTGAACAGCTCTGACATAAAAAACTAAGGGGAAAAAAGGAACCACAGTTACTCATTTGAATTTGAAGTTTATTAGTTTTAATTGAAATTTTAGCATGTAAACAGGGAAAAAACATGTTGATATGAAATCTAGAGTGCTGGGCTGAGAGGCTTTTCTGTGGTCACAGGATGTTATTAAAATGGATCCAGTCAGTGATATTTAATTATAACTTCTTTGAGTAATCCAGTGCATGTCTTTTCCATTCAATCAGTTCATATATTTGCTTGGTAATCCAACAGCTGTTGACATCTGACTGGGCTGTTTACATCCCTGAGGAAGATCATTGCGATGGGGGTGAATACGAAACAGGCATTTACCTGAGTGAGAGCCAAGTAAATGAAATAGAAATGGAATTTCTAAAGGAAAAACTTCAAGAGATTTATCTTCAAGCAAAAGAGCAAGAGGTGCTGCCAGAAGAGGTAAAAAAAAAAAAAAAAGTATCATACCCTCTGTGTGAGTAAACAAAACAAAGAAAAACTCCAGGGAGGAGGAGTCTTTCATTTTAACATATTGCCAGTTATGTTTCTGACTTATAAGACAAATCATTTTCAGAAATGGGTATTCTTTTGGCACAGATTAACATTACCTTTAAATAATTATTTTCACTTCATCAGCAATCATTTGAATGCCTAATATGTGCCACACAGTGGAACAGCACAGTAAGGGCTACCACAGAATTCTGAACAAAGGTTCAAGAGATTCTCTGCAGGTCAGGGAGGGGGTGCAAAAAAAGGGGGGGGGCTTTGCTCAGAAGGTGCTGTTGAACTGGGACTAATGGAATCAAATCAGAGTTTGGCAAATTGGCAAGAGGAGAAAGGCATTCTTGGCAGAAGGAACAGCACCTGCCAAGGCATGAAAGAACAGCTTGGGCCTGGGCAGCGAGCATAGGAGGCATGACTCATGGTCAGATGTGAGGTGGTCAGGTAGGTTGAAGCCATGTTTTGAAAGGTTTTCTGTGCTACACCAAGAAGTTTGGACCTTATTTCCAGAAAGTGGTAGGGAGCCAACAGATTTTTTTTTATTTTATTTATTTTTTGAGAGAGGGGAAGGGAGGGAGAAAGAGAAGGAGAGAAACGTCAGTGTGTGGTTGCCTCTCATGCGCCCCCCACTGAGGACCTGGCCTGCACTGCAGGCATGTGCCCTGACCGGGAATCAAACTGGTGACCCTTTGGTTTGCAGGCCAGCACTCAATCTACTGAGCCACACCAGCCAGGACTTTTTTTTTTTTTAAGCAAGAAAGAGTAAATGAAATAGGGCAGATACAGCTTTTAGAAAGCTAAATCTTGTGGCAGTTGGAGTTGGAGACTTGCTAATAGGCTCTTGCAGTCTTGGGAAGGGTGAGAGGAGGAGAGGTAGAAACTAAAGATGAGGTGGAAGAGCCAGATTCGGGAGACATTGCTTGTGTAGAGCTAGTGGCTGTAGTCGCTGGTTAGCTTACTTGGAGCATGGCATGGCCCTGGAAGGAGGGAGTTGAAGATCGACGAGATTTCTAGTTTAGGACACTGCAAGGTAAGGACGAGTTCAAGTCCTAATTGGGAGTACAGGAGAAATGAATCTCCTTTGTTCCATGTAAGCTATAATTTTTTTTTTTTTTTAAGAAATGAACAGTGGGCCCCGGCTGGTGTGGCTCAGTGGATTGAGCACTGGCCTGTGAGCCAAAGGGTCGCCGGTTCAATTCCTAGTCAGGGCACATGCCTGAGTTGTGGGCCAGGTCCCCAGTGGGGGGCGCGCAGGAGGCAACCACACATTGATGTTTCTCTCCCTCTCTTTCTCCCTCCCTTCCCTTCTCTCTAAAAATAAATAAATAAAAATCTTCAAAATGAACAGCGAATTGTATTCTAGTAAGTTTCCGAAGTATTCCGGTACTTCCTACATTAGAATTCTAGATCACCAGATCTTAGACAAATTTTGTTTTACCTCTCCATTCCACCTTGTCCGAGGAAAGTAGTTTTGCTGATTGCCACATTAAACACAGAGAAGATGTTCTTGTACTACAGAGTGTGTATCCCATTCACCAAGCTCTGCTCCTTACTAGTCCATGTGCTGTGTGAACTGGTCTGACCTTGACCCAGATATTTCATTCAACTTGGTGAGCTCCTTTAGCACAGGGATTGCGTACTGCCAGTTTTTGGGTGTGCCCTCCCTGGCGCACCATAGATACTTAAAATGAGGAATAAGACTGTTAAATCTTCTGTTTTCTAAATCCATGTGTTTCATCTTGCTTTATTTTAAAATGCCGTTAGAGCCAGCCCCAATTCTCTTTCTGCTGCTGTTGCTTTTAGAAGCAGAGTTGAACAAGAAAAGGCAACCGGAGGATCGGGCTCACGGCCCCTGAGTTGTTCATGGTTACCTCTTCTCTCTTGAGGGAGCTACAGTTCTTTCCTGTTTGTAAACAAAGAGCAAAACACATCAGTAGGAACACAAGCCAGAAGCCTACGTGAGTTGTGAGCTGGAAGGGAACCTGACAGTCATCTCATCATAGCCCCTGCTTTATGCATGAGATAGCAACCCCAAGGAGCAGGTGTTGTCAGATGTAAGGCCACCGGCTGGGGTCTGAGGGCTGGCTCTGGGTCTCCTCGCTCTGGTCCTGTGTCTTTCCACATGCCTCACTGCATCTTGTATCACCAAAGAGCGAGCAACTGTAAATTTCAAGCCCTCATTATCTCTGTTTTACAGAGAGGAAATTGGGGTTAATTGGCTTGTTCTCTGGGTCCCCAAGTCTCTAGATAGAGTTGATAAGTTCTCATTTTGCATGCTTTCATTCAGTAGACCATGGCATTTCTCTTGATATTTCAATTGATCAAAATGTAAATTCAAATTGATTGGCATGTTATCTCTAAGAAGTTGAAGGTCGGCTTTCCATGGTGTACGGAACTTGACCTCATTTTTAAGTTCAGTACTAGATATGGTTATCCATGTACTTTAGGGTTAGTCTCCAAAGTCAGATGATTTGATAAACCAAATTTCAGTGACTCTAACATGGCATCAGTTGTAAGACACACCATTAATTCATTTACTTCTAAGAAAGAAAATGCCAGTTTATTGTAAGACACTATCAGTGGTAAGATGCATTCTCATTTGAGATGTTAAAATATGAAGGAAAAAAAACATGCATCCAGGAATTAAGAAAAAGAGTGATTATATTATGACCACAGGACTTTTTTTTGTAAATATTTAACAAGACCTGTTTCTGGTATTCATTAAAACAGTAGGAGTGGTATTGGAAAGCCAAGTTGAGAAAAAAATGCTTAATGCTGGTAATTGAGTGTGACGGTTCCCAAAAATGCATCATGGAGCATGAGAGTGAGTGCCAAGGAGCACATAGCAGAGAGAGCTCATCATCACCATTCTTCTCTGCTTGAGTGATGAGCCCTAATGGTAAACAACGTTGTAAAAGGGGCTCCCATGAAAATACACTATGTGGAAGTGATTGTAAAATGCATTCCGCTTCAGAGCCACATGGGAGCAGCAGCTGGTCAGGTCCCTTGGGACATACGTGGAATGTGTCCACCAAGGGCCCAGCTACAACAGAATTTAGCTGCCACCCAAGAGCCTTTCATGTAGCCCTGCTGGCCCTTCGTGCTCTGTTCAGACCTGGGAGTTCAAAAAATTTCAGCTAAATGAGTACAGTAAGTGGCTAAAAGAAACAAACATGTAAAGAACTTACACATTCTTGAAACTCATCACTGATTTCGTAAGCCCTGCTGAGGGAACCACCTCCGCAGAGATCCGTGGGGAAGCCTGGGGAGACCGGACAGTGACAGAATGTACTCAAGGCAGTCAGAGAAAAGATCGAAATGACACTGTTATATTCCACAAATATTTCCTGAGCAAGCACGTACTGTGTTGCAGGCACAGTTCTAGAAGCTTGGTGTGCATCAATGAACAAAAAAAGATCCCTGTAGGAGGAGACAGACAGTAAAGTCAACATAATAAGTAAATGATGTGCCTTAGAAGAAGTACTGTGTTGAGGAGAGTATGGGGAATCTGGAAAGGTAGAGTGGGGACGAGTATCAGGTTACAGTAGGGTGGTCGGGATGGCCTTATTGAGAAGGACTTAGCAACACCTTGGAGGAGGTGAGGACTAGCCATGTGTATATTTGGAGCGAGAGCGTTCAGGCAGAAGGAAGAGCAAAAAGTTGAGCCAGGGTGGCTCGAGTGAGGTGAGGGAAAGAATAGTGGGTGAGGAAGTAAGAGAGTGAAGATAGAGAGGGCAGGTCACTTTGGGCTCTGTAGAGCCACTGAGAAAGACCTAGGCTCTTCCTTCTGAGATGGGAGCTGGCGGCAGCGGTCCCAGCAGCAGAATGACAAAGGGAACACAACTGGCCGCTATGTTGAGGATACTGGGAGGGGGTGGGGTGGTTAAAGATAAAAGCCGGAAGACTCATTAAGAGGCTGCTGCAGTTACCAGGTAAAAGAGATGGTGGTCGGACCAGGGTGGAAGTGTACAGGTGGTGAGGTGGGCAGATGTGGCATGTGAGAGAAAGAGGCATCAAAGACAAATCCAAGAGTTTTGGCTTAAGGGACTAGAAGAATGAGGTGCTAAGCATCTTTTGCCAGTAGTAGTCTCTGGCACATGGTAGACCGACTCTCACTCAATATTTGTTACATGAATATGGGAAGGAAGGAACGTACGTACCAGACACAATGCTAAATGCTTTTAGTGGGTTATTTTAATCCTCACAAGAATTCTAAGTGGGGTTGGTATCATCTTCCTTTATTTGCAAACATGGACATAAGTTCAGAGAGGTCAAGTATCTTGCCCAAAGTCACAAGGTGATTAAGTGACAAAGTAGGGCTTCAATATCCAGATCTGTCTATGTTCCTTCATTTTTTCTAGTACTTCAGTTTTTCCATTTCTACTTTCTCTTCTCCATTTACATATAATTAGTAATGAAAAAAACAACAACTTCTTTTGACTTTTTCTCCCCCTCTCCCCACCTAACCAAAATAAAATAATTGCCCCTCTTAAGCACATTTGAAGGACAGAGAGGATCAGGAGATGACAGGACAAAGGAGCACAGCTCCCAGGTCATCAAATGAGAAGGTCCCCAAACGGGGAGGGAGGACCCCACTCCATCTTGGAGCGTGTGTGCGGTGCACAGTGCCAGCCAGCGCGGTCACAGGCACCATGGGAAGGACCCTGGGGAGTGCTTCTAGAGCACCAGGCAGCGGCAATAAATGCTAACAGTGCAGTGCCCACAGTGTACTGTGTATGCTGTGAATAATGTCATTGGTGTAATCTTCACTTTACATGTTTATGATTTCTGGATTTATTATTTAAAACCCAGGGGTATTTTAGGAATTGTAGGCTTGTTTCCAGCCAGTAACAAGCAGCTCCAGGTGAAGGGCATGTCCCTACATACTTACTAGACAATCTGAGGACCTCCCTGGCCCTCCCTTCTCCCTGTTTACCCTCGTGACAAGCCACAGCCAGCCCTCCCCTGCCTCCCTTGCATCACTAGCAAACATCATCCAGCATCTCTGGCTGTTTCATTTGCTGACATCACAATCACCTGAGTGCTTGCTTAGTTTCCACCCTAGACCTAGTGCATCAGAATCAATCATGTATACTCTGAAGTTTAAGAACCACCGTTCTGCTAGGGATAGGGTACTCCACCACTTTTCCTCATTAGATGTAGATCACCTTGACTTAGCTTGAAGTTGGAAGTCCCCCATTAGAAAAATTCATCACACCCAAAAATATGAGTAACTCTCATCTTTGTAATAAATATAGTGACCAGTAAGGGTGTCCTGGGATAAGCCCTTGATACATTTCCATGATACTGTTCTGAGAGTACTTTTATTAGTTTAAATATCAGGTAGTACATTACTGGTGGCAGTTTAAATTGGTACAACCTCAGTAAATGGAAACTTTGGCAAAATCTATTAATAAAACAAAAAACTCCATCAGAATTAGAACTGCATTTCACTTCTAAAAACATCCTACAAATGGACTTGTCTTTTATGCAAAATTACACATATACAGCATTATTGGTCCTAACAGAAGGTTTGAAATAATATGTTAAAATGTGAAACATCCATAACTGAAATATTCAGCCATTAAAAAAGATAACAAGGCCACTCTTTATAATCTGATGTAGGAAACAGGAAAGATCAGTTGAAGAACAATGTCTAGCATGCTGCTATTTGTATTTTTTTTAATGTGTATACAATATACACATGCTCACATGGAAATGCATAGACTATCTCTGGAAGAAACACAAGAAATTTCATTGTGGTCACCTCTGAGGGAAGGAGCTAGGTAACTGAGGACAAGCATTTAGAAGAGGACTAATTATTTACATTGTACTCTTGTGCTCATCTTGAAGTTTTTACCTGTACATATTATTACTATTAAATATATATAAACAGATCTATACATATGCATGTATATGGATAACCATATACATATGTATATGTATGGATATATACATTTAATACTAATGCACGTACAGTTACAAAATTCAAAATGAAAGGGCTTCATTTTATTTTTGTATACATGTACATATGTGTATATGTATGTATGTGTGTGTTACAATGATTTTACTTACCATTTTTCAGCTTTACAATGGTGCAACACAGATAACATATTTCAATAGAAACCATACTTTGCATTTTGATCTTTTTCTGGGCTAGCGATATGCAATATGATAATCTCTTGTGGTTTTGGGAATGGCAGTGAGATGACTTTGCCCAATTGTAGGCTAATGTAGGTGTTCTGAGCACATTTAAGGTGGGTTAGACTAAGCTGTGATGTTTGGGAGGTTAGGTTGCACTAAATGCATTTTTGAGTTACATTTTCAACGTACAATCGGCTTATCAGGATGTAACCCCATTGTAAGTTGAGGATCATCTGTGTGTGTTCGTACAAATGTAGAAAGTTTTTTTAAAAATTTGAGGAGGCAAGCAAACATCCCTGTGAGTGGCCCAGAACCAGCTAGCCTGGGTCTTACTTTGTTTGAGTAGAGGGTGCTTTGTTTTAAAGGGTTTGTTTCGTTTTGTTTTTCAAACCTTAACCTGTTTATGGACAGGTGCCTGTAGCCAAGGTTTCTGTCTCTTGGTCCATACATGGGCAGGAGCCAGTCTTGGAGCTAATAAGTTTTCACCTGAAGTACAAGGCTGCTGTAAAATGATCTCAGCTGTGAATTGTATGGTTTCTTTTTGCAGCTCTTAAATCAGCTGGAGGTGGTAAAAGAATTTCTAAGAAACAATGAAGATCTTAGAAATGGTCTTACAGAAGATATGCAGAAGCTAGACAGCCTCTATCTACAGCATCAGAAAGTGGATTCAAAGGAACCTGGGGCACAGGCTCCTGAAGGGGAGGCCTGAGGTAAATTTAGGCATTTGATGTTAAATAAGGATAGAATAGCCTCATCTCTTTGATGTCTGTTCTTTTATGTAAGGTCATAATGAACACACATTTAGTCTCATCTGAAGTTTCCCTATGTCCTTAATATTTGAGAGAAAGGACACTGGGCTTTGTGCTCTTTCTAGTTGATAGTTTTCATATGGGAAGTAATTCAACAAAAACTCCCTGCCAACTTGGTTTAGTGAAATATACCTCAAGTCATTGGTCTGGTCTTAAGTGATTCAACTTTATAACATAATCAAAGAGCATGGCAGCCTTAAAGTGATACCAGTGATGACTGGCTCTTAGCTGTGGTATTAATAGCAATTTGTTAATTTCCATAAGTAAAACTTGTTAAAATAAATAACTGTCTTCAGTATTTTACTTTTTTCCCCCCAAATAAAATTAAGTATTTTCTTTTATTTTAGGTTGCCCTTTGACAAAAATCAGACATGGTCTGTGAAAGTCAGCATGGCTTCCGTCTCAGCCATCCTTTTCTGTGCAAAAGGAAAAGCTTGCCAGACTACTCTACCAAACCAAAAAGGAATTTTTGTTGTCTTTTCCTGGACTTTTCCTTTGACTCTTTGGGAGGTATTTTTGTTTTTGTTTTTTTATTCATAAGCTTGGTGTTGTGCGATTTATACTGACCAAAAAATATTACTCTTATGCCAAAACTGTTATTCAGGGTTTTTGGGTGTTTTTTCTTTTGTTTTGTTACTTATTTAAAAGGTAAGATTCTTTTCTGGTCCTAAACTCTAGCTGCTTAGCACAGTAAAGGCTGTGTTTGGCCAGGCCTGTGTGAGGGGTCATGCAGAGTTCTCTGCCCACTGGCAGACAAGTCCTGCCTCACCCCACCCCCTCCTTCCTGAAAGTCTCATTCATGAGGATGCCCAAGGGGTGAACTGTAATGTAAGAGTCAAGATATAAATCCTTCCTTTTTGGAAGAAGGTAAGAAAAAAATTGCCTGAAAGGCCATTTTCTAGCCATTTCCAATTAGTTATAGAACTATTGCAACCGTTTCTGGTACCCTGAGGCAGTAGGACAAGGAAGTGGGTCCGGGCTGGTGGGGGAGGGGCTGGGGAACACAGTGACTTGACTGACCAAAGAGGGGGCAGGGGGCCTTAGGCCAGCATCACAAACAGGGATGTTGGGGAAAGCTCTGCAGTTGCTGGCTTGTTCATGGCACTTAGGAAAGGTAAACTCCCTTGGCAGTCACAGCTCTTTCTGTTCAGCTAGATCCCAAGTGCTAAGCACAGGCGCTGGCCCTGCTGTGCTCAATGAATATTTTTTTGACTGAAGGGTCAGCAGATAGCTTAGGAGTATTCATATATAAATGTAAATGTTAGTTATACTGTTATCTAAGCCTGGTCCTTCCTTGGAAGATTTAAGAATGAAATTTCAACATCCTTAATGGGAATTCAAAGACATCATTTTCTTTCAACAGATTCATGCATTCATTCATACTTCCTCTATTCCTTTTACCCAAAAAGCCATTCACTTCTGTCTTTGTTCTGTTTGTTTCCTGAACTGTGAAACCCCTGTCCCATTGTATGCAATGGTGCTTAACTGGGCCACGTTGCCTCTGAACCTTCAGGGACAGAATTGCCACGTTCCCTGCTGCCTGGAGGAATAGCCCCAGTGAAAAACCAAGCTCTTTTGCTTCCTCAGCTGCCCATGAAGAATGTGATCTGTAGAGGATGGGCCGAGGGTTGAGGTATATTTTTACATTAAAAGGCATTTAATGTAATTTTGTAAAACCTGGATGAATGCAGATGTGCCTGTAACTTCCTGCTTTAATCTTTCCTGTTACTATTTGGCCTTTAATCTTAACGTTTTCTTTCCCCCTTCATTTCATGGAGTTTCTTGAGATGACTTCAATAGTGAAGGAAGAAGAATTTTCATTCAGCATACAACTCTCCCAAACTAAGAAACTTTGTAATATTTCCTATCTTCTAGATATGAGTCAAAACTTGGCATCAAATTAAATCTTAATTCACTAACCAATTTAAAACCTTATTTCCAATGGGATTAGGATCACTTAATTTTCATACCTCTTGTATCTAGTTAGTTTTTCCTTATCTTTCGAACACTTAGTAAGTGTCAACCATGTGCCAGGCACTAACGTAAATGCAAATGTGAGGATTTTAAAGGTATGGATGGTGGTCTATGAGCTTTCATCTTATTGGATTTAATGTCTACTTTGATAAATTAAAAATATTCAGAAAAGTATAATGGCAGTGTTTAATTACATTGAAATTGAAACAAAGAAAGGAAGACATTCCCAGAGAGGGCTTAAAAGCGAATGTGGTGTGTTCAGGGACATCAGCCTGTGGGCCTTTCATCTATAGACCTATGCATGTGGGCACCAAGGAGTGTTCACAGCAGAGTTGGCAGCCAGCCATCAGGAGAGGACTGGTTAAATAGGTCACAGCGCAGCCATGCTACAGAGTACTATACAACTGGTAAAAAAAAAATGAGGAAATGCTGCAATGCAGTAATGTGGGACAATCTCTAAGACATTAAATAGAAAAGCAGAAAGTTTAACAATTTAACAGAATGCTATAAACTGTTGTATTTTAAAATAACATGTCTGGAAAGTTTTTTTTTCCCCAAGATTTTTTGCTGTTACTTCTGTGAGAGGAACTGGGGTTGAGAAGAGTGGTTTGAAGAAATGTGGCTTTTCTACTCTGTGAAAATTTTACAACAAACATGCACTTGTGTATTTTGAAATTTTTACTTAAAATTTTTATTTTCAAAATAAAGAGATACAAACAATATAAATTCAGACTGTAAGAGTTATGTGTCACATTTCCTGTAATACGTTGTAGCGTCCATTTTTGTGGAGATCAGCTCCACCTCTGGGGAGATTTGTGAGTTGTCAAGATCAGAAGCCCCCCAGGAAGTGCTTTCCTTTCTGCACAAGGCTTTGTTTCATCTCAGAGTGCCTTGTTTTCATCCAGCAATATGATTTGCTCTCAGCCTGTCCCTGGAACACAATATGTGGTTTATGTTTTGAAAGACTTAGAGGAGAAAAATGGTTTTTGCATCATAGTTGCAAAGATAAGGCAGTTCTTTAGATTTTAGCCTGTGCTTTGCTGGGAAGCTCAGAGGACCTAAGGAGGAAGTTATGACCTAACTAAACTCAATATAAAAACAAATTTTGGGACATTACAAACGTGTGTCAGTAACAAAACTTCTGGAAAAATAACTGCCAATTCAGACAATGTTATTGGCTTCATAAAGTACTGGTAGAGATCTGTAGACAGTTTAAGTTAAATTTCAAAGGTCAGAAAGGATTATTTATGTTTGAGAGTTTGGGGGGGTTATGATATGATTGTTACTGTAATGATTTGAAAGTTTCATTTTTATTAAAATATTAATCACATGTTATGGCTTTAAGCATGAATATCCTAGGCAACAAAGGGTTAGATCTTTTAGTTGGGTGGCCATACTACGAATTGGATCCTGTAAGTGTAGCACTGCATTAGAGTAGAGGTGTTGTAATCATCTGAATGTTTTCTCTAACTTTTTTGCCCACTAGGAAATTATCAGCAAAGAGTGCCTCCTTTTTCCTTACCAGGTTAATTAGAAACCCACCTGGTCTGAAATGTGTTCAACAGACAGTGGTCTTTTATTGAAATATAATACCCAAATTACAAAATACATTTTATAAGACAAATCTAAAAATCTATTAATTTCTACTCGTGTAATAGTAAAGGGGGAAATCCTTCAAAGTTTTAATAAAAATCTTGATAAAAGGTTATGATTCATTTGAGAACTTTAAGAACAGCTTTTTATTACTGCATGGGAATTTTTATTTTAGAGCCGTGTGTGTGGTAGCCAGCCTAGAAAATAGCCCCCAATGATGCCTGCCTCCTGGTATTTCCACCCTAGTACTGTCCTTCCACAGTGTGCCAGGATTGTTCCATGTGACCAATAGAACACAGCTGAAGTGATGGTATATCACTTCCCAGATTAAGCTATAAAAAAAGATAGCTTCCCAACCTAAATGCCCATCAGTAGATGATTGGATCAAAAAATTATGGTACATTTACACAATGGAATACTACGCAGCAGAAAGAAAAAAAGAACTACTAAGCTTCGCGACAGCATGGATGGAACTGGAGAGCATCATGGTAAGCGAAATAAGCCAGGGGGCGAAAGACAAATACCATATGATCTCACCTATAAGCGGAACCTGACCAACAATGCAAAGATGCAAGGAAAATACGACCAGCAACACTGAAAGGAAAAGAAACCAGCAGAGACAAGAGGGAAGGAGGGAGGGGTGGGCCAGGGAAAAGGAGGGGAAGAAGCAAGTCAAGGAACATATAGCAAGGACTCGTGGACAAAGCCAAAGTGGGGAAGGATTGAGGGAGGCGGGGGGGGGGGGGAGGCAGAGACAAATGTGTTTGAAAAAAAAAAAAGATAGCTTCCATCTTGGGTTTTCTTTCTTTTGGAACACCTGCTGTGGGTGAAGCGTGTTGTAAGCAGCCCTGTGGCCACATGACAGGGAACTGAAGCCTCCTTTAAACTGTGAGTTTGAAAGTGGGATTCTCTAGCCCCAGGCAAGTCTTCAGAGACTGCAGCCACAGTGGACAGCTAAGAGACCCTGAGCCAGCAGCAAACACCCAGCTAAGCCATTCCCATTCCTGACCCTCAGAAATTGTAAGATAATATTTGTTGTTTTTTAAAATTTTAAATATTTGTTGTTTAAAGCTAAGTTTGGGAGTGATTTGTTACACAACAATAGATAACTAATACATTATAATTTTCCAGAGTTTGTTTTTCCCCCCTGCATGTAGAAAGTGTAATGCAGAAACTGCCTACAAAGAGGACTTGTGCTTAGATGCCACAAAAGATAAAAGGGAATCTTCCAAGAGTTCCACTAATGTGCCTGTCTTAATCCAAACCTGGTAATTTCATAACCTTTCAGATGGCTGTTTTAAATTTCTTTGCATTTGAAACATTAAACAAAAGCAGTCCTAAACACATTCGTTGAGGTTCCGCAGTAGACCACTCTGGAACTTCCTGCATCCTCCAAAGGTAGGGGGAGACTTGAGGTTAAATCCTAGAGGGTAGCCTCTGCTGCAGAATGGCTTCATACCCACTGTCCCACCCTTCTCTTTTCTGTCCTTCCTGGTTTAAGAAAACTCAGCATTTATGAGATTCTGGCAGCAGAGGCGAAGGTGGATACTCTGGGCTAATACTGTTGACCACAGGCCCTCATCCCCAACCATAGCTAGGCGATAAGTCAAACAATTTTACAAACTGCCATTTCTCCATTTTTAGGCATGAGGAAAACAGGAAAGGATTATGATTTTGTCATTTTTATTTCTTAGTTACCTAGAGCTCAGGGTTGACAGTAATTGACCTCAGAGTTATTTATTCTGTTTCCATGGAAGATTCTATAATTGCTCTCAGTCACTGAGAAATTCTAGATTCTCTTAATAAGTAAGTACTCCTTAAAACTCTAAAGTGGATTTCACAGAGATCATTTAAACTCAGTTCCAAGTATTTCCATCAAGAGAAATAGCCCCCAGACTTTTTCTTTTTGGTGTAAAGAGATTTGTGACTCTACCAAGGTTTAAAAGTCATGTGTGCTAAGCATCCTTATTTGGCCTGGATACACAAAGCAAGTAACAAAACATGTTCCCAAGAGAGCTTTAAGAAAATTAATAAAACAACAACGAGTTATATAATTTGAAATACCTTTCATTCAAACACTCTTTCTTCCCCATATAAACTAAAATTAACCCTCGAGTTGTGGGTCCCATGAATAAAAAAACCAAGCAATCTACCTTCCTTACCTTCTATAAAAGTTTATTTCCAGGTCAAGAAAGAGGCGACACTCGGTTTCAGTTCTATGCTACTTTGTATTTTGTTTATTAACCAAACTGCAGGTTTAAATGAGATTTGCACTGTTCTAGAGTCAAAACCAAACTTTTCACTGGTCTTTAGGAAGAAAAAGTTCAGTGCTTGCAAAGCTGCAAAGATTAGATAAGGCCATCTCAGCCATTAATCTCATTACAGGAACTGCAGATTGGGGCCGGTGGCCACCTAGTCACTCACAGGCTGTGGTGTCGTCGTCGATGGCGGTGGTGACAGCGACGGCGGTGTCGGCGGTGTCGGTGGTGGCAGCCGGGGTGGCAACAGCAGTGGTCTTCTCAGCGCCCCCGCCGTAATAGTAGATGAGGTAGCGGCTCGCCTGCATACTCTGCGCCACCACGTTGGTGCCGTGACAGGCCATCAGCAGCAAGTTGCGAGGCTGTACGCGGTAAGCAAAGCGCATGAAGGCCATCGAGTAGAGGATGAGCGCTGTCGTCATGCGGCCGCTGATGATGTCCGGAGACTCCTTCATGTCCCTAAAGGCAGCCAGCGGTAGGCCCCAGTTGGCCATGGGACCCCAAAAGTGTGTGCTGGTCACATAATCCCGGAACTCCTTGGTCTTCACGTAGTCCTTTGCCTTCCGGCACAGTGCCGCTATCGCCGCCATGATCACAGAGCCATAAGAACGCCAACGGATGAACAGCCAGCTCACAATGATGTGGGGCGTAGAGACGTGATACCATAGCAACCGGGACACGGCGTCAAACGCACGGCCTCGCGCCTTAGATTGGCTGCTGTAAAGTGCGCCAGACAGCACGTGCTGCTATCTGGTGCACGCACAGCAATGCCGTAAAGTGCGTCGCACAGCACCTACCATAGTTGCATGTGCCTTCCTTCTGGTGAGCACTTGAAATCTGTGGAATGCATGTGTGTGCATGCATTTCTGTGTGTGCCCCTCTAGCAAAGGCAGAAGCACAGCCTCATCATTTGCACCCATCATGCTACGGCCACCATAAAGCTCTCAAGATTACTACCCAGGAAGATGAGGGTTCGGCTGCCTGCTTCTCTTTAGCTATATGAAGGGAAACTTTGCTTGTTGTCTTCGATCTATGGACACTATTGACTAGATGCTGATACAAAATTCTTCAACCAGGTAAAGAATTTTAGGCCTTACACAATTTGCCAGAGTGTTATTTGCAGACAGAGTGACAGTTTACCCCTAAATATTCCAGCGTCTGGCTCCTAACAAGGGCATTCTCCTAATTTAACCACAATGCAATAATCCAGTCACATACTTAACATTTAGTACACTACTGATATGTAACATGCAGTATATATTTAAGTTTTAGAACTTTATGGGGTTTTTTTTTCTTTTTGCTGGAGTAGGGGAGACCCAGGACCCAATCAAGATTCACATGTAGTTATCATTTCTTTTAGGGTAATCTCCTTTAATCTAAAATAGTTTTGCAGTGTTCTTTGTCTTTAGTGGCTTTGGTATTTTTGAAGAGTACAAGTCAGTGCTTTTTCAGGATGTTCTTAATTTGGATTTGTCTGTTTTATCATAATTAGATTTAGGTTAAACATTTTTTGGCTAGAATACTACACATTGTGTCCTTAATGCATCACAGTGGCAGGCACATGATGTCATTTGTTCCATCACTGGTGATATTAAGTTTGGTCATTTGGTTAAGGAGTTGTCTGACAGGTTCCTGCATTGCAAAGGCCCCTTTCCCCCTCTGTAATCAACAAATAAACCAGGGGGATCTTCTTTGAGAGTGTATAGGTATTCTAGTCTCCAATAGTCTTTCATCTAATACTTTATATCCATTGATAAAAATTCTTAATGACAAAACTGATTATTATTTTCCCAGTATTTTCTACCTTTTCCCAATAAAAATAATAATTGTTGAAAAGTAGTTAAGTATACCTTGAAATATTAATATTTTAAGTACTGATTTATAAACAAGCCCATTATACCTTTAAAAGTTATTCCATTTAGCCCTGGCTGGGTGGCTCAGTTAGTTGGAGCATCGTCCCAGACATGAAAAGGTCGCGAGTTTAGTACCTGGTTGGGGCACATACCTAGGTTGTGGATTTGATCCTGGGTCAGGCACATACAGGAGGCAACAGATCGATGTTTCTCTCTCACATCGAAGTTTCTTTTTCTCCTTCCGCTTTCTCTCAAATCAATTTTTTAAAATACACATCCTCTGGTGGGGATTACAAAAAAAAGTTACTATGTTCATTTACATCCCAAATATTTCACAAATAAAGTCTTAATATAAAATATATAGGGAAAGGGGCACACTTTTTGCTAAGCTTCCAAATATAGATGACTGGTATACTGGTATAAATCAGTTCACTGTAAGTTTGAATTAATAAATCATCAAGCATGAATTGAATGACATTGTAGGCCTACACTGCCAGATGCTCCAATGTCCTAAAAGAAATGTGCATTATCATTCCTTGTCCGCAGAAGCTTCTAGTACTTGTAGATCATCTCACTTGGGTTGTTACTTGGTTCCAATGATCTATTGCTGCATAACAAGTCACCCCAAAACTTAGTGGCTTAGAACAACATTCCCTTATTTTACTCACAAATTTGCAATTTGGGCTGGACTCAATTGGGACAGCTCATCTGCTCCATGGACTGCCAGCTGGGCAGCTCAGCTTGAGGCTGAAAGATTCACTTTCAAAATGGCTCACTACATGGCTGGCAAGTTGATACTGGTTGTTGGCTGGGAGCTCAGCTGAGACTATTGGTGGGCAGGCCTCAGTTCCTCTCCATAAGCTGCTTGTGCTTCCTCACAGCATAGTGGCTAAACACTAAGAACAAGAAAACAAGAGAATCAGACTGAAGCTATGTGGTAGACAGAATTCTAAGATAGTCCCCAATGACCCTGAGAACTCAGTTCAGCCAACACCTTCATTCTGATCTCATGAAACCCTGAGCACAGAATCCAGCCATGCTCTACCCAGAATTCTGACCTACAGACTGTGAGCTAATAAATTTGGGTATTGTTTAAAGCCACTAAATTTGTGGTAATCTGTTGTGCAGCAATAGAAAATTAATATCAGCTCTGTTGGCTTTTATGATCTAGCCTGAAGTCACATAGTATCACTCATTTTCTCTAGTCACAAGACTACCCAAATTCAATGAGAGGGGACATAGACCTACATTCAAAGGCAGGAGTGTCAAAGTCACACTTTAGAAAGAACATATGAGATGGGAAATATCATGGCCACTTTTGGAAAATTCAGTTTACCATATTACTTACCTTTAAATCATGTAATTATAGAACATTGGAGTTGAAAAGGATCTCACAGACTATCTGTCAAATGGGGGTGATAGTCGTATGTACTTCCCAACTGTATTGTGAGGTTTCAATATGTTAACCTTTGTTCAGTGCTGAGCATTGGACCTGTTATATAATAAGTGCTGAGTGAATTTCAGCTATTATCATCCTATCCAACTGCCTCATTTTACAAATAAGGCATAAAGCCTTAAGAGATCATGTTATTTGCCATGGTTACGCAGTGAATTCATGGTAGACCAGGATTAAGGTTTCCTATCTCTCACATAAGTCCTCTGCACAGATCACTTTAACGTCTGATGTGTTTCTGTCCTTCCAATTATGTTGTAAGTTTCCTTAGGCCAGGGAGAGTATCACCAAATGAAATATTCCTTCTCCCGACAAGCTTTTCTGATATGTTGACTGGACATGGTCCAAATTGAACAAGACAAGATCTGCCTGCTCAGAGGGGCATTTTATAGCTAGAGAAATGGAGGTATAGACAACATGTAAGTGGCTTTCGTGGTGAATTCCAGACTGCTGGATGCCAGCTAAATATAGCTTTCTGTAAGTTTGTGCCTAGTAGATATTCTTTGGTTGTTACAGTAGCAATAAACAGCCCAAACAGAGAGTAAGATATTGTAATAGAACTTGACCAGCACTTGAAGAAAGATACAGGGCGAGAAATGAGCAGAGCTGTAGAGAGTACTGCGGCTGAAGCAAAGAGTGACAAAAGAGTTTTGGGATTAGGGAACAGCAGTAGTGGTATCCTGTGACTACCCTTCATCACAGGTAAATTAGTACTGGTGTATATTTCACTGCATTTTAAAAGATGAGGCTAAACAGCTAAAGGTTTTTTGTTACTTTAACTAATATTTCTTTTAATATTATTGGAAGTGGCATTTCTACTCGCTGTGCTTCCTCTTTAACATAAAGCTGTCAGGACTGACTGTGTGACTCAACCCAGAGACACTAACATGAACATGGTCAGCAAGTTCACCATCATCTTTCAAAGGAAAAGGATGGGGGAAGACAAGGAAATACAAAGATAAGATCTCAGTCTATTGAAAAGGTGCCACACACACTTTCTTCTAACCAAGATTCCAGGTCACAGGTCCTATGATATCCTGCTTGATATTAACAGCGCTGAACCTACATGACTTCTCATTGAGTTTCAATACAATGGACTGTACAGGGTGCATCTTTTAATTTGAATTGTTCTTTTCAACTTTTTATGTTGAAATAATTTCAAACTTGCAGAAAAATGAAAATAGTTTAAAAAAAGAATAACAAAACAAGAAGTGTCAAAAGAACTTCCATATATCCTTCACCCAGATTTATCAATATTTTGCCACACTATATTGCTTTTTCTACCCTAAGGGTATTTCTTAAGAACTTCAGTATTTCCTAAGTATATGGACATCCATGGACTCTCTTTTACATTACCACAATACACCCATCAAAATCAAGGCACTTAACATTGATGTAATACCATAATCTATAAGTTTTATTCAAATTTTGCCAATTGTCCCAATAATGTCTTGTATAATAATTTTGTTTTTCTAGTCCAGGACCCAGACCAGGATCGCACATTGCATTTAACTGTGATGTCTCTTTAGCCTCTTTTAATCTACAACAGGTCTGCCTTTCTTTGGCATTCATGACATTGACATTGTAAGAGTACAGGCCAGCTCTTCGATAGAATGTCCCTCAATTTGGATTCATTTGATGTTTCCTTGTGACTACCTTCAGATGTTCATTTTGGGCAGGAAATCCACAGAAGTGGTATTCTGTCCACAGTGCATTGCATTAGGAGGGATGTGATGCTGTGTGTCTGGCTACTAGTTATATTAAGATGATGTTCACCGGATTTCTCCATTGTGAAGTCAATACTTCTGCCTTTGTAGTCAATAAGTAATTTGTCAGAAGATACTTTGAGACTATGTAAATATTCATTTCCTCACCTAACCTTTAACCTACTAGATTTAGCATACATTGATGATTCTTGCCTGAATCAAGTCTTACTCTGATCATGGCAACAATGTATTTATTTATTTATTTTGTTTTTTAATTTTTCAATTACAGTTTACATTCAATATCATTTTGTATTAGTTTGTATACAGCATAGTGGTTAGATAACCATATACTTTACAAAGTGTTCCTCCCCTATACTTTCAATACCCCCCTGGCACCATACACAGTTATTACAATACCACTGACTATATTCCCTAGCCAAGATTTTATTTTTTTAATGATTTTATGTCTTGTGGCTTAAAAGTCAGAAATGTATTTCATCAAAATTGCCCTGGAATGCTGGCCAACATTTACAAAGCATAAGACTATTCCTGAATTATGGCTGTGAAAACTGAACATT